TGAATATTGTGTATAGGTTTCATAATGTTTGGTTGGGTTACAGAATGGAAACTAAAAATTTTGCAATCTTTCGATTTATAAAGGGGCATAACTCAATAATGGTTAAAGTGACACTACCCAAATTCAACTTGATCTGTGTTTTATCAGTGGAAGTCAAAATTAAACATTGCATTGTATAAAGCATTGATTGTAGTTGATTCAACTATAATCATGGACAAAGGAAGATAATCTAATTTTTGTAAAAATTACTTGATATTTAGAAGAAAATAAAAAGTTTGCAATTTTTCCATTTATAAAGGGGCATAACTCTAGATCGGTTAAAGTGACGCCACCAAAATTCAAACTTGATCTGTGTTTTGTGGTAATAAGCATTGTGTATAAGTTTCATAACATTTGGTTGAGGCAAACTTAAGTTAGAGAACAGAAACTAAACATTTTGCAATTTTTCCATTTATAAAGGGGCATAACTCTAGAACGGTTAAAGTGACGCCACCAAAATTCAAACTTGATCTGTGTTTTGTGGTAATAGGCATTGTGTATAAATTTTATAACATTTGGTTGAGGCAAACTCAAGTTAGAGAACAGAAACCAATTTCGGGACGTACGTACGTACAGACGGACAAGGGTAAAACTTAATGCCCCCACCGCTACGGCGGGGGCATAAAAATGGTAAAATTTGTCATTTAAGGGCAATAACTCCTACAAGAAATCGTCTGACAATTTTGACGTATATGAACAATAGGTAGAGCTCAACATTCTGAACATTTTTACCCTATGTTCTATTGTTAGCCATGGCGGCCATTTGGTTGGCAGGCAAGGTCATTGGACACATTTTTTAAACTAGATACCCCAATAATGATTCTGGCCAAGTTTGGTTAAATTTGGCCCAGTAGTTTTAGAGAAGATTTTTGTAAAAGATTACAATAAATTGCCTCGCCGAGCACAGCTGGATACGACCGCAGAGGTCCAACCCTGAAAGTTGGGGCAAAAATGGACACAATATTTGCGCTTGATACAGGTCTGAATTTGGATTGTAATTAAATATTTGACACATAATAGATTTCTGACACAGAATAACTGTAGTCAAAGAACTTAGAATTGGTTATATGATTTGAATTTATATTCAATTTTTTGCTTTTGTGCAATACACTATGCTGTTGCGTATTGATCCCCCCCCCCCCCCCCCCCCCCCCAATATTTTTTTGCAAAAAAAAAATTATTTGAAGAATTTTTCTTTTTAATTTCTGAAATCTGAAATTAGAAAAAATATTCCTTAATAGTAATTGTCCATTAACCAGGAAACCCTTGTTTTTCCCCCTTTTTTGCCCCTGATTCCTAACCGGTTTGAGCCATAACCCCCCAAAGCAAATCCTAACCATCCCGTTGTGGTATGGAAACTTGTGGTGTAATGTCAGAGAGATCCATACACCGTTCCACAAGTTATTATCTGGAAACTAGAAAAATGTTTATGTGGCCCCTTTTTGGCCCCTAATTCCTAAACTGTTAAGATCATAACCAAAATCAATCCCAACCTTCCTTTTGTGGTTATAAACCTTGTGTTTAAATTTCATAGATTTCTATTTAATTATACTAAAGTTATTGTCCGGAAACCAACTGTCTTTGGACGACGCTGACGTGATACCAATATATGTATAATAAACTGCTTCGCTGAGCGCAGCTGGATACGCCCGCAGAGGTCCAACCCTGAACAGTCGGGGCAAAAATGGACACAATATTCAAGCTTGATATAGGTCTGAATTTGGATTGTAATTAATATTTGATATATTATAGGTTTCTGAATAATAAATGTAGTCAAAGAACTTGAAATTGGTTATATGAAAGATTTCTTGCTGTTGTGCAATACACTGTGCTGTAGCGTAATACTGAGTAAATCTGTTGTCAGACTATAAACAAATAAAATCTTATAACTCAGAAACATAAAATCGAAAAATTTATAAAAATCAAAAAGGAGCTTACAAAAATAGATATAAACAATTTACCAAAGTTTCATAAAAAATACTGAAAGCATTTTTGAGTTATTGTCTGAAAACTGGAAAATCCCCCTTTTTGTACTGAATAAAACCCCATAAATTGGAAACGTATAGTCTGACATTTATAAAAATCAAAAGGGAGCTCATGTCGATAGAAATAAACAATTCACCAAAGTTTCTTGCAAATTGGTGAAATTGTTTTTGAGTTATTGTCTGAAAACTGGAAAATCCCCCCTTTTTTAATGAATAAAACCCCAAAACTCAGAAACGGTAAATCTGAAATTTATAAAAAAATGAAAGGGAGCTCACATCAATAGATATGAACAATTCACAAAAGTTTCTTGCAAATTGGTGAAATATTTTTTGTCCGAAAACTGCAAAATCCCCCCTTTTTTAATGAATAAAACCCCAAAACTCGGAAACGGTAAATCCTAAATTTATAAAAAACGAAAGGGAGCTCACGTCAATAGATATGAACTATTCACAAAAGTTTCATGCAAATTGGTGAAATTGTTTTTGAGTTATTATCCAACATGTTGACGACGGCGTACGGACAGACGGACAGACAGACGGTCAACGGTATACCATAATACGTCCCGTAAACGGGCGTATAAAAATTAACGAAAAATTGTGAAAAATTTACTTTAAAGGGCAATAACTCCTTAAGGGGTCAATTGACAATTTTGGTCATATTGACTTATTTGTAGATCTTACTTTACTGAACATTCTTGCTGTTTACAGTTTATCTCTATCTATAATAACATTGAAGATAATAACCAATAAACAGCTGCACCATGAGCGAATGATACGCCCTCCGCCTTTTAAAAGAATAATGTTCAATAACTACTCAATGTCATATCAGAAATTCATGAAAAACTTAAGGAGGGTTATATTAATAGATATAAACCAGTCACCAAAGTTTCAAGAAAACTGCTCAAAGCACTTTAAAGATATTGTCCAAAAACTGGAATATCACCACTTTTTTATGAATAAAATCCCATCACTCGGAAACGTAAAATCTAAAATTTATAAAAATCGAAAAGGAGCTTACGTCAATAGATATAAACAATTCACCAAAGTTTCATGAAAACTGCTGAAACTGGAAAATCCCCCTTTTTTTAATGAATAAAACCCCATAACTCGGAAACGTAAAATCTATTTATAAAAATCAAAATGGAGCTCATGCCAATAGATATAAACAATTCACCAAAGTTTCTTGCATATTGGTGAAAGTGTTTTTGGGTTATTGTACGAAAACTGGAAAATCTCCCTTTTTAAATGAAAAAAAACCCACAACTTGGAAACTTAAAATCTAAAATTTATAAATAACGAAAGGGAGCTCACGTCAATAGATATAAACAATTCATCAAAGATTCATGCAAATTGGTAAAAGCGTTTTTGAGTTATTGTCCGACATGTTGACGGAGACGGACAGATGGACAGAGGAACAAAGGTTTACCATAATACGTCCCGTAAACTGGCGTATAAAAACTGCAAAATTTTCTTAAAATTACAAATTCAGGGGCAGCAACCTAACAACGGTTTGTCTGATTTGTCTGAAAATTTCAGAGCAGATAGATCTTGACCTGATGAACAATTTTACCCCATTTCAGATTTGCTCTAAATGCACTGGTTTCAGAGATATAAACCAAAATCTACATTTTACCCCTATGTTCTATTTTTAGCCTTGTCAGCCATCTTGGTTAGCGGGCGGGATCATCAGACACATTTTTTTAACTAGATAGATACCTTAATGATGATTGTGGCTAAGTTTGGTTCAATTTGGCCCAGTAGTTTCAGAGAAGATTTTTGTAAAAGTTAACAGACGACGACGGACGCCAAGTGATGAGAAAAGCTCACTTGGCCCTTTGGACCAGGTGAGCTAAAAAAAGACATAAAGGTATATTTTTCTCTACATTTTTCAATTATGCATACCAAAATTAGACTTTGTGTAAAAATTTCAAGACAAAATCAACCTAAGAAATCTTTTGTATTGTATGCCCTGAAGAACAAAACAAGTTTTCATGTAGTAAATCTAATTATATCCCCTGAAATTTTCCTGTCCATTGCAGGGAAAAATTGAGATACATTCAGTTCAGTATGACATTTGTAGATAACAAAGATAATGAATATGGTGAAACTTTTTGTATACTTTGAAGAACATACTGTTGATATAAAAATAAGATGTGGTATCATTGCCAATGAGACAACTCTTCAACAGAGACCAAATGACATAGAAGTTAACAATAACAACTATAGATCACAATACGGCCTTCCACAATAAGCCGAACCCATACCACATAGTAAACTTTATTAGGCCATAAAAATGACAAATGGCCTGATTAAAATACAAAACAATAAACGAAAAACAAATATGATATACAGTAAAAAATGGCAACCACTGAATAACAGGATCCTGACTTGGGACAGACTCATACAGAATGTGGCGGGGTTCAACATGTTTGAAAGCGTTAACCCTCCCCATTCCTGGGACTGTTGACTATAATTTCAGAGGTAAATTTGAGGCTGACTTTTCTGAGGTGCTAGAAAATGGAATGAAAATAGTTAACTTCTACAAGTATATATGCCTTCATTTCAACATCTTGATCCATGCGATAAATTAGTATGCATTCTCAGCCCCACCTCTGAACTTGTTAGTCATATTGGAGTCTTTTTTAAACATTCTTTAGAGCAGAGGGCAACAGACCCATGTCAGACAGGTTCATACTTGTGTATTAAATTTAATCTTACATTTGTGTATCAAGTTAATTGTTGGTTTGTTGTATTCTTGTATGTAAATATTTTTTTTGTTATTGCTTGACCCTAATGGGTGCAATGTTGCAATAAAGATATAGAAGAAAAACTGTTGTCAAATGTTTAGTTCTGCAAACATTCAAACTATAATATTCTAATCTTTTCACTTGAAAAAATAAATAGGTACTACTTTACTTAAATCATGCTAATTCTTTAAAAGTCCTTTAGTGTGTATTATCAGAAACAAAGGAAAACTAATTCTTAGAATTTTTAATATTCATGTCAAATGATAAACATATGTACCGGTATATAAGATTAGTAGAAAGTTACGTCTCTACTTAGTAGAGATAATTAAACATTAACAACACATTTTGCATACAGACATACTTGGAACTAAACAAACAATTACAAAATAAGAAAGCAAGACATAATTTGTACCAGTTTGCCAAATTAATTATTAAAAATAATCGATTTGCTGTATTTCTTTTTTTGGTTAATTTCCTTATCAAATCATTATTTAATGCATGATGGGGTATAATAAAGAATGTCTTCCAACCCACCTACTTGTATATATTTATTTTTGGAACAACCCCAAGTCTGTTTTTTTTTAAATTCAAAGATGACATGTTTAAATATTTAACACACAGACCCATATGAATATGGTAGAAGATTTCAGTTAACCAAAGTGAATGAATATATACTGTGTCATTTATAAGGGCATTAGCTATTCGACAAAAATAATAAAATATGATTTTTTTTGGTTCAAATATTTATAGAAGTGGAATAAAGAAATAACATCTCGCTTTTAGCAGTCAGTTTGATACAATTTCGTCAAAAATAAGCTAAAAACACCATCCCTGGTGTTATTGACTTGCAAGTCAATAATACAACTCATTTGAATCTGTATTCATGCAACCTTTTAATTCAACCTTAAGAGGAGATGGGTGTGCATGTATTCATCATGTGGGTCATTCTCAAAAAAAGAAAAGAATGTCAACATTGATAACTGAAACAAGGAGCCACAAGGAATTAACCATTTCGTTGACCAACCTGGCCCACAAAAATCACTCCTATACAGGTACAAAGATGATTTACATATATTTTTAACCTAGAACACGAAATCAAATCGACCTAGAAAAATCTGATTGTATGTGCTAGCTATCTATTTATATTTATATTTATGTTTATATTGGGTTACATGATGGTTGACCAACCTGGCCCACAAAAATCACTCCTATACAGGTACAAAGATGATTTACATATATTTTTAACCAAGAACACGAAATCAAATCGACCTAGAAAAATCTGATTGTATGTGCTAGCTATCTATTTATATTTATATTTATGTTTATATTGGGTTACATGATGGTTGGCAGTCTACAGAGGTAATCTTGGATGGATAATTAGATGGTGTCTGGTCTGAAATAGGTATGAAATTCTGATATATTATAGAGAACACATTCATTGTTAATTTTCTTTTTTTTTTTAGTAATTTGGATATTCTTTTCAGTATGTTATAAATAAGCTATGAGAATTTGGGTCAAATTGGTAAACATGAATTTGACAGCTAATGCCCCTTTAAATAAAAAATGTAATTCATAAAGTATAACATGTACTGTACAGGAATGTTTCCATTATACACACACTATCACTGCTAATACAAAGTACTAACATTCATTACTATGGTCATGACTGTATGTTAAAAACATTCAACTTTTTTGGGGAGCATAAATTGTCAACTTCATTACAAATTAAAAAATTTAGCATTTTCTCATCATCATACAAAGTTTATTTCTCCATTCATCAAGGCTTGAAAGAACATGTTGTAACAGAGAGTAAAACAGCCTTTACCTGAATATATATAGTTTGAAGAAAACTACAAACGATTATCACATATATGGCATGTATGGATTATTATGTGTATAAAACTACTCTTGTAAAAATGTATTGATCTAACAATTATACAAAACACTATAGCACTAATTCAAATAATGAAAAAAAAAACTTTGGTTCTGAACAACTACATAGGTGATGATTAACTATTTTTTATGCATTACTATTTGCTATTGAAATATATTTCATTAAAACTTGGCACTTTAGACAATAACATACCTACATTTCAATTTCTATAGATAGAGCAAAAAAAGCCAAATATTTATGACACAATAGTCCAAAGGCTTCGCAGATTGAGATGTAATAGTTCTAAAAAAATGTAAATTACCTTAACCTTGCAAATAAAGTAAAGTTTCATTTAGATAGCCAGTAGTTTAGTGACAATTGGCACTGTTCTGCTAAAACACTTGACACTATATACATTTGCTTTGAATGTTTATTTGGTCAACCAAGAAATCAATAAAAAATCTTAATACAACAAGGCCTTTATTAGGATCACATTTAAAACACAGATCCTGTCTCAACTTTCCTTACAAGGATCTGATATGGCACTGGTCTACTTTTTGTTCTGAAGATCTTTCCAAGATCATCATAATCTGTCACAATGCCACACCCCTTCAAAAATTTGGAGGCAGTAATTTCATTGGTTGATGAAATAATTGTCAGAACACACCCCTTCAAAAATTAAGAGGCAGTAATTTCATTGGTTGATGTAATAATTGTCAGAACACACCCCTTCAAAAATTAAGAGGCAGTAATTTCATTGGATTATGTAATAATTATTATAACAGAAAGAAGAATGGAGCTTTGTCAGATCCTTGTAAAGAAAGCATTGACAGGATCACTTCTGTTACCAGCTGACAAATACTTTTAAAATAAAATATAACACAAATGATATGTTACGCTTGTTTTTAAATTTGTTTTTGGTCATCGGAATGTTTTACATTCTCCAGTATTAATCATAGGAAAGAAAGTGTTCTAATTAATTTGATTGTCACTATCGTTTCCTTATCTTCTTCACTTCACAGCCATAATAGTATTGTCTAGTACCATCTCTAAAAACTGCAAAATACACAAAGATAATTATAGCTTAGTATTACCAGTATATCATTATAGCTTAGTATTATATTGTCTAATCCCATGATATATTTTTTTATTGAGTAATTTTATTATTTTCGATAGGGATATACTATGAACCAAAGTCCTTCATTAGAGTCTACCCCCAATAGTACACAAGGAGTACACTATAGAATGTGAGTCCTCATTAGAGTCTACCCTAACTGATACCGACACCAAAGATAAGACTTATCAATATTTCTACTTTACTTGCTACTATCTGAAAAAGAGAAGACAAATTCTGACGAGTCCATTTGTTCTTATCACTGTTTACTCAAATTTAAGAAGACCAGTATGGCAGGGGTTCAGAATGTGGTCAGATAGGATTTCAAATCTTCATACAAAGTGTTACATATAACAGGTTAAAATTCAAGGTAGAATCTTTGTCTATTACAAAGGAGAATTTGTCAAAATCACTTCAACATGTTTTTTTTTTAATTCGGTAGTAATCAGATATCCCAGCATATATTCTATATGGTAAATTATTATATTACCTCTTCATAACCTATGTTAATAATTCCTCTCTGCTGGGTGTCCTTCACTCGGAATTTATCTGTTAATGTCTTTAACATTACACAAGCTTGAATAAAATCGTCAAAATTGATGGTCCTCATTCCTCTTCTGTCAAACACTCGGATCACACTGTCACTAAATTGAGGTGACCTGAAAAGAAAAGTTAAAATTTCTTGTTTACATCCTGTTGTAAAATGTTACCTTTAATATTTGCTTAGAACCTTGTGAGGAAAAGAAACAATCATTAGATATAAAGGCAACAACATGACATAAGTTTTCACTTCATAAATGTACTAACATGAAACCTTAGCATATCCACACAAAATACAATTTTTTTTTTCAATGATAATCGAGTTTATCAATAACATCAGAATGTGTAAAGCAGTCATATATATTTAGTTAAGTGTAGTTATTGGTTTAGTTAAGACTAATGATAGCAAAGAGTTCTGGCATTTACAGCTAATAAAGTAACAATGAAGCAGTGTTTAGTTATGCCATAAAAGTTTTCACTGCCATTTGATCATCAGTTGTTTTGTTTGTTTGAGCCTCAGTGTAAGCTTTTTTGATCAACAATGTTACGTTTCTCATAGGTTTGTTTCCTATGACCTTTTTGATTTAATTGTGCCTATTTCAACACAACAGTGCACCCACCAAAATGTCTCTCCTGCTTTACTTATAATGATTGAATATATGTTGATATTATTAATCGAATATTTTTAAGGATTTGTATTCGTTAAAACTTGATCACATGTACATTTGTATTTGCTCAGTTTGCACGCCAATACTGTTGTGTTTAGCTTTTCGTAGGTCAAAAACAGCATATTGCACAGGGCATACAGCATGTTACTAAAAATAGATTCTAGAAATCCCCAATTTTACATTGTTCATGCTATAGTTGTTGATTAATAATATAACAATTGTAGCCTTTGGTTGAGGTCAATACGATGTTATATCGACCCAGAGAAGCATATCGACCTCGGACTTCGTCCTCAGTCAATATGCTTCTCTTAGGTCGATATAACCTCGTATCGACCTCATACAAAGGCTATAATTGTATAATATAGAATAGAGAATGGAAACAGGGAATATGTCAAAGAGACAACAACCTGACCAAAGAGCAGAAAACATCCCAAGGCCACCAATGGGTCTTAAACGAAGTGAGAAAATCCGCACCCAGAGGCAGATCTACAAGTATTGCATAAATTTAACATTATCAAAGATCCTATTAACGTGGTAATTAAGCAACCAGTCAATTTTTTCCAAATGCATTGTCACCAAATATCAAAAGTAAAACAATATTTGATCGGCCAATAACAAACAATCACCTCTCATTTTGAACAAGCTTAAAATCAGCAATAAACAATAAATTGTGTAGAATTTGACAAAATAATGTTTTAGGGGTATTTCAGTATCTTTTTCTAGACAAGAGGATAAGTTCTGGAGTTCTATACTAAATCCTGTAAATGGGAGGTAGGTTTGCACTTGCAAGGCCACAAATTTGGCTCTCATCATACCTCCTACTTCACTGTTCAACAGATTTAAGTAAATCATTTTTCGGATGAAAAAATAAACTTTTAGTTTTATTTTTCCTTTATTAGCGTATTTCAGTCATACTTTGCAACTTGAATATAACTCTTGTTCCTGTCCTTGTAAATCTACTGTTTCGTTTCAACAAGAGTGCAAAATTAACACCAGATATATACTTACAAATTATAACCAAATGTTCTGAATGCGTTGCTTAGCTCCTGAGCGTCAATGTTACCAGATCTATCTGTATCAAATCTATAATGTAAAATAGATGAATATGATCAAATTATAAGTTATTTTCACCCCTATCTATCTACGTTAGCTAATAACTTGAGTAAATGTTTTTGTTAGTAGAGCTACACTGTCAAAAACAACATAGTTTAGCCGTTTATAATGTAAGGAGCCAGCAAGGACAAAAAATTGTTTTATCATGCTTGTCCCTTTTAATCACATCTTGTTCTTCACTCTGTATCTTTCAACATAAGTAGACTTTCTAGGCTGTTCATATTGACATTTTTTTTTCCTTCTATCTGCGTTTAGTTTTTTTCTCTGAATCATAAAAATATATCTTAAAAATATTTAATGTATATTTTATGTACATACCTATTTCAAATACCCAGTAGTCTTTAGCAAGAAGATTTTCTAATCTGGTGTTATATTCTTCATTAAGTCTTACCTTTCAAAGCATCCTTTCCAATCTTGTACATATTTCCATAAAGCAGCAAACTCATTGATATCAATTGTACCATCTCTGAAATAAAAAGAACATAGATTAAATGTTAAAACATTATGAAAGAGAAATACTATAATTTTGTTTTCGGTTTTTTATTTCCTTGAGGGGTAAAAAAAAAGTGCCAATACAAATTCAAAGTCACTAAACGGTAATGTTTGCTTTCATTTTGCAATGAGATAATAACATATTATTAAAGCTGAATGGAACACATTTAGGAAATTTTGAGTAATCTTCCTTTGTTTAAATCTGTATTTAAACTTAACCTATTTGCTACAGTTGTGTATTTTTTTAATATAATAGCTTTCTTGACAGGTTTAGTTATATAAATACACATAATTTTGTAAATTGAATAATAATATTAATAATGAATTGCTTGACTAGGGCATGGAAATGATATAAATAATGTTCACTCATATTGTTTGAACTCTGACAGATACAAATGAGATTTGGATAATAGACCTATCAAGCCAGTAACAAAAGGATTTTGGTATATAATCTGTATCCCAAAAAACTACAAATCTTGTTCCATGTTTAAAGCACATTTTAAATTCGTTGGTAGGGGACTAAATACTAGAACACAAAACTCTTAACTTGTACACTGAATAACATACAGAATTGAACAATATAAAACAAATCATATAAACAGACCAAGTACATGCAATCAGACTGATGCAATGTTAAAATCTTCCCTGTCATTCAACTATTTCTTGGCAAATATCATTGATTATATTTATCCCTATATCTTCAATAGAAGTGGATTTACCATAAAAACTTAGTATCAGTCAAGTTATAAAATGTGGTACATTTTCAAAAATCAGTCGTAGATTTTCTCTGACAGGTACCCCGGTAATATTATTTAATCTGACAAATCTTATTTTGGGAACATATAATTGTGGTATTAATGAAATCTTTATGTACATTTAAAATGTCACCACAATGTTTATGCATTAATGTAAAGAACATACAGGTATCTGGCAAAAAGGAAGTCAAAAATTGAGGGATCTGAAAATATCTAACATGGCATAGCTCACCAATCGATGGATGAAAAAAAAAAAAGGCTCTTACTTGTAGTTGCTGAAAAATTGTAACACAAATGTATTTGGCAACATAAAGTAGATAAATGCCAGATCTGAAAATATCTCAGACATAACAGCCTACAAATATGGTGAGTGATATCCAATTTCAAAAATCTTTGATTTACAGTTGCTGAGAAAAAATGAATGATGAAATTTTCTTTCACAGGCATCAATGTTAAGGTCATGCACCTAGGCAAACAGGAAGTGATGGATATTAAACTGTATCAAACAGTATAGCATACAAATATGATGATTGGTGCTTTATATAAAAAAGACCTAATTTGTAATCGCTGATAAAAAAAATGATGAAAAGTTCTTTTATGTACATAATTGCTTTTATCTTCGTCATTTGAAATCTTGTGGATAGTTGTCTCATTGGCAATCATAGCACACCTCCTTATTTTTAATAATGTATGCGGCAAACAGGAAGCAAATAAGATAAGGATCTGAAAATGTGTAACATGGTATAAATTGGCAATATGAAATTTGGTACCAACCATAAACAGGAAGTAGATAAGTATCAGATCTGAAAGATTGTCATAGGGTATAACTTACCAATATGAAACTTGGTACTAAATATCAGGACTATCTTATCTAAATCTTCAGAGAAAAAATGTGACAGAACCAGTATCGGTATATACCCTCCTTTGGAGCAGGGGTATAATAAATTTCAAGACTTCATAGGCACATACCAATGTGAGAAAAAATAGCTGTGCCAAGAGCACATGATACATGAATACATGATACATGAATATCAGGTTTTTTATTTTGAGACTTTTCATAAACTATGCAAAAAAAAACAACATGTAAAAGGCAAGCAATATATAGGTTTAGTATAACAAATAAAGCCCTGTGCGATACCGTAGATGAAGGTTAATACTGCCTAAAGTTTGTGTACATACTAGTACTGTATATTCTGTTTAAGATTAGTGTGCTATGAATGTTGGATGAGTTCAACTATATATGAATCTTAATAAGTTTTATTGTATGCTTATGTATTTCAATTGGAATGTTTTAGCATTAATTGAGTTAGGTTTTACATCGAATTTATGATTCATCTCTGCTAAATAATACCCAATAAAAAGTTTGTTTTCCATTATTTACCAAATGCAACTGGAGTAATGAATAGAACAAATTGAAACATTGTTGCGGGGAAACTACAAAATTTTTCTTTTCAAATATAGTACTTTTAATTGTTATAATTCTTAAAAGGAGAGGATTGAAATCCCTATTCTTATCTTTTATGTACTTTCTTTCCAGAAAAGAATAATAAAATAATATTACATTTGTTTGAATGTGATTCAGATTGCTAATTTCAACCCTTAATTAGGCTACATTTATATATTTAAGCATAAAACTCAATTTAGAAACCTTTAACAACTATTGATTGTTAACAATCTAGGGAAACAATTTTTTACTCAAACAAGAAAAACAACTACAGCATGCTAGAACAATTACAATGTACAATAAGAATGGTGTCTCTTACTTGCTCTTATCAAACATTCCAACCATTAGACGGCAAGTTTCTTCATTAAAAGGTGTCATATTCCCGTTCATTAAGGCTTGCCGTAGTTCAATGGCCGTAATTTTACCCGAACGATCTTGATCAACTGCCTGAAATAAGAATAGCTTACTTGTTAGTGTCGAACATCCCAATCATTAGACGACAAGTTTCTGGATTAAATGGTGAAAAATTGCCATTAAGTAATGCAAGTTGTAACTCGTTGGCAGAAATCTTACCAGAGCGATCCTGGTCAACAGCCTGAAAAATATGGCAAATTATTTCTATATATGTATGTAGACAGCTTGAAGCTTTCATAAAGTCAATAATTGTATTACGATTTGAATATTGATCTTTATTTGAAGATTTATGAAAAGACAATCAATTGATGGATAAACAGAACATTTTGCTCTCTTTTACTGCTTTCTGAATTGCAATGCTAAGATGTACATGTATACAATTTTGTCAAATTTTTCAAATTTTTCATTTTTTTTTAAAACCTGTATTTATTGTCAGGATCAGTAATTTTCTAGAAGAAAAAAAAATGTTCACAGGATGATCTAAGATAATTCAATTTTGTTTTATTCTTCTTACAGGTTCTAAAGTAGGTTTTTGATTAGAGTTTGACACTTTACTTGACCAATATGCTTATGTCACTAAAGGTGAAGAGTATGCTTATCTTGCTGAACCATCATATATCAACCATACTTTTTATGGGAGTCCATATATTTCCTTCTATAATTTTATTTTCTCAGTATTTCACTTGTATAAATAATACCATTTGTCTTATCTCCTACATGATGTACAGCTGTCTTGTTCTATTTCATTGCCGTTCTTCATCTCAAAATCACAAGAAAGCCTCCAAACATGGAGAAAAAGCTCACACCTGACTGTAAGTTCAAGGAAGTCCCTATCAATGGTTTGAGCTAAATCTTTTGCTAAATGTCAATAAGACATTGCCTGTACATTGAAGCACACACATCCAGGGTAATATCAACAAATTACAGGCTATAATGTGTATTAAAGTACCTGTCAGGGTAATGTCAACAAATAACAGACTGTAATGTGTATTAAAGTACCTGTCAGGGTAATATCAACAAATAACAGACTATAATGTGTATTAAAGTACCTGTCAGGGTAAAATCAACAAATAACAGACTATAATATGTACATGTATTAAGTAACCTGTCAGGGTAATATCAACAAATTACAGACTATAATATGTATTAAAGTACCTGTTTTATACTATTCATAATAACTTATACCTGAAACCAATTCCATAACTCTTGACTAACACCTGGTGGTGGAGCAGGTGCTCCATATCCCCCTGGAGGTCCATATCCTCCTTGTGATGGGGCTCCTCCACCATAGGCCCCCTGCTGGTAGCCACCTGGTTGACCATAGGATGCAGGTGGTTGTTGGTAACCTTGTGGCTGGTAGCCCTGGGGTGGGGGTTGTCCATACTGTTGTTGAGGAGGTGGTTGACCATATATTTGTCCTCTGTTTGGTGGTGGGGCTTGTGAGTAAGATGGAGGAGCACCTTGTCCTTGATGAGGTGGCGGTGCACCATATCCTCCCTAAAATAAGTACAACAGCTGTCTAGATATCTAATTAAACATTCAAACATTACATTTAAATAAGAATGAAGTTTCACTTTCAAATTCATGGCAACTTTGTGTTGTCCTCATCCATTTTACCTAAATACTTTGTATGTCCTTATTACATTTGTTGGAATATATAGGAATGGAAATTGATAAAAAAAAAAAATAGCTGTTACTACCTAACATGCCTAAATGCCATACTGAAAATTATAAGAACGCAATTGATGATTCTGACCATTCATATAAAAACAACTTAAAAGTTAAAACGGGATAATCCTACAGATAACCTGTTACAGAAATTACTTTGTTTCATCTGTTACACTTTTCTGTATGTAACAAGGAGTCTTCCTCCATCTTGGACCTTAAAATAACAGAAATAAAATGCTCCGCTGTGGCGCAGCTTGATACGACCGCAGAGGTCGAACCCTGAACAGTTGGGGCAAGTATGGACACAACATTCAAGCTTGATACAGCTCTGAATTTGGATTGTGATTAAATATTTGACACAGCATAGGTTTCTGACACAGAATGAATGTGGTCTAAGAAAATTTTAATTTACCTATTCAAACCATATCATTATTATTTGCTTTTATATATAAATCAGAAATAACCAATTTAAAATGAAAAATTTTAAAGAAAAAAAAAGACCCCCCCCCCCCCCCCAAAAAATTTTTTGAACCCCTTATGATTCATCACCCCAAAACTCAATAACAGCCTTCCTTTTGTGGTATGGTACCTTGCAGTACAATTTCAGAGAGATCCATACACTTGAACACAAGTTATTGTCTGAAAACTAGAAAAATGCTTGTTTTTTGGCCCCTTTTTGGCCCCAAATTCCTAAACATTTAGGGCAATTACCCCCAAACTCAAACCAAGCTTTCCCTTTGTGATATGGAACCTTGTACCGATAGTACAATTTCATAAAGATCCATACACTTACACACAAGTTATTGTCCTGAAACTAGAAAATTGCTTGTTTTTTTCCCCTTTTTGGCCCCCAATTCCTAAAATTTTGAGGCAATTACCCCCAAAATCAATACTAGCCTTCCCTTAGTGGTATGGTACCTTGCAGTACAATTTCAGAGAGATCCATACACTTGAACACAAGTTATTGTCTGGAAACTAGAAAAATGCTTATTTTTGGCCCCTTTTTGGCCCCTTTTTCCTAAACGTTTTGGGCAATAACCCCCAAACTCAATTCCAGCTTTCCCTTTGTAATATAGAACCTTGTAGTACAATTTCAGAAAGATCCATACACTTACAAACAAATTATTGTCATGAAACTAGAAAAATGCTTGTTTTTGCAACTTTTTTGGCCCCTAATTCTTAAAATTTTGAGGCAACTACCCCCAAAATCAATCCCAGCTTTCCCTTTGTGATATGGAACCTTGTGGTACAATGTCAGAGAGATCCATACACTAACACACAAGTTATGTCTGGAAGTTACAATAAAATGCTTCGCTGGGGCGCAGCTTGATACGACCGCAGAGGTCGAACCCTGAACAGTTGGGGCAAGTATGGACACAACATTCAAGCTTGATACAGCTCTGAATTTGGATTGTTATTAAATATTTGACACAGCATAGGTTTCTGACACAGAAAGAATGTGGTCTAAGAACTTGATTTTTTTTTAATTTACCTATTATGGTCCAATGTCCAAAATCAAAATACATGGTTAGATTAAGCATATCAAAGAACCCCATATATTCAATTTTTGTTAAAATCAAACAGAGTTTAATTTTGGACCCCAACTTGGACAAACTTGAAAACTGGGCCCATAATCAAAAATCTAAACACATGTTTAGTGTCAGCATATCAAAGAACCCCAAGAATTCAATTTTTGCTAAAATCAAACTAAGATTAATTTTGGACCCTTTGGACCTTAATGTAGACCAATTTAAAAAACAGGACTTAAAATTAAAAATCTAAATACACGGTTAGATTTGGAATATCAAAGAACCCCAATAATTCAATTTTTGATGAAATCAAACAAAGTTTAATTTTGGACCCTTTTGACCTCAATATGAACCAATTTGATAGCGGGGCCCACAAATAAAAAATCTAAATTCATGGTTAGATTCAGCATATCAAAGAACCCCATATATTTAATTTTTGTTGAAATCAAAATTTTTTTTTTTTTTGGACCCCAACTTGGACCAACTTGAAAACTGGGCCCATAATCAAAAATCTAAACACATGTTTAGATTCAGCATATCAAAGAACCCCAAGAATTCAATTTTTGTTAAAATCAAACTAAGTTTAATTTTGGACCCTTTGGACCTCAATGAAGACCAATTTAAAAAACGGGACCCAAATTAAACAGCTAAAAACACGGTTAGATTTGGCATATCAAAGAACCCCAATAATTCAATTTTTGATGAAATCAAACAAAGTTTAATTTTGGACCCTTTTGACCTCAATATGAACCAATTTGATAGCGGGGCCCACAAATAAAAAATCTAAATACATGGTTAGATTCAGCATATCAAAGAACCTCATATATTCAATTTTAGTTGAAATCAAACAAAGTTTAATTTGGACCCCAATTTGGACCAACTTGAAAACTGGGCCCATAATCAAAAATCTAAATACATGTTTAGATTCAGCATATCAAAGAACCCCATATATTCAATTTTTGTTGAAATCAAACATAGTTTAAATACTGGACCCTATCTTGGACCAACTTGAAAACTGGGCCCATAATCAAAAATCTAAACACATGTTTAGATTCAGCATATCAAAGAACCCCAAGAATTCAATTTTTGTTAAAATTAAACTAAGTTTAATTTTGGACCCTTTGGACCTTAATGTAGACCAATTTAAAAAACAGGACCCAAAATTAAAAATCTAAATACACGGTTAGATTTGTAATATCAAAGAGCCCCAATAATTCAATTTTAGATGAAATCAAACAAAGTTTAATTTTGGACCCTTTTGACCTCAATATGAACCAATTTGATAACAGGGTCCACAAATAAAAAATCTAAATACATGGTTAGATTCAGCATATCAAAGAACGCCATATATATTCAATTTTTGTTGAAATCAAACAAAGTTTATTTTGGACCCCAATTTGGACCAACTTGAAAACTGGGCCAAAAATCAAAAAATGAAATACATGTTTAGATTCAGCATATCAAAGAACCTCATATATTCAATTTTTGCTAAAATCAAACAAAGTTTAATTTTGGACCCTTTGGACCTTAATGTAGACCAATTTGAAAACTGGACCCAAAATTAAAAATCTAAATACACTGTTAGATTCGGCATAACAAATAAATAAATGTGATCAAAGATTTTACAAATCTAATGTGCCATACTGTGCAATTAAAGATTACTTCTTGAAATTTTTCAATATTTGAAATTTGAAAAAAAAATAATATTTGAAGAATAATTCTTTTTAATTTCTGAAATCTGAAATGAGAAAAAAATTGACCACCCACAATTTCTTTTTATCCCCCCCCCCTTTTTTCCCCCAAAAAATTCTTTCCCTCAAGATATGGTCATAATCTCAATTCAAATTTCCAATGGAGTTGGCAACCATAATTACCCATTTAAATTTACCATAGTTCTAACTTAATCTATTTTATAATAGAATTAAAAATATAATGTCAAATCTTTCATATGGATTTTTTTGTAAAAAAAAAAGATGCAACATTTGCAGATATTTTTACTGGTCTTCCTTTATAAATATGCATTTCTTTAAACATAATTTAAAAGCAGTGTAAGGGAAGTAACCAAAACGTTGTATTTGGATTACCTCCCTTACACTGTTTTAAATTATCTTTATTGTTCATTAACCATTACTTTCTACATAATTTAAAAGCAGTGTAAGGGAGATAATTTCAATGATGTATTTGATTTATCTCCCTTACACTGCTTTAAATTATGTTTTGTACTAAAGTATTTGTCCATTAACCAGGACAACCTTGTTTTTCCCCCTTTTTTGCCCCTAATTCCTAAACAGTTTGAGCCATAACCCCCCAAAGCAAATCCTAACCATCCCTTTGTGGTATGGAAACTTGTAGTATAATTTCAGAGAGTACCATACACCGTTCCACAGTTATTGTCTGGAAACTAGAAAATGCTTATTTTTGGCCCCTTTTTGGCCCCTAATTCCTTAACTGTTGGTACCATAACCCCCAAAATCAATCCTAACCTTCCTTTTGTGGTATTTAACCTTATGGTAAAATTTCAAAAAGATCCATTCACTTAAACTAAAGTTAGAGTGCGAAAACCAATGTGTCTTCGGACGACGACGCCGGACGACGACGACGCCAACGTCATACCAATATACGACCACAAAATTTTTTTGCGGTCGTATAAAAATGCTTATTTTTGGCCCCTTTTTGGCCCCTAATTCCTTAACTATTGGTACCATAACCCCCAAAATCTATCCCAACCTTCCTTTTGTGGTATTGAACCTTATGGTAAAATTTCATAGAGATCCATTCACTTAAACTAAAGTTAGAGTACGAAAACCAATGTGTCTTCGGACGACGACGACACCAACGTCATACCAATATACGACCGCAAATCGTATAATAATTGGTCTAGATTTTAATGAAATAAGCAGGAATGCTTTTTATTCAAATATCTTATCTAATTATGACAATTGTTTTCTACAAAACAGAAAATTTTTTGATTGAATCAAAAAGTTCTAAACTTAGTCAAATAAGGGGAGATAACTCGGGTATTATAATTTTATAAATGATTGGGTAGTAAACAAAATCATTTTTAAGTAAGAAAAAAGATGGCAACACCATTTTTTCTTTCGATTTTCTAAAAGCATTTTATACATGAGCTGTATTTAAGCAAGAAAAAAGATGGCAACACCATTTTTTCTTTCGATTTTCTAAAAGCATTTTATACATGAGCTGTATTTAAGCAAGAAAAAAGATGGCAACACCATTTTTTCTTTCGATTTTCTAAAAGCATTTTATACATGTTATAAGAGCTATCTTCTCATAATTTAATCTTATTCTAAAATTCTGTCATCAAGTTTTTTCTTTTCACATTAAAGTGCTTTTTCCATGTATAATCCTTCCAAAATGTGTCAATTTTTAACAACCTGTAGCTTGAAAACAAACTCAGTGACAGCAACCTTTAATTTTTATCTTATTTTTGGACATCGCACAATGTCAACTATACTTTAAAAAAATATGAGAAAACTCTGTCATTTTTTTGTTTAGACCATCATATTACATTCATGTTCAAAAAATGTAAATTGGAAAGACATGAAAGAGGAAATTTCAAAGGGTGACATAATACTTTTTTAATTGAATTTTGATTTCATATTTTTCATCAATACAATTTCTCAAATTTGTGATAATTTAAATCTCTTACCAAAAATTAAAATTGACAAACTGATTATTTTGACGCTTTGGGATGCAAATGTAAATAATTTATAAGGAAAAAGAGTGAATTGTGCTTTACATTCATAATACAGTGAAGTTAAAAACATCCTGGACGGTGCACTAGATCGTAATTTATAACTAATATCATAGATTTATTATAAACAATATAATAGGTGTTTTAACGAGTACTAATTAGTGATAACGAATTATACAATTCATAATAAGATTTTTAATCTGAGGAATTAGTTATCACATATTTGTGGAATTTGTGATAACAGATTAAATTCTAATATTACAGAATGCTTTATTCATGCAAACAGATTAACTTCATTATTATGAATTTACATAATCATGATCATGGATTGAAATCTTATAATGTATTGTATAATTGTTGTAATATGTAAACACAGATTAATTTGTGATAAGAATTCTGAAGAATATCTATAACATATTTTTGTAATTTGTGATCACAGATTAAATCCATGGTCATGATGGTAAAGAATTCCAATATTGATAACATTTTCTCAAATTTACCAGAATTATAAAAATCTGGGATACTGTGGATTCATTATTATTCATTGTGAACAAATTTTCATGAATTTCTTGGGTATACATGGCTGCAATGAATTAATTATTCAAAGAAGTATAAATTTCTGCTAGGATTGTATGTAAAATTTGGCAAAACCATGAAATTAAGTGTCAATGAAAATATGATTTTCTGATTTACCGAAATTGGTAACCATGAAAATAAATGAATCCACAGAAACAAATTGAATGCATGATCATGAATAACATATTATATGAAATATATAGCTAATTCCACAGATTCATTATCAGGAATATAATATGTGATAATTAGCTTTAATTGGTGATTACCAATTACGACTAGTTACTGTCAGAAATACACAATTTTTCTCAATAATTTTGAACATATACTCTATGGGGAAATATACTTTTAATATAAAAAGGGTTACCAAAAGTAAGGTTTACCGACCATAGGCATAGACTAGGACTTTATGCAACGCTTCTTTATTGAATAAAATGGCAGGTGACGGTACATGTAACTGGTAACTGTTCCTCAACCAGTACAATTAATGATAACAATTTCAATCTATGATTATGATCTTTTGATTTCTTCATCTCAAATCAAAATTATATTCCAGGGAGGTCCAGAACATGTTAATACTGTACAGAGCCAGAGCTCCAACTCCATTTAGGTGTCACACGTAAGAGTCAGGTTCCTACCTTCTCAAAACATGTGCTAAACTTACAGACTAGAAATTTCATAACCTAGAAAATTTACAATTTAAGTCTGAAATCTTTTCAAAACTTGTTGGATTAAAGTTATTGCGGAAATAAAAAAAACTACTAAAAATTATACTCTATGCACAATAAGTCAAATATAATCTGATTTTTTTTACAGCTTCTACAAAAATGACAGTGATTGTGAACATCGTTTGTGGAATTTATAAGTATCTTACGTATTGTTGTTGGGGTGGACCACCCCAAGACATTTTGAAATAATGTTAAAACGAAACGAAGAAATTAATTTGACTAATGATCACAACTAAACACAGGACAGTGCTGACATCTATTTTACTCAAAGGTAGATAACTTTTCTACCAGGAGAAGACAAATTATGTCTTTCAAATCTGGGTCCATCATCATTTCTCCGTTTTCAAGCAAGAAATGCGAACAACAAAATATATACTTTGAATCTTTTTTACATATGTTTTCTGTGCATAAAAATATTGCATTGAATATTCAAATGTGCTTTGTGTGCAGTGTTCTTTAAATGTGTGCTTTGTATGATGTATGTGTTCGCATGCTCCATAAATGTACTTTGTGCGTTTATATTTGTTTTTTTAGGGTGTTTTATATGTGCCTTTTATGATTCATAAGTTTGTGTTTTACCTTTCTGTAGGATTAATTGTTTGCATGAATGTCGCTTCAAACGCTCAATGCCGAGCTCGTTGTTTTGATACAAATCATTGGCTTGTCGACTTTATTTTATCTTATTTCATAGATTAGAGGTAACGCTAGTCTTGCTAATGTTACTCACCTCAAAGTTTTCCTTATCATCACAGCTTTGCATTGATTAGAACTTAGAGTGTAAGAGCGGGTGTTATATAGCCATTTCCCCCCTATGCCAGTTTTTTCTCCGGGTGAAGTCTTTTCGCACCGTGTTGAAGGCCTCAATGTGACTTTGAAAGGAAAAAGAGCCATAAAAGCGTTGTTCCTTAATTTGCTTTTTGTATGTTTTTTGCGGTGCATGTACTGATTTTGTGTCATGGATGGATACCCCATATATATATCCTTCGTTTTTTATGATCTCATTTTCCCACTGGGGAAATTTTGGATCATTGCTCAATCACTTTTCCCCCGGTCATGCCCCTATTTCTTCTACACTATGGATTTCACAATATATATATACTTAAAAATTGCATATCATGGTTTTCCGTATTTTCTTAAGAAATGATTGATCTCTGGAACGCTAAAATAATCTGTTTTTCGGCTTGGGCTGAATAGCCGGAAGAAATGTTTGGTACACATTGTGTTCGTTTTGTCGACATGTGTCTTACCAGAAGTCCATTGCTAATGGACTTCTGGTCTTACTTAACAGGTCTAGTGTTAGGGAGTAGGGGAGGGACATCTTTAATATTTTGCTACATGGGTGCCGTTTGCATTCGAAAAATACCCCTATTGATATATTGATTCTGTATAAAAATCCGACGTATTCGTATGGCTTTAATACCATGATTAAAAAATGTGTTTCTATTCATAAGTTACCGTAGATTATTAAATGCTATTGTCGAAATTGGAAATTAACACTTTCACCACAGGAATAAATGTATTTAAAATTCATGTCGAAGATATCTTGAGCCCTTGATATATTGGTTAATAAAATTGCCACCTATTATTGACATATGATAGGCTGAAATTTTCATCCATTCATATATTTAACATCATGAAAAGCGGACATCGGTATATAACTTATTTATAGGAAGTGATCCCCGTGATTGCAACAAAACTTAGTCAGTACACATTGAAACAAGAATAAAATAATTTCTTTTACAATTTTATAACCGGGGGGTTTTCCGGCTATAGTAATTCAAAGACGGAATATTAATACTTTAAACTTTATTCGCAAGGTCCGGACAGTACCAGACCTGAGACCTAAACTGACTTCAAAATAACATACAAAAGTATATATAAAAAATAGTATCTATAGAAAAGGATTAGTGTCCAACGGATTAACTTTTTATCGTCAAGGTGGTTTCCATTACGACAAATATATATTTAACAATAGAATTAATTAAACACAAAGAAATGCAAAAGGTTAGATAAACGGATTAACAAATTGTCACCCTTTAGCACTTAAAATATAATGTCTGAACTGGCTTTATTTCTACTTCACATGTGTCCAAATCTTCCTGGTTATAATTTCTTTATTGAACCTTTGTACTAATTCACTTTTGGCACTGCACAACATCGTGTCTTCATAAACTGTTACGACTCGTACATGACGTTGTTGTTTGACATCTACTCCAAAGTATAGTCATCGTATAAGTGAGGGGCCTGATGGGTTATTTTCGTTCTTCGTCATCGGCGCATTTCCGCTATCGTGATCCGTTTTTCTACAGATTTTTTTTTATATTTTCGTGATCCGTAATCATGGAAATTTATTTTCTGTGAATCGTGATTGACAAAAAAATCAACTCGTGAATCGTGATGAGACCCCCCCCCCCCCAATCAGGCCCCTCATAAGTGGACGAACATTTTTTTTCCGTAAAAAGAGGGGTGGGTGACACATTTTTCTGGAATAGTTTATTCGCGGCCTTGTTTTCAAAAAATGCCAAGTTGTGGTGGTGTCCGTTTTTAGTATAATAGTCCCAGCTTATGAATAAAGAAATGAGGTATAAATACATGTTGCTTTATATATAATTCTCACTGGCCATTTTGCCTGTCTTTAATAATTCAGATTTTCAGTATATTAATTAAGAAAAGAAATAAATATAGAAACATTCACTTTCATAAGAAACCTCTAAAAAATATGTCTTCTTTAAAAAAAATAAATAAACAAAGCATGCATATTAAAATTGATATTCTAATTTGAAAAATCCCATGAGTTTTGAAATTAAAAGTTACTTAACATACAATTTAATCAGAAATCTCTAAAAAAAAATGTCTTTTTTGTCTCGCCTGTCACGAAAGTTACGGAAGTCGAGACATAGGGATTGCTTTTCCAGCGACGATGACGACGGCGTCAACAATTGTTAAGGATGTACTTAGGTCAGGTTTAGGAATTTTTGTCAGATGTTCGGACTCCTTAGTTTTTTTCCTACGATACAAGGTAAAATATTTTGCCCCATAACACCCATTTTTCTTTTCATATAAGACTTCAATAGCTCACTAAAGGCCATTTACCCAAATTTAGGCAGATTCTAGATTTCTTTTCTTTCGATTTGAGACCCAAATAATACCAACGCAAATATAAGGTAAAAGTCCGAGTCAGCCTTTTCCCGCCATTTAAAAAAAAATAAATATCTCGAAAAGGAGCTCCATAACCTTTCAATATTTTTAGCATATTTTGTTCCTTAACTAATGATATTTTGACTTATAGTATCAATTTTAGATTCTAGATTTTTTTAATTTCACCCCTAATCTAAAAAAGAAGGAGATGTGGTATGATTGCCAATGAGACAACTATCCACCAAAGTTCAAATGAAGTGGATGTAGGCAATGATAGGTAACCGTACGGCCTTCAACAATGAGAAAAACTCATACCGTATGGTCGGTTATAAAAGGCCCCGACATGAAAAATATGAAACAATTCAATTGAGAAAACTAACGGCCTAATTTATAACAAAACAATTTACGAAAAACAAATATGACAGACATGAACCAACGACAACCACTTAACTACAGGCTCCTGACTTGGGACAGGCACATAAAGAATGTGGCGGGGTTAAACATGTTTGTGAGCGCTCAACCCCCCCCCCCCCCCCTAACCTGGGATAGTAGTGTAACAGTACAACATAATAACAAACTATAAAAATCAGTTGAAAAAGGCTTAACTCATCAGAGGGATACAAATAGAAACACATCTAACAGAAACACAGAGTGGACGTGGACGGGTACTTATACATCCCAAAAACAAAAAGACACTAAGTACAGATCTGAGAGTACTTGCAGTTACTGACAGCTAGTTCGAAGCCAATAACAACTAATGAAAAAAAAATCATGTATCTAAGACTAAAATATCAATCAGTACACATCCAACATCATATGGATTTATTATAAAGACGTCATTAACATGACCTTCGGCTTGTGCAATGCCAAACTATAGGTATCGACAGATTGTAGTACCGTGAAAGTACATATGTGTAATGTTTAGTATGGTTTTAATTTACTGATAACAAAGTCAATATTTATACCTATAAAAACAATATTCAAAGATTTAATTACAGTGTTGAATAGGTAACCTTTTAGAATAAGTTTATTTAAAGGATTGATAAGTTTACACGGATCGTTTCTAAATTTCCAACATCACCGTAAAATTTAGGATGTGCTATTCCGTTTGAAAAAAGTTTTCTATAGGTACAGCCAAACTTGCAGACTTCTTTAACGTTTGTTTGATAGGAACTACTTGTGATTTATCATTGATATTTAATATGAAGTAGCATTACTATCAGTAAATATCAGTTTGGTGACTATTTGGAGGCCCTGCTCCCTAGGTCATGGCCTAGTGACTTTGAATTAATTAGCAATTTTCAATGTTAAGTTTGTTTGATTGAATCCACTTGTGATAGATCAATGATATTTTGTATGAAGTCGCATTACTATCAGTACATATCAGTTTGACGACTAATTTGAGGCCCTGCCCTCTATGCATTGTCTAGTGACTTTGAATTAATGAGCAATTTTAATGTAAAGATGTCTGCTTAAGTTAGTTTGATAGAATCTACTTGTGATAGATCAATGATATTTTTTATGAAGTTGCATTACTATCAGTTCATATTGGTTTGACGACTATTTCGAGGCCCTGCCCCCTAGGTCATGGTCCAGTCACTTTCAATTAATTAGCAATTTTCAATGTTATGTTTTCTGCTTAAATCAGTTTGATAAGAACTATATACTTGTGATAGATCAATGATATTTTGTATGAAGTTGCATTACTATCAGTATATAGTAAATATCAGTTTGACAACTATTTTGAGATCCTACCTCCAAGGACATGGTCCAGTGACTTTGAATTAATAAGCAATTTATAATGTTAAGTTTTCTGCTTAAGTTAGATCGATTGGAACTACTTACAATAGACAACAATATTTTCTATAAAGTTACATTACTGTCTGTACATCTCAGTTTGTCGACCATTTTCAGGCCCTGTCCACTATATCATGGTCCAGCGACTTTGAATTAAAAAGCAATGTTGCTGTCCCTCAGATTGTCTTTTTTTTAATTTTATGCAGACTGGCGAGACAAATCTCTGTGTCAGCAGTTTATTTTCAAATATAATACTAAAATTGATATTCCATTTAAAACTTATTATAATAAAAATATCCCATAAGATTTGAAATTAAAAAAGTAAAATTCAACAACCTCAAAATGCTTTACAAATGCCCTTGAACAACTTGCTTTTGATTCATGTTATAGTTTGCACAACTTCGGAAACATGCCGTACTACTGCAGACATGAATTGCAAATAACACTTGTTTCTTTTATTTGAATCTGCATCACTTTAAATTTGCAAAAATTGTAGATATATACACCACATTCAACTTTGATGGGTTAAATCAAATCCTTGGTTAAATGCTCTCAATACATTGTCATGCATCATCTCAGGAACATATATATTGTTAAATATACTGTTCCCATATCGTCTGTACAATATTTCTTTATTCACTTTATACTCAATAGTTTGTCTAGTTACGAACTTGAAACCATTTCATGGCGGGTTTCTACGTGTTCCTCCTCTATCATCAGACTGTCACCAATCGATGACTTCAATTTCTTTCCGCATAAACCACTCAAAGATAATCAAGAGATCGAGTCTCTATAGATGCTTTTTGATAAAAAAGGATGAACATTTCGTGCCCGCTTTTTGTGTAATCCCATTACAGTTTGTGTAACTCCCTTAATTTGGTCGCCCGCACTTTTTCATTGTAAGTGTAGAGTTCAATATATCATCTTCGAGTTGATTGTCATCTGTCTCTCTGATTCGAATTCACCAAAGACATGTATTATATGTTTCTGGTTCCAGTTTATAAGTGTTTCCACAAAAAATAAATGTTTATATTGAATATTGATTATTTATTTCATTTTATAACCTAATTCGTTTAAACAGATATACAATCAAAATAAAGGTAAGTTAAGCAGCAAAAATGTGCTTTTAATTTAGATTTAATTTTTTGGACTAATATGGTAAACATAACCTAGATTAGACCAAAGACGGTAAAGGGCTTGTTGGTATTTCGCCAAATCTGCATTTAACTAAGTTCATAAAATCGTTTTTGATTGGACGAATGCAACCACAAACCCAATCAAATCATCTTTTACAGATAGACGGTTTCGTGACGTAAATTTCGGATTTTCCCCACCGTTATTGCTCAAGACTGGCATTGAAAAAGGTCACCTGAAAAGGTAAAACAAAATGATACAGAAAGTGCATCTCTTTTCAAAATTTAACATAATGTAGAAAGACTTATTCGATTGTCAAGTATAACTGATTCATTAATTTCTGTTTTCAGGTCCTCTAACAACCAAACTCAAGTCAAGGACAAACAGAAAATAGACCGACAATAGTGTTTTTTTTGTGTCCTTTAGAACGGTCACCAGTTTGTCATTTCTTCGAGACACTTACATATGATATTACGCAAAATTACGTAAGGATATTGTTCAATGGAAATTTATTAAATCGTTTGATTGCCATCAGGCTTTTGATGTGTTGATTAGAAATCTGGAGCGACACCTGAATTTTGATTTAAGACATAATATAAGACATTTTCACACACTAAAGACGTCATGTATCGTGTGAAGACTATAGCTTCTGGTCTCACTAGGCCAGCACTGTATCAAGTGAAGTGTCTGCATCACCAAAGATTTGCAGAAGTGACAGGTGTACCATTCAGGAAATATGCTTCAAGTGCACAGGCTGAATCATTTCTTAATGGAAGTTCAGGAAGTTATGTTGAAACAATGTACGAGTCTTGGCAAAAAGACCCAAATAGTGTGCACAAGGTGTGGTTCTATTCATAAGATCAAATCCTTGTAATTGTGTTAAGTGAATATGCCAATCTCGTGTTTGTACGCCTTTTTCTACTTCACAACAGAATTTTTTGTTGTTGCATTATATGTAGGTCAACCTGGGCAAAATTGAGGTTACTCGTAGTATAATCCAGGAACACGGGATTGGTTTATTGGAATTTAATTGATTTCATTAATCTATCTATGGTTTTTGTTTTGATATTTAAAAAAAAAATTTGTTATATAGACTTTGCTTTTCCATCAGTCCACAGTGATCAGCAAACATGGCAGCTCTTTTAAGTAAAAATATTCATAAGTCATGAAGATTTCCATAAAACTTACATTATACATCTGCCATTTATTTTAATTGTAAGATCATTTTGTGAAAAGAGTCACATGTGCACTCAAGATTATATTGTTCAATGTTAATATATAGAATTGTTTAATACAATAATCTGTGTTTAAATGCATACATGTAGCTATATCACAATGGGGTTGAAGGCATAGATGAAATTAACAAAATAATGACAACACAATACATTGTACACAATACATCATAAGAATAATAAAAGTACAAAGCATAATGTAAATATTGAAACATCATGCCCAAAGTTTTGTCTACCATATACCAATTCACACTGTGGATGATTGGAAATAGCAAAATACAAGTATACCAGTAACTCGTTTCATGAATAAAGTATTATACCCCAAATCAGGTATCAATTAAACATGTTAAAAGTGATTAGAATAATGTAATTCTGGATTTTTAGTATATTTGCTGTCATGGTGCACATGTTGATGTAAAAGGCAACATTCTTGCCCAAAGACACCATGCCTGAAATATCATCAGGATAAAAGTTAATGTCCTTAGAAAATAGAACTTTGGGAGACCATTAGATTTTATTCAGTTCCCAATATGAACTATTGTCTTAAAGGAAAATGAAATGCAATATAATTCCATGACAACCATCTGATACATGTATAATGAAATTTAGAATTAGAATGATGATACCTGATTTGGGGTACAATATACATATTAAATGAGGATACTACCCATTTATGAATATCTTTCTAAATCGGCTTAAATTGTTAATTATATAATATTACATGTATTATATTCAATTATACAAATGTAGCATACTGATAACAATGTACATAAAATGTAAACAATTGTAGGTTTAAGAGGGAATTAGTTTAATAAGGGATTTTTTTGGTTTTAATTTTCTCTGTTTTGAAGCATTTTGAAATACATGTACACTGGTACCTTTATTTTCAGGAGAAAATGTTGAAAACAGTGTTGCATGTATAAGATTGAAAAATATATGATGTACCCGAGACGTATATATATGTCTCTGGATGTACATGTAATTCATACAAAACTGGTGCATTTGTATATATTTCCATGAATGCATTCTGATATAAAACTATGACATTTTTTGTACTTTCAACACTTATACATTTGGATTGGAAGGGTAACAAATGATTTTTATTTTTTTTTTATATTTGTTTGTGTATACTATACAACATGTACAAGAATGCATGCGTCGACAAAAAAGATATTTATAACATAATGGTTGTTTTAACATTAGACATATCCGACTTAAATATTTAGTTATTTTTGTATATATTAACCTAACCAAACCAGTGTTTAAATTCCATTCACTTTGATAATTCCATTAGAGGAAACGCTATAAGCAAAGTAAGATGGCTCAGACCTGAACTATTAAAGTTAATGTTTCATGTCATGATTTATTATTAGGTGAAGATAGAGCAGTCTAAGGTGTACATCATGTACATGTCTTTGTGATTTGTAGATCATTTCAGGTATTGAAAGGTTCATGTTAGTATGTTTACGTAAGTGCAGTGCAATAGAAGGAACTATTACCATCCAATCATAGTGATTGACCTCTGTTTCATGAGAAGGTTAAAACAATTTTGAACACCTTCACAAATGTACATGTAGTTATCAGGAACACTAGTCCAAAAAAGTTTGACATGATATGGAAACTTCATTCAAAGTGACATTTTATAAGTAAATTAGTAATTAGTTCTATACATTGTTTTAGTGAGCCATTTTTGTAGAGCCTTCGACTTTTGTCGAAAAAGCGAGACATAGCGATCCACAAATATTCACTCTGTGATTGAAGTTTTTGAAATTTTAATAACTTTCTTAAACTATCCTGGATTTCTACCAAACTTGCACAGAAGCTTGTTTATGATCATAAGATAGTATCAAGAAGTAAATTTTGTAAAAAAAAAATCCTGTTTTTCCGTATTTTACTTGTAAATGGACTTAGTTTTTCTGCCAGGAAACATGACATTCACTCTGTGGTTAAAGTTTTTAAAATTTTAATAACTTTCTTAAACTATCCTGGATTTGTACCAAATATGGACAGAAGTTTGTTTATGATCAAAAGCTAGTATCTGTACTTGTTTATCCATATTTTACTCATAAATGGACTTAGTTTTTCTTCCAGTTAACATTAGATACAGTCTGCAGTTAAATTTTGTAAAACATTTATTAGATTCATAAACTATCCTGGATTTTTACCAAACTTGGACAGAAGCTTCTTACAATAAAAAAATTGTATCGAGAGGAATATTTTTATTAAATTTTTTCCTCATCGCATTTTTTGTTGAGCCTGCTATTAACAGCAAAAGTAGGCGAGACACTGGGTTCCGTGGAACCCTTACAAATTTTTTGTGTACTTGTCATTGCTTGTATTTTTAATTCCTTTTCTATAGTTAGTATTGCCGTACATGTACTGATATCAATAGTCAGAACTCAGACATATACACGTTTATTTTTGCTTTCTGACTTATGATAAAAATGTGTTAACAATTTTGGACTTGTATAAGTCAGAAAATGACAGACTTGTTAAGTTCAAATTAAGGATCAAAGGTCAAGTACATTCCTTATGACAATTAAAAAAATTCTGAAAATTAACAAGGACCTGAACTATAAGTAATGTACTGGTTAGATAAATTGTTTCTCACATCTAAGTTTTCATTTTTTAGTGACCTGTTATAAATAGTTAAAAAAAATTAATAAATTTTTTTTTTTAGACTCTCATTCATATTTTTTTCAGAAGATAAAGCATTGAATACAGATTTCATGTCACAGTTGTCACAAATTCATGAAAATGCAAAACTCAACTTTCAGACTGGTACTTAAACATGGGTCTTGATTTGAAGTTAGTCAGCTTCGGTAAATTGTTAACTTGAAGAAGTCAATATTTGCAAAATCTTGATATACAATGTTGGTCAGATATTTTTTTGGTCTAGCATAAGTTGACTCGCAGAAGTCATATTTTACTTTTAAAAAAGGTAGACAACCCATGAAACATACACATTTAGATTTGTATGCATCAAAAGCAAAATATGACTGTTTTTTTTATTATATTTACAAGTTTGATCGGAAGTACTTGCGATAGATCAATGATATTTTCTATAAAGTTGCATTACTATCAGTACATATGAGTTTGACGACTATTTATACTCCCTGCCTCCGTAGGTCATGGTCCAGTGACTTTCAATTAATTACCAATTTTCAATGTCAAGTTTCTTCTTTAATTTGTTTGATAGGAACTATTTACAATAGACAATAATATTTTCTATAAAGTTACATTACTGTCTACATCTCAGTTTGTTGACCATTTCAAAGCCTTGTCCAATAGTTAAGGGCCCAGCGACTTTGAATTAATTAGCAATGTCTTTATTGAATTTGATGCCAACAGGCGAGACATTTCTCTGTGTTTATTATGATGGAAGTTTTCATATCCAAGTAATTTTTTATATTTTTTTGCGGTCGTATATTGGTATGACGTTGGTGTCGTCTTCGTCGTCCGAAGACACATTGGTTTTCGCACTCTTAACTTTAGTTTAAGTGAATGGATCTCTTTGAAATTTTACCATAAGGTTCAATACCACAAAAGGAAGGTGGGGATTGATTTTGGGGGTTATGGTACCAACAGTTAAGGAATTAGGGGCCAAAAATAAGCATTTTCTAGTTTCCAGACAATAACTGTGGAACGGTGTATAGATCTCTCTGAAATTATACTACAAGTTTCCATACCACAAAGGGATGGTTAGGATTTGCTTTGGGGGGTTATGGCTCAAACCATTTAGGAATTAGGGGAAAAAAAGGGGGAAAAACAAGGTTGTCCTGGTTAATGGAAAAATACTTTAGTACAAAACATAATTTAAAGCAGTGTAAGGGAGATAAATCAAATACATCATTGAAATTATCTCCCTTACACTGCTTTTAAATTATGTATAAAGTAATGGTTAATGAACAATTAAGACAATTTAAAACAGTGTAAGGGAGGTAATCCAAATACAACGTTTTGGTTACTTCCCTTACACTGCTTTTAAATTATGTTTAAAGAAATGCATATTTATAAAGGAAGACCAGTAAAAATATCTGCAAATGTTGCATCTTTTTTTTTTACCAAAAAATCCAGATGAAAGATTTGACACTATATTATAAATTCTATTATAAAATAGAATAAGTTGGGACTATGGTAAATTTAAATGGATAATTATGGTTGCAAACTCCATTGAAAATTTGAATTGAGATTATGACCATATCTTGAGGGAAAGAATTTTTTGTGGGAAAAAAGGGGGGGGGGGGGGTAAAAAGAAATTGTGGGGGTCAATTTTTTCTCATTTCAGATTTCAGAAATTATAAAGAATTATTCTTCAAATATGATTTTTTTTCAAATTTCAAATATTGAAAAAATTCAAGAAGTAATCTTTAATTGCACAGTATGGCGCATTAGATTTGTAAAATCTTTGACCACATTTATTTATTTGTTATGCCGAATCTAACCGTGTATTTAGATTTTTAATTTTGGGTCCAGTTTTCAAATTGGTCTACATTAAGGTCCAACGGGTCCAAAATTAAACTTTGTTTGATTTTAACAAAAATTGAATATATGGGGTTCTTTGATATGCTGAATCTAAACATGTATTTAGATTTTTGATTTTTGGCCCAGTTTTCAAATTGGTCCAAATTGGGGTCCAAAATTAAACTTTTTGTTTGATTTCAACAAAAATTGAATATATGGGGTTCTTTGATATGCTGAATCTAACCATGCATTTAGATTTTTTATTTGTGGACCCCGCTATCAAATTGGTTCATATTGAGGTCAAAAGGGTCCAAAATTAAACTTCGTTTGATTTTATCAAAAATTGAATTATTGGGGTTCTTTGATATGCCAAATCTAACCATGTTTTTAGATTTTTAATTTTGGGTCCCGTTTTTTAAATTGGTCTACATTAAGGTCCAAAGGGTCCAAAATTAAACTTAGTTTGATTTTAACAAAAATTGAATTCTTGGGGTTCTTTGATATGCTGAATCTAAACATGTGTTTAGATTTTTGATTATGGGCCCAGTTTTCAAGTTTGTCCAAGTTTGGGTCCAAAATTAAACTTTTTTTGATTTCAACAAAAATTGAATATATGGGGTTCTTTGATATGCTGAATCTAACCATGTATTTTGATTTTAGACATTGGACCATAATAGGTAAATTAAAAAAAATTCAAGTTCTTAGACCACATTCTTTCTGTGTCAGAAACCTATGCTGTGTCAAATATTTAATCACAATCCAAATTCAGAGCTGTATCAAGCTTGAATGTTGTGTCCATACTTGCCCCAACTGTTCAGGGTTCGACCTCTGCGGTCGTATTAAGCTGCGCCCAGCGAAGCATTTTATTAAAGTATAAACTACATGTACATTGGTAATGTTCCTGATAACTAGCTATATACAAAATTTGGGGATGTGACCGTGTGTTATCATTTCAACCTTGTCTTGGGAAAAAAAAGTCAATCACTGGAATAGGATTATAAGAATATCTATATTACATTGCACTTGCTTCATACTAACAACCTTGCACTAGCATTGAGCTTAAAAAAAACTACCAGTATGAAAAGATTATTTCAAACTACCACATGAAATTTTTAAGTTTAAGCCAATTGGAAGCTGTTTGGATAAGCAAGTAAGTAATTTAATGCTGTTCCCTCATTGTAAGGTTATCATGACTGTGACATGTACATACAAAATGTACATGTCTGTCTAACATTAGACAAGATTCAGTAGTCACTTATACAAGTTAGACATTTATATAGCATACCCACTCTTGTTACAGTATATACTTGCATTTCAATTTTTTTTTATCTCACTTTGGAACACTTCCAGGTGTTTCAAAATGAGGAGATACTTTTTCATCCTGGAATGCATCAGGGTACAATATGAAATAGGCAGATTTTAACCCCCTGAACAAGCTTGAATATCAGACCACTTTTAAGATTTTGTAACTCCTGCATTTCTGAATTTTATATGATTTAAAGTGCAAATCCCTTTCATGTCACTCAGCTACTCTTTTAACCTAAATAGTTAAACAAACAATATAAGTACATGTAAAAAAGGTCTCATAAAGATTTGAAGTAGGTACACATGTACTCCAATTGTCAAAAGCAAGCAACACATGTCAGGAACCTCCAGCCTTTGTAAGTCTTGTGTGTTTTTTTTAAATTTAAGTCCATTGTTATGTTTCGGAGTTTAGTATGGCGTCCATTTCACTGAACTAGTATACATTATTGTTCAAGGGCCAGCTGAAGCCAGCCTAGAGGTGCAGGATTTTCATGCTGAAGACCCATTTGTGGCCTTGGATTGTTTTCTGCTCTTTTGTTGGGTTGCTGTCTCTGACACATTCCCAGTTTCCATTCTCTTCTACATGTATATGCGATACACAAAGTAATTTTAAATGTTTCAACTACAAGAATTGCAAAATGATCTGTTGCTGATATATAATTTAGAGAGCTTGAAGCACAAATCTTATTTATAATAAGTTTGTTATTTTTCTAATCTTACTACATATATAGATCTTACCATTTCAGTGCCATTGTAACATTTAAACAAGTAACATCATTTTGGTACTCTTCTGACCTTAACATTAAGTGGAACTCTTTTTCACATGGGTACAATGAATGCTCTCATCTGTCCTTCACCTTTTTACTATTTTAAAAAGTAAATAAAAGATCAAAACTGATGATAACATTATGATTTATTTTTGAAGTCCTGGAAAGCATATTTTGAAGGCCAGGAGTTTGTCAGACCACCATCTTTAGGAGGCAGTGTTGCACCTTTCTCTTCATTTACAAGTAAAGATATCAAAGACAATCTGGAAGTTGGCAAACTAATAGAGGCTTATCAGGTAATGTACCACATTTTATCAAAATTGTTGATAGTCACTTGTCTCTCTTTAAACTATGTTTCATAACTATTGAGAAAAATTAATTCCTGACACAAAATCCCTACACATACTAGATATAACCAGTGATAAAGGAACAAGATCTGACACAAAATCCCTACACATACTAGATATAACCAATGATAAAGGAACAAGATCTGACACAAAATCCCTACACATACTAGATATAACCCATGATAAAGGAACAAGATCTGACACAAAATCCCTACACATACTAGATATAACCAATGATAAAGGAACAAGATCTGACACAAAATCCCTACACATACTAGATATAACCAATGATAAAGGAACAAGATCTGACACAAAATCCCTACACATACTAGATATAACCAGTGATATAGGAACAAGATCTGACACAAAATCCCTACACATACTAGATATAACCAATGATAAAGGAACAAGATCTGACACAAAATCCCTACACATACTAGATATAACCAGTGATAAAGGAACAAGATCTGACACAAAATACCTACACATACTAGATATAACCCATGATAAAGGAACAAGATCTGACACAAAATACCTACACATACTAGATATAACCCATGATAAAGGAACAAGATCTGACACAAAATACCTACACATACTAGATATAACCCATGATAAAGGAACAAGATCTGACACAAAATCCCTACACATACTAGATATAACCAGTGATAAAGGAACAAGATCTGACACAAAATACCTACACATACTAGATATAACCCATGATAAAGGAACAAGATCTGACACAAAATCCCTACACATACTAGATATAACCCATGGTAAAGGAACAAGATCTGACACAAAATCCCTACACATACTAGATATAACCCATGATAAAGGAACAAGATCTGACACAAAATCCCTACACATACTAGATATAACCAGTGATAAAGGAACAAGATCTGACACAAAATACCTACACATACTAGATATAACCAATGGTAAAGGAACAAGACTTTTATAGCTATTCTTCATCTCAAAGACAGAGAGGCCTTCAACACAGACCAAAAGCTCTTATGTCAATGTAAGGATGATGACCCTTAGCATTGGTTTCTGCAAAATTCTTTGCTAGAAATCAACAAGACTTCATCTGTACATTGAACACAACTGAAGAATATTTAGACAAATTTATAAAGACTATTTTTAGTACCCAATCTTTTTTATTTAATAGATATCATTAGGAAAAGTTGATGTATTTATTTACGCTTACAATAAAATACTGTTAGTTCAGTATGTCATAACAAACAATGACAAGGGACCCAGTCATTAAATAGCGTTCATAGGGTCTTATCTGAAGTTTTTCCTATTACTATACAATGCGGGATATATACAAAGATATTGAGGTATGCAAAGTACCAATACTCTCATGACACAGGAAGTTTTCAAAAAGTATCGTGTTGCTCTTATTTATAGCATCAGATTGATTGTTGCTGGTTTAATGTCCAGGGGGGGGGGGGGGGGGGGCGGTTATTTCATGCATATTCAGGGCGAGTATATCATCCAGGTAAATCAAATGTTATATAAGAAGTCAAGAGAAATTTATTTCTGATATGATAAAGGTTAAAGGTCAAGGTACCTATACAGGGAGAACACAGGGCTGAATTTTTACTTTCGGATAGATCATTTCTAATCCCCTTAAAATTTTCCTTGATATTTTATGATAATGTGAATTTAACAGAAGTTTATTAGTTTTACATGCATATTTATTTATTCTATTGTTTAACAATTTTTCTGTCACTGTATTATATAATAATGCAGGAATATACAACATGAATGATAATAATGTATAAAGTCAAGATATTTTAGGATGTGTGTTATGTAATTAATTGTTTACAGGAATGTGCAGTATATCAAACACCAAAATAAATAGTAAAAAACAGTCAAATACTTACAATTAGTGCTGCAAAGTTTTGTATTAAAATATCAAATGGATGAAAGCAAAATGATATTACTGTATACATTTATGATTTTATTTGTTTTATATTTAGACTGATAAAATATTTTAAAAGTTGTCTTATAAAGGAAGATAACTCAAATTTGTATCTTTAAAACAAGTTTACAGCATACAACTTTCCTAGTTTTTTGTCGAGCCTGCGACTTTTGTCGCAGAAAGCTCGACATAGGGATAGCGATCCGGCGGCGGGGGGCGGCGGCGGCGTTAGCTAACTTCTTAAAAGCTTTATATTTTAGAAGATGGAAGACCTGGATGCTTCATACTTTGTATATGGATGCCTCATGTTACGAAGTTTCCGTCAGTCACATGTCCAATGTCCTTGACCTCATTTTCATGGTTCAGTGACTACTTGAAAAAAAAGTTCAGATTTTTTGTAATGTTAAATTCTCTCTTATTATAAGTAATAGGATAGCTATATTTGGTATGTGCGTACCTTGCAAGGTCCTCATGCCCGTCAGACAGTTTTCACTTGACCTCGACCTCATTTCATGGATCAGTGAACAAGGTTAAGTTTTGGTGGTCAAGTCCATATCTCAGATACTATAAGCAATAGGTCTAGTATATTCGGTGTATGGAAGGACTGTAAGGTGTACATGTCCAACTGGCAGGTGTCATCTGACCTTGACCTCATTTTCATGGTTCAGTGGTTATAGTTAAGTTTTTGTGTTTTGGTCTGTTTTTCTTATACTGTATGCAATAGGTCTACTATATTTGGTGTATGGAATGATTGTAAGGTGTACATGTCTAGCTGGCAGGTGTCATCTGACCTTGACCTCATTTTCATGGTTCAGTGGTCAAAGTTAAGTTTTTGAGTTTTGGTCTTTCTTTCTAATACTGCATGCAATAGGTCAGCTATATTTGGTGTATGGAATGATTGTAAGGTGTACATGTCTAGCTGGCAGGTGTCATCTTACTTTGACCTCATTTTCATGGTTCAGTGGTCAAAGTTAAGTTTTTGAGTTTTGGTCTTTTTTTCTAATACTATATGCAATAGTTCAACTATATTTGGTGTATGGAAATATTTTATGATCTATATGTCAGTCACGCAGGTTTTATTTGACCTTGACCTCATTTTCAAGGTTCATTGCTCAGTGTTAAGTTTTTGTGTTTTCGTCTGTTTTTCTTAAACTATAAGCAATAGGTCAACTATATTTGTTGTATGGAAGAATTGTTAGCTGTACATGCCTGCCTAGCATGGTTCATCTGACCTTGACCTCATTTTCATGGTTCATTGGTCAATGTTTAGTTTACTTGGTTAATGTTAAGTTTATGTGACAGTTGTAATAAAGCTTTATATTTAGGACTATCAACATAATATCAATGATTAGTAAAGAAGGCGAGACATTTCAGCGTGTGCACTCTTGTTTCTACTTTCTAGCAATAAGTACATAAGAAATGGTGAACAATAGGCATTTTTGGTTTTAAATTGCCACTTCTCAGGAAAATTTCTACTTTCTTTTGTTTAAAAAGGACAACTCCTTGCTGTAAGCATTTCCTTTTAAAAAAAATGTCTATCTTTGAAGAACTTGGTTGTAAAAATGGCATCTACAAGGAAAGTGTTGCCTAGTAGTGTGAGCCATTTAGGGCTATACTTTACACTAGTTGATTATCTATTCTGTCTGATGCTGATTAATCTTTTATCAACAGGAACACTATTATGCCCATGCTTGCTGGGGTTATGGTTTTTATGTTGGCATTAAGCCATTGATTGACAAAACACTCACATACCTTCTATTTGATCCTACAAAAACTTGCAAATAAATACCTTTGTTTTAATTCAGTTTTGTCCTAACTGTACACAAATTTTATTTATTTGAGTTTTTTGGGGATCAGATAAGATACAGAGGTAGCTGTATGCATTTAGCACTCTAGTTAAAGTCACCATGTTTTGTTCAATATACATTTATGTACTGTATTTTACATTAATTATGATAGGTAGGGTTATAATAAATCTCACACTGAAAATATACAGTACATTCCACAAATTCATTATTTCTTTATTTGAACAAACCAGAAAAAACAAAACATAGACTTGAGTCCGTTTTTGTTGATATTATTTTGAGAAGGTAGGCTCCACAAGTCTTCCTTCGTTAAGTCATATATTTTCAGAAGTGATTCTTAACTACTTGAATTGGAAAAAAATCTTTTATTTGATCTGAACATGAGTTGTGGGATGTACATGCCTGGCTGACAGGGGTCATCGACATTGACCTCATTTTGAGTGTTCAGTGATACAGTTTTGATGATAGTTATTTCAAATATTTTATGATTCATGCTCACTTTTGGTGATGAGGTTTAATTTTCACGTAGTAAATGTAATGAATCAACTATATTGCATCTGTAAAACTTGCATACAGCTATTTCTTGATAAGCTTACTAACATTTCTGGCACAGAGCGTCAGAGGTCATGGAGAGTTATTTCTTGAGAAAGCTAACAAAAATTATATCTACCACAGAGAAGAGGTCACAATATTGCAACACTGGATCCCCTAGGTCTACTGGATGCAGATTTAGATCCAGAAATCCCTAAAGAGCTATTACTGAGTAGTTATCACTGGGGTAGGTAGATACTGGGTAATATACACATACCTAAGTCCCAGGGCAGCAAGGCTAAATAAATCAAATGTTGTGGTTACAGTTTGATGTTAAGGAACATTGACAGTCATTGTCTGAAAGTTGGAAATGTTAATGTTGCTAGTGTCTATTTACATGTTAAAAAAAAAAGACTGCAAAAAGTATTTTGTGTCAGATACAAAATTAGTAATGGGTAACTGGAACTGCACATTGTTTTATTTGGCTTTACTGTGGTTTTGTAGTGGGCTGCTGTTGGTATGTACTTTTAGCCCATATGAAACCATTGGGTCTTTTTCTGTAAATTTGATATCTATATATATACAAACAAATAGTTTGTATCAGAACTTTTTCCATGGGTATGTCTTGTGTTAAATTCAGAACTGTAAAGATGAAGCAAGGTTTATTTGTTTGTGTATAAATGGATGTGAGATTTCATATTATATAAAATGGTGACATTCATGGAAACCTGTTTAAGCCCACTTCCCTGTTTGTAACCAAGGCTAAGACCTATCTGAAAGTTATTTTGCAACCTTTCTTAAACAGTAATTCCAAAGAATGCTTAGACAAGGTTTACATTATTTGCTGTGAATCAGTTAGTTACTAATTTTAGTATTTATTTATTGTAGATATTGACAGAATCATGAAATTTGGTCATGTGTGATCTTGTCTGCAACTTTATTCACGGCTTTTGTTGAATGCATCCCATCTGTGCATAGAGTATATATACACACTTTTTTATGACTATCAGTCACATCAGCTGTACTGCTTTAAACATACATTCACAACCATAGTGACATAGAAATCTATTTTCAATATAAATATTATTCAATTCAAATTTCAATTTCTAAAAAGTAAGAGAGGTAGAGCATGGCTCTCAGTCAGTTATATTATTTGTTTTTGATGTCAGACATTTGAATGTTTTAGATTTTTTGTCCTTTTCATTAACCTTTTGAACTTGTTTGAAAACCTTAATGGATTAAGACTGGTATCTCTTCAATACCCAAGCACACATATGACCAAAATTTTATGAGCTCATTTTCAGGATATTTTGAATTGTTGAATTATTAAACAAAAATTAATTGTTCGGAGTTGTGTGAACTGTTTGTAGGCACGTGGGCATACTATCGCCAAACTTGACCCACTAGAAATCAGTACTGCTAATTTGGATGAGAAAACTGAGTTATCTCCGTCTATATTTAATTTTGGTAAGATACGTGTACCGGTGATGCATGGTGGTGTGTTTGTCAGTTTTGCTTGCACTGCTTCTCATTCTCACACTTTAATTCACAAGCCAAGGTTTTTTTCTTAATTTAACAGCTTACAAAAGTAAGAAGATTAATAATTTGTTGAGCTATATTTCAATCACAATTCTTATCTATGATTCATTTCTTTAAAGAGTTATTTCCCTTCATGAAAAAAAAAACCCATTTTAAGCATTTAAGAAAAAAAAGAAATTATGTACAGGCATAGTGATATTGTTTGTTATGCTAAAGTTAATCATTAGTAAATACAGTTTTTACAAATTATCAGATAATTTAGATAGATGGCAGTATTTGTTGATGAAGGGAAAAAACTCGAACAATCTAAAAAATATCTTGTTTCTCATTGTAATTTTTAAAGATTTAAAATTCACTTTTAATTGTTGAAGAATAGTTATTGCAGTGTTAAACATAAATTTTGTGTGCGCTTATTTCAATTTAGAAAAGTTAAGATACAAGCAAATGAAAGTCATAATACACAATATTAATAGAGTTCAATTATATGTGAAATCATACCATTCTCTATAGAAAGTCATTCATCACTGCAAGATAAACTCTGCTCCTTTTATCCTTCAAAAAGTAGTTGGTCTTAAATACACATAAGCAAGAGGTGGGACAGGGTAGATGGTTAAAACTTAGCTAGCACAGTTATATTTATGAAATATACATGCACTTTACCTCGTTCCATAATTGTAATGGAGGTTGCATTATAGTCAACAATATATCTTGGTGGTTGTTAAATGTTGTACAATATATCATGTGTTAAGTTTTATTATTGATGATTTCCCAGTTAAATAAAAACTGATAATTACACCTCTCTGACATTATTCAGCAATGGGTGTTGTCAAGACATTCTCAATGACACTACTTCAAAACGAAATGGAAATACATAGAAAAAGATATAGTTCATTGTATTCTATTCTTTATTTCCATGAAAGTTCCGACAGTCAATGTAGTGAAAAGAATAAGTTATCAATGAATTAAAGTATTGAAAAATATTCAACTCGTTACTGAATACCACTGACACACGCATTCGTGAATTAAACTAGGTGTTGTTCAGTCACTTGCTGAATATTTTTCTATATTTGAATTCTACTATTACCATAAATCGGGGTTTTAGTTTGTGTTTAAGAATGGGCATACTTTAGTTAGATCTCTGATTTCATAATTTAAATTAGCTACTCATACATACCACAACTTTTGACAACACAGCAATCAGTGACATGAAAAAATGTTAATTTATAGCTCAATCTATTAATTGGTGTCATAACACGAATATTTTACCTATAATGTGAAAAGAAAATTAAAATAAATCACATTTACACAGATATTTTTATATGCGTAATGATCAAAACCTTCAATTTTAGCATGCCCTAATGCATTTATTTACCTTCCTTGAGAGTTCTCTGAACTAAGTGTATTTTAGTTTGTAGTACTTATATTTATTTGTAATCGATTACCTGTCAGTCAACCAAGTTTATGTTGTTAAGAGTTTACATCTAACAATAAGATACAGTTATTTTTTCACGTTTATTTTCACATTCAACATAAATTATACATAGTGAAAATTTAAACTGCCCAATTTGTCATCAAATCGTGTAAAAAAGTGGACATGAAAAAAACCCGATATATGGTAGTTATTCTATAATCATATAATTTTGACCCATTTGTCAGTCCTTCTGTCCATTGATATTTTTTATGCCCCTGTCATAGCGGTGGGGGCATAAAGTTTTACCCTTGTCGTCTGTACGTACGTCCCATAATTGGTTTCCGTTCTCTAACTTGAGTTTGCCACAACCAAATGTTATGAAACTTGTACACAATGCTTATTTCCAGAAAACACAGATCAAGTTTGAATTTTGGTGGTGTCACATTAACCGTTCTAGAGTTATGCCCCTTTATAAATGGAAAAATTGCAAAATTTTTATTTTCTTCTAAATATTAAGTAATTTTTATACGACCGCATAAAAAATTTGAGGTCGTATATGGTATGACGCTGGCGTCATCGTCGTCGTCGTCCGAAGACACATTGGTTTTCGCACTCTAACTTTAGTTTAAGTGAAGGGATCTCTATGAAATTTTACCATAAGGTTCAATACCACAAAAGGAAGGTTGGGATTGATTTTGGGGGTTATGGTACCAACAGTTAAGGAATAAGGGGCCAAAAATAAGCATTTTTGTAACTTCCAGACATAACTTGTGTGTTAGTGTATGGATCTCTCTGACATTGTACCACAAGGTTCCATATCACAAAGGGAATGCTGGGATTGATTTTGGGGGTAATTGCCTCAAAATTTTAAGAATTAGGGGCTAAAAAAGGGGCAAAAAACAAGCATTTTTCTAGTTTCATGACAATAAGTTGTGTGTAAGTGTATGGATCTTTATGTAATTGTACTACAAGGTTCCATATCACAAAGGGAAAGCTGGAATTGAGTTTGGGGGTAATTGCCCAAAACGTTTAGGAATAACGTTTAAAAATAAGCATTTTTCTAGTTTCCAGACAATAACTTGTGTTCAAGTGTATGGATCTCTCTGAAATTGTACTGCAAGGTACCATACTACAAAGGGAAGGCTTGGATTGATTTTGGGGGTAATTGCCTCAAAATTTTAGGAATTTGGGGCCAAAAAGGGGCTAAAAAACAAGCATTTTTCTAGTTTCCAGACAATAACTTGTGTTCAAGTGTATGGATCTCTCTGAAATTGTACTGCAAGGTACCATACCACAAAGGGAAGGCTGGGATTGAGTTTGGGGGTGATGAATCATAAGGGGGTTCAAAAAATGGGGGGGGGGATTTTATTTCCTTTTTTTCATTTTTTTTTTCTTTAAAATTTTCCATTTTAAATTGGTTATTTCTGATTTAAATATAAAAGCAAATAATAATGATATGGTTTGAATAGGTAAATTAAAATTTTTTAAGTTCTTAGACCACATTCATTCTGTGTCAGAAACCTATGCTGTGTCAAATATTTAATCACAATCCAAATTCAGTGCTGTATCAAGCTTGAATGTTGTGTCCATACTTGCCCCAACTGTTCAGGGTTCGACCTCTGCGGTTGTATCAAGCTGCGCCCAGCGGAGCATTTTATTGTAACTTCAAAACATAACTTGTGTGTTAGTGTATGGATCTCTCTGACATTGTACCACAACGTTCCATAGCACAAAGGGAATGCTGGGATGATTTTTAGGGTAATTGCCTCAAAATTTTAGGAATTGAATAGGGGCAAAAAAGGGTAAAAAAACAAGCATTTTTCTAGTTTCAGGACAATAACTTGTGTGTAAGTGTATGGATCTTTATGAAATTGTACTACAAGGTTCCATATCACAAAGGGAAAGCTGGGTTTGAGTTTGGGGGTAATTGCCCTAAATGTTTAGGAATTTGGGGCCAAAAGAGGCCAAAAAACACGCATTTTTCTAGTTTCCAGACAATAACTTGTGTTCAAGTGTATGGATCTCTCTGAAATTGTACTGCAAGGTACCATACCACAAAGGAAAGGCTGGGATTGAGTTTGGGGGTGATGAATCATAAGGGGGTTCAAAAAATTTGGGGGGTGGGATTTTTTTTCCTTTTTTCTTTTTTTTTTCTTTAAAATTTTCCATTTTAAATTGGTTATTTCTGATTTATATATAAAAGCAAATAATACTGATATGGTTTGAATAGGTAAATTAAAATTTTTAAGTTCTTAGACCACATTCATTCTGTGTCAGAAACCTATGCTGTGTCGAATATTTAATCACAATCCAAATTCAGAGCTGTATCAAGCTTGAATGTTGTGTCCATACTTGCCCCAACTGTTCAGAGTTTGACCTCTGCAGTCGTATAAAGCTGCGCCCAGCGGAGCATTTTATTAAAATTGGAGTTATCTTCCTTTGTCCATGATTATAGTTGAATCAACTACAATCAATGCTTTATACAATGCAATGTTTAATTTTGACTTCCACTAATAAAACACAGATCAAGTTGAATTTGGGTAGTGTCACTTTAACCATTATTGAGTTATGCCCTTTATAAATCGAAAGATTGCAAAATTTTTAGTTTCCATTCTGTAACTTAAGTTTGCCCCAACCAAACATTATGAAACCTATACACAATATTCATTATCACAAGACTAAGATCAAGTACAAATTTTTTGTTTCCGTTTTCTAACTTTAGTTTGCCTCAACCAAATGTTATGAAACTTATACACAATGCTTATTACTACATGATACAGATTAAGTACAAAATTTGGTGGCGACACTTTTACCATTCTTGAGTTATGTCCCTTTATAAACATAAAAATTGCTGAATTTTTCATTTCCGTTTTCTAACTTTAGTTTGTCTCAACCAAATGTTATAAAACTTATACACAACCGTTCTAGAGTTATGTGTGTTTACAAATAGAAAAATTGCTGAATTTTTAGTTTCTGTTCTCTACTTAAGTTAGCCTCAACCAAGTGTTATGCGACTTACACACAATGCTTATTACCACAAAATTTTTGGGTAGCATCACTTTTACCGTTCTTCAGTTATGTCCCTTTATAACTATATGATATGCAAGCGGGGGCATCATCTGTGTCCACATGTGGACACTATCCACCTTTATCTTTTCATTATGTTAACTCAGATATCTATATCACATTGCAACCTTACTTGGATTTATGTTCACATATAATGAAAGGAAAATCCTTATTGATTTTGATGTCAATAAGTAAAAGGTCAAGGTCAAAGTTACTATAAATTGAAAATAAATTGTGCAGAGAAGTGGTATCCAGTTGCTAAATCAAATACTTCATATGGTATTGCAACATAACTTGGATTCGTGGTCACTTATAATGAGAGGAAGACTGCTATTGATTTTGAAGCAAAGGTCAAGGTCATTGTTACTTAAAATGACTTTTGACCAATGGCTGTTATTGTTATAGTACTAATTATGTAAATGGTTAATTGCACCATTTTTTTTTTTAAATCTTTGAATGCGACTAGAGCATATGGAACTGTTTATAGATATCAAAAACTTTTTTTTTAATACTTTTCTAGATATGCAACAGATAGTTCTGATACAATTTAACCTGTGTGTATAATGATGTCGCTAGGCACACATTATAATGAAAGTTTTTTAATTTCTAGATATGGTTATGTGTGTATCTTTATCAAATTATGTTGGCATATTTTCTTTATAAATTTCATACAATGTGATTTCCTCTGTGATGTCTCTGTAAAGTTTCTTTTTTTTTGCTGCTATTTTATGTATAACATACATTATAATATATAATCGTTAATGCTTACCAACTTCATAAAACTGGTTTAATTTGAGAAGCATCATTTGCCAGCTTTATAGATATAATGTAAACTATTTGTGCACTTTTTACAATGTATTGTAAATTTATTGATCAATATATTCAAATGAAAACAAAATTGGTTTGAAATTAAATTGATAAATTGAAAGAACATGAACCAAAATTTGATAAGTTAATCATGTTAGTTTTAATCATGTTAATATGTTCTAGATTTGAACCTGCACAAAACCTTAATTTTAGAATTCTGTAAATTCTGAAATCGTTGTATGCATTTGCTTTATTGGTAGACATTAATGACTAATGGGAGATTAGTTATTGCTATTTCAGGAAATGTTGCATACATATAATGCTATCAAAATTTAAAGTGTGAGCTTTAACTTTGCAAAACTTATCCCGTTGCAATTTTCTCAATAATAAAAACATCTAAAAAATTTCAGAATTTACAGAAACTTGGGATGGTGGGGAGGGGCAGGAATGCAGTATCATTTGTCAGGGAGTATGTTTAATGTTAAAAGATTTGATTGAAATTGAGAATGTAAAATTTACAAACCTCAGTTTTCATTCTGTATTCATATACTGCTGTAAAATTCATTATATTATAGCATTTTAGATATGCTGATATAATACTTTAATAATGCAATGAATGGTTTCCATAGATTTCTAAATATACAGTTTATATGATTATTTGTCTAAAAGTTGAAATGAAATAAATGTTGAAATTAGTGAAAAAGTAGTTCATCATTTCGCAGAATAATTCGACCATTTCCATACAATTGTTTTGTATTGATAATGATTGTATGTATTCACCTATTGATACTCAGTGATTTATACTTTATTTAGAGGAGAGTGATTTGGAGAGAAAATTTACCCTGCCAACAACAACCTACATTGGAGGGAGTGAAACAGAAAAGCCACTAAAGGATATCATTGAGAGGTTGAAGGTAACTGTCATCACTATCTACATAAACAGATTACAAAGACACAAATGACATGCTTCAAATAACCTATTTGATATTGGAAGCATCAGTTTTTATACGGCCGTCAATTTTTGCGGTCATATAATGGTATGACGTTGTTGTCGCCATCGTTGTCCGAAGACATTTGGTTTCCAGACAATAACTTGAGTATAAGTGTATGGATCTCTATGAAATTGTACCACAAGGTTTCATACCAAAAAAGGAAGGTTTGGATTTATTTTTTGGGTCATTGTCCTACTTGTATAGGTATTAGGGGTAAAAAAACAAGGATTTTCTGGTTTCCAGACAATAAATTGAGTATAAGTCTATGGATCTCTATGAAATTGTACCACAAGGTTCCATAAAGCAAACTGAAGGAAAACAATATTCTTTTAATACCTTGTAAACTGTAAATTCAGAAATTATTGCGTGCATTTATTATTGCGATTTTAATTTTTGCGATATTGAGAAAAATCCTGTTTAATTCATATAAAAAATTTCAAAATGCGAGTTTAAATTATTGCGATTATAACCCTGTCGCATTTTTCGCAATAATATAAACATCGCAATAATTTCTGAATTTACAGTAAATTGCTTATTTCTTGACCAATTTCATTGGGGTTTAATTCAAAGTCTTGAATTTTTGGAGTTCTTTAATATGCCGAATCTAACTGTGTATTTAAATTTTTAATTTTTGGACCCTGTTTTCAAATTAGTCCACATTAAGGTCCAAAGGGTCAAAAATTAAATCTTTAGTTTGATTTTAACAAAAATTGGGGTTCTTTGATATGCTGAATCTTAACATGTATTTAGATTTTGGATTTTGGGCACAGTTTTCAAGTTGGTCCAAATTGGGGCCCAAAATTAAAATCCATGGATTATACCAGCATGATGCGAAACCCTCAATCTTGGGTTTAAGGGCAGCACTCTAACCGATTGAGCCAAAGAAGATCTCCTCTAACTGAAGCAGTTAGACTACCTTTATATCTTCAGGTATACAACACCCTTCACGGCTTATCTAACCGTGTATTTATAATAAAGATTTTTGGGTCCCTTTATCAAATTGGTCCAATGGGTCCAAAATTAAACTTTGTTTGATTTCATCAAAAATTGAATTTATTGGGTTCTTTGATATGCTGAATCTAACCATGTATTTTGATTTTGGATATTGGACCATAATAGGTAAATGTGCAATTTCAAATTATTAAGTTCTTAGCCCACATTAATTCTGTGGCAGAAACCAATGCTGTGTCAAAAATTTAATCACAATCCAAATTCAGATTCATTCTTTGTCAGAAACCTATGCTGTGTCAATTATTTAATCACAATCCATATTCAGAGCTGTATCAAGCTTGAATGTTGTGTCTATACTTGCACCAACTGTTCAAGGTTAGACCCCTGAGGTCGTATCAAGCTGCGCCCTTGATACCCATTGTGCCCATTGACAAAATTAACCAATTTTAAAATCATTTTTGCTGTAACCCATTTTTGTCGAGCCTGCGACTTTTGTCGCAGAAAGCTCGACATAGGGATAGTGATCCGACGGCGGCGGCGGTGTTAGCTAACTTCTTAAAAGCTTTATATTTTAGAAGGTGGAAGACCTGGATGCTTCATACTTTGTATATGGATGCCTCATGTTACGAAGTTTCCGTCAGTCACATGTCCAATGTCCTTGACCTCATTTTCATGGTTCAGTGACTACTTGAAAAAAAAGTTAAGATTTTTTGTAATGTTAAATTCTCTCTTATTATAAGTAATAGGATAACTATATTTGGTATGTGCGTACCTTGCAAGGTCCTCATGCCTGTCAGACAGTTTTCACTTGACCTCGACCTCATTTCATGGATCAGTGAACAAGGTTAAGTTTTGGTGGTCAAGTCCATATCTCAGATACTATAAGCAATAGGTCTAGTATATTCGGTGTATGGAAGGACTGTAAGGTGTACATGTCCAACTGGCAGGTGTCATCTGACCTTGACCTCATTTTCATGGTTCAGTGGTTATAGTTAAGTTTTTGTGTTTTGGTTCGTTTTTCTTATACTTTATGCAATAGGTCTACTATATTTGGTGTATGGAATGATTGTAAGGTGTACATGTCTAGCTGGCAGGTGTCATCTGACCTTGACCTCATTTTCATGGTTCAGTGGTTATAGTTAAGTTTTTGTGTTTTGGTTTGTTTTTCTTATACTTTATGCAATAGGTCTACTATATTTGGTGTATGGAATGATTGTAAGGTGTACATGTCCAACTGGCAGGTGTCATCTGACTTTGACCTCTTTCTCATGGTTCAGTGGTCAAAGTTAAGTTTTTGAGTTTTGGTCTTTTTTCTTATACTATATGCAATAAGTCAACTATATTTGGTGTATGGAAATATTCTATGATGTACATGTCAGTCTCGCAGGTTTTATTTGACCTTGACCTCATTTTCACGGTTCATTGCTCAGTGTTAAGTTTATGTGTTTCAGTCTGTTTTTCTTTAACTATAAGCAATAGGTCAGCTATATTTGTTGTATGGAAGGATTGTAAGCTGTTCATGTCTGCCTGGCATGGTTCATCTGACCTTGACCTCATTTTCACGATTCATTGGTCAGTGTTTAGTTTTCTTGGTTAAGTCTGTTTCTTAGAAACTATAAGCAATAGGTCAACTATATTTAGTGTATTGAATGATTGTAAGGTGTACATGTATTTCTCGTTTGGTTTATATGACCTTGACTTCATTTTCTTGGATCATGTTAAGTTTATGTAATAGTTGTAGTAAAGCTTTCATTTAGGACTATCAACATAATACCAAATGGTTAGTAAAGAAGGCGAGACATTTCAGCGTGTGCACTCTTGTTATAAGAAAATATTACAACAAATCCTCACATGGAAACATGTGAATCTGACATTGTTGAATATTCTATTTAAGAGAATTATTACCTTTTCAAAAAATAAGGGACTTAGTGGGAGTAATATAGTAATTCTTTGCTATAATGAAAAAAGGGTTTAGCTTCAGCTGCTTTGGTACCGTCCCTTAGTAAGGGAGGCATCAACTTTAAGCGTGGTCTTCTTTGTTTTACACATGATATAATTTTAGGCTGAATAAATAGTTTCTCAAATGATTACTTTCAATATTCCCAAATAAGTATTTATTCTAATCCACTTTTGATAGGTAAATATAATCATCAACAAGGTATTGAGGAAGAATCAATATATACATGGCATGCTTTTTTGTGAATTGTTAATCTATCCATCAACTGAGAATTTAATAAAAGCTCATAACTAATATTTCTAAATATTTTGCAGGAAGTTTATTGTGGCCATATTGGAATAGAGCTGATGCATCTGAATAATAAAGAGCAAATTGACTGGATCAAACAAAAGTTTGAAATGCCTGGTATAGTGAGGCTTACCAAAGAGGAGAAAAATACCATATTAGCAAGACTGCTTAGATCTCAAAAGTGAGTCTTGGTTAGATCTCATATTTCAGTCAGATGGTTACATCTAGGGGTCACTATATAACCTTTAACAATAAATGTGTGCCAAACTACCAACACTATCAACTTTTTCACTGGTCATTAAACTATGAAGTTTAGTGGGGTATTTTTTGGTAGGGTTTGCTTAAGTCCCAAACCAGCTTATAGTATGGTGATTTTGGGTGGGAGGGGGAAAGCAGTACCTAACTTGTGAAATCAACTCCAACAGTTTTCAACCCAGATCTCTGAAACTTTACAGGAAGATTGCACCTATGTTGAAGTTGTGCGCCTGCTATTATGATTGAAAATCAGTGACTAAGACATGTTTTTGTCAAAAAGCTTGAAAATTTATAATCACATATGTTTACAATGTATGTTAAGTTTTTTTTCATAGGAATGTTACTCTACTACTAACCTTGTATTTAAAATAAACCATGCCCACTGACCTAATATTAAATATTATTGGTTCCTAGGTGTTCACTTTTAACCAATGATATTCCCAGAAAGGAGGTAAGATAAATATTTGTATGTGCCACGACAAGTTGGAGCACTGCCTATGATATTTAACACTTGTCAAAAGTTGACATGGTTATTTAATTGCTACACACTCACTTAATTCCTCTTAAGCTCTCTTATGAAAGATGTCACGCCTGTACTTTGAATTAACAAAAGAAAAATAATAAAGAAAAAAATGCTATTGTTTATAAAAAAAAAAAAAAATATTGTCTTCAGTAGTGTATAATACCCTATCCTCTATCAACTATATGTCTTGGGTATAATACATGCCCAAATATGGTACTTGTAATTTTGTCGCTCCACATACCAGTAGTTTGTTCATTAAAATTTACATCAACAAAATGCATGGACTTACCGGAGGGAACAAAAGTACCAGACTTGACTTGATATTTGATATTCTTTTAGATTTGAAGAATATTTAGCAAAGAAATGGTCATCAGAAAAAAGATTTGGTTTGGAAGGCTGTGAAGTTTTGATACCTGCCATGAAGACTGTCATAGATACTTTAAGTGACAGAGGAGTAGATGACTTCATCATTGGTATGCCACATAGGTAAGTTAAGATACCTGCCATGAAGACTGTCATAGATACTTACAGTGACAGAGGAGTAGATGACTTCATCATTGGTATGCCACATAGGTAAGTTAAGATACCTGCCATGAAGACTGTCATAGATACTTAATTACTTACAGTGATGGAGGAGTAGTTTTGTTTGTATGTCACACAGGTAACTTGACATTCAATATAAATGGTAAAATTTTTCACTGCTATTAATTAAACTAAGATTTTGCTCTGCTGCAATACTGCAGTTACTTGCTATTTCATTAAACCTTTAAAGTCAATTATTTTTTAACAGAATATGCATTGATGCATTGTTAAGATATCAGCAAAAAAAAATGTTAATAGATGTAAAAGTATTGCAACTTTGCCACAAGAAACTTTTGTGAAGTGTTCAAATCAAATATGAACCCCCAAAAAGATTGCTAATGTATCCAGCTACACTGTCTTTGTGTGTGATGTAGTATACCAGACAATGCTACTAGCCTGTATGTCTACACTTATTAAGACTTTGTTGAGAAACCTTTGCATTATGACATCAAATGTAGAAATATTTTAGCCAGTAAATACCTATCATTCTGTTCTCAATACTTTTGACTGTAATTCTTTTTTCTGTACTCAACACTGCTAAACACATCAGAAGCCTTACATACTTACAAATGATATCTTATAAAATGGACAGTATTTTTTTGGATTTTATATGACTTGAAAACAAATGCATTGATAACATTTCAGAGGAAGACTCAATGTACTGGCTAATGTGTGTAGAACACCATTGGAGAGGATATTTGGTCAGTTTGATCCTGATTTGGAAAGATTTGAAGAAGGGTCTGGGGATGTCAAGTACCATCTGGGAATGTCAATACAGAGACTGAATCGTGTCACAAATAAGAATGTATCACTGTCTTTGGTTGCTAACCCATCACATTTAGAAGCAGTTGATCCTGTTGTACAAGGAAAGACTAAAGCCAAGCAATTCTATAGAGGGGATAGTGAGGGGAAAAAGGTATTATGTTCTTTCTTCAAAGTAAGGTCTGTAAGGAAGACAGACCAGTCAGACCCTGCTACAATTAGGTCTACTGATCAGAAGGACTTATTTGGCCTTTCAGAACAAGTGATGGAGTGAGAAAACAAATGTATATTACAATTCTAAGTAAAATATTTTTGGAATAAAGAATTTTATATTTGTTCACTAATTTTTTCTGGTTGAAGGATACAAAAATACACATTTAGTTTTTTAAGGGGTACAAAGCACCAAAGGCAGTTAACACTTTAAAATCAGCTGAACATTTCAATCTAATACTTGTAGTAAAGAGAAATCAAGTTTCTCAATGATTAGAATTAGTGTTTGTCAAACTGCTATATACCAAATAAAATTATTCCTGTAAATTGTGTGGTTCAAATTTCTTGAAATTTTAATATATTTGTCAACAGGTCAGAGTAAATATTTTGTCAAAATTTTATGTAAATCAAACAAGCCAAAATGCCAAATTTATTTTGTAAAAGTGTTTGGTACCCTCTTAAACTCATTGTAATAAATCTAAAGATATACTTATTCCTCACAATGTCTAAATTAAAAACCACATGTATGGAACCCTCACCTGGTTCAATAGAATAAAAGATTTAGTGTCAGTACCCTACTGAATAAACAAAAATATGTTATACTGTTGACGTTTACAAGTGATAAATTATGATAAGTAAATATCTAATATTTGACTATTTGTAGGTGGTCAGTATGTTACTGCATGGTGATGCTGCTTTTGCTGGACAAGGAGTAGTTTTTGAGACTTTCCATCTGAGTGACCTTCCAGATTATACCACAAATGGAACAATCCACATTGTTGTCAATAATCAGGTCAGTATACACAATCATTTCCTTTCCTTTTGAATTCAATTATTAGGTCAGTCTGCTGGTATGATGTTTATATCCTAGATTGTACAACTAACTAAACCATTGATATGCTATAGAATTTAGTGATCAAGACAATTTATTTTAGTGACCAATTTGTATAAGTATATTGAGAGTTTTAAATAAAAAATAACAACCCTTTTTCTGGTATTTTTTTATGTGAAAATGATAATTTTATTTGACTATCTAATTGTTGTAGCATCCATTTGAAGAGTTCATTCTGTTAAAGATATATTTCATTTTTGCCAATGATTAAATTGAGCATTTGTAATGATGTCATGGAACATAAATATATATTTATATAATTTTTGCAGTTATAATTAAACACTTGTAGATTGGATTTACAACAGATCCCCGATCAGCCAGATCATCAGCATACTGTACCGATGGAGCTCGTATGGTAAATGCTCCTGTCTTTCACGTTAATGCTGATGACCCAGATGCTGTGGTTTACGTGTCCAAAGTAGCAGCAGAATGGAGGGCAGAGTTTGGAAAGGATGTAGTAATTGATTTGGTATGAAATCTTATTAATAAAGAAATCACTATTTAGACCATACTGTTAAGACTGAAAACTAGACACATTATTATGATCAGTTGGACTAAAGGATAAAAAACTAAAAGATTTGGTGAAACTTTCATTTTCTTGTGTTAACTTAAAAAAAAAATGTTTTTGATTTGAGTTTGTGTATGTATGTATTGCTCATCTGTTTCGTGAGTTTTTATACGACCGCAAAAAAATTTTTGTGGTCGTATATTGGTATGACGTTGGCGTCGTCGTCGTTGTCGTCCGGCGTCGTCGTCGTCATCGTCCGAAGACACATTAGTTTTCGCACTCTAACTTTAGTTTAAGTGAATGGATCTCAATGAAATTTTACCATAAGGTTCAATACCACAAAAGGAAGGTGGGGATTGATTTTGGGGGTTATGGTACCAACAGTTAAGGAATTAGGGGCCAAAAATAAGCATTTTTGTAACTTCCAGACATAACTTGTGTGCAAGTCTATGGATCTCTCTGACATTGTATCACAAGGTTCCATATCACAAAGGGAATGCTGGGATTGATTTTGGGATAATTGCCTCCAAATTTTAGGAATTAGGGGCAAAAAACAAGCATTTTTCTAGTTTCATGACAATAACTTGTGTGTAAGTGTATGGATCTTTATTAAATTGTACTACAAGGTTCCATATCACAAAGGGAAAGCTGGAATTGAGTTTGGGGGTAATTGCCCAAAAATTTTAGGAAAAAGGGGCCAAAAATAAGCATTTTTGTCGAGCCTTCGACTTTTGTCGAAAAAGCGAGACATAGCGATCCTACATTCCGTCGGCGTTGTCGTCGGCGGCGGCGTCCACAAATATTCACTCTGTGGTTAAAGTTTTTGAAATTTTAATAACTTTCTTAAACTATCCTGGATTTCTACCAAACTTAGACATAAGCTTGTTTATGATCATAAGATTATATTCAAAAGTAAATTTTGTAAAAAAAAAATTCCATTTTTCCGTATTTTACTTATAAGTGGTCTTAGTTTTTCTGCCAGGAAACATTACATTCACTCTGTGGTTAAATTTGAAATTTTAATAACTTTCTTAAACTATCCTGGATTTCTTCCAAACTTGGAAAGAAGCTTGTTTATGATCATAAGATAGTATCCAGAAGTAAATTTTGTAAAAAAAAAAAATTCCATTTTTCCGTATTTTTCTTATAAATGGACTTAGTTTTTCTGCCAGTTAACATTACATTCACTCTGTGGTTAAAGTTTTTGAAATTTTAATAACTTTCTTAAACTATCCTGGATTTCTACCAAACTTGGAAAGAAGCTTGTTTATGATCATAAGATAGTATCCAGAAGTAAATTTTGTAAAATAAAAATTCCATTTTTCCGTATTTTACTTATAAATGGACTTAGTTTTTCTGCCAGTTAACATTACATTCACTCTGTGGTTAAAGTTTTTAAAATTTTAACAACTTTCTTAAACTATCCTGGATTTGTACCACACTTCGACAGAAGCTTGTTTATGATCAAAAGCTAGTATCTAGAAGGAAATTTTGATAAAATTTTGTTCCATTTTTTACGTTTTTTACTTATAAATGGACTTAGTTTTTCTTCCAGTCAACATTACATACATTCTGCAGTTTAAGTTTTTAAAACATTTATTAGATTCATAAATTATCCTGGATTTTTACCAAACTTTGACAGAAGCTACTTACAATCAAAACATAGTAAAGAGGGGAATATTTTTATTAATTTTTTTTTCCTCATTTTTGTTGAGCCTGCGATTAACACCAAAAGTAGGCGAGACACTGGGTTCCGCGGAACCCTTACGAATTTTTCTAGTTTCCAGACAATAATTTGTGTTCAAGTGTATGGATCTCTCTGAAATTGTACTGCAAGGTACCATACCACAAAGATAAGGCTGGGATTGATTTTGGGGGTAATTCCCTCAAAATTTTGGGAATTAGGGGCCATAAAAGGGCAAAAAAACAAGCATTTTTCTAGTTTCAGGACAATAACTTGTGTGTAAGTGTATGGATCTTTATGAAATTGTACTGCAAGGTTCCATATCACAAAGGGAAAGCTGGGTTTGAGTTTGGGGGTAATTGCCCTAAACGTTTAGGAATTTGGGGCCAAAAAACAAGTATTTTTCTAGTTTCCAGACAATAACTTGTGTTCAAGTGTATGGATCTGTCTGAAATTGTACTGCAAGGTACCATACCACAAAGGGAAAGCTGGGATTGAGTTTGGGGGTGATGAATCGTAAGGGGGTTCAAAAAATTTGGGGGGGGGGGATTTTTTTTTCCTTTTTTTTCTTTAAAAATTTTCCATTTTAAATTGGTTATTTCTGATTTATATATAAAAGCAAATGATAATGATATGGTTTGAATAGGTAAATTAAAATTTTTTAAATTCTTAGACCACTTTCATTCTGTGTCAGAAACCTATGCTGTGTCAAATATTTAATTACAATCCAAATTCAGTGCTGTATCAAGCTTGAATGTTGTGTCCATACTTGCCCCAACTGTTCAGGGTTCGACCTCTGCGGTCGTATCAAGCTGCGCCCCAGCGGAGCATTTTATTACTATTTATAACAATGTTTGACTTTGGGAGACTGTGTGCACAGAAATAAGAACGTTTACCAAATCAGTACTATGATATTCATCACCACTGTTTAGGATATTTGAAGACCTTGGAAGTTTAGTATATTATTTTATTTCTGATTTCTACACACTTTATGTCACAGGTTTGTTATCGTAAGAATGGTCACAATGAAACAGATGAACCAATGTTTACTCAACCATTAATGTACAAGAAGATAGCTGTACAGAGGCCAGTTTTAGACCAATATGCAGAAAAACTAATCAAAGAAGGAGTTGTCACCACAAAGGCGTATGAGGTGAGCTGATTTTGATATTAGAATATAATCTAATAATGGACACAAAGTACCAAATACATGTAGAAAGCCTTTCTTAGACTTTTCTGTGTCTACATGACAAAGTACATTTATACTGGTTTTACAGCTTGATTGAATTGGGTGTGTCGGTAGATATAGCCATTTGGCACTGATGCAACCTTTAGTGGTAATCAATTTATGTAACAGAGGAAACTTAGTTTATTATAGCTTTAGGTTATGGTTTAGCAGGAAAAATTATCAACCAAACCTGTCAACTGACCCGTATCCTGCGGGTCACACCTGAGAATTTCACCCCATACCCTGGATTTTTTAAATACCCGCCAGGTCATTAAATTACCTGGGAATTGGGAAAAATAACCTGTTTTCACCCTGATTCTTAAGCATAGACTGATTTCATAAGTGATTTTCCTTTGAAATACCGACAAATTCGTAATTCTTCCTGGACAGGAAGTTCAACTAGCTGCGATAACTGTCAAATTGAGTGACCCGTGAATTGCATGGCTTCACTTGAGAGCTTTGGTGTCCTTAGCTTAAGGTCATAAATAATTTCTATTTCAAAGTTGTTTAACAATAAGTTTGAGTTACATCCCCTTTTTTGTCACCTTTCACAATATACTCCTTAATTTTATGTTTTTTTTTAAAAAAAGATTAAATCTAAACCTAATTGAATGCAAATACATATCAGAATATTACGTACTTTTATTTTTCTACCTTAGAACAATTAAAATATTTTTGAAAATTATTTTTTTTATCTCTACTTCCTTTAAATGCTGATTTTTTTTATGCTCCACCTAGGGGCATTATGTTTTTCGGTCTGTGCATCCGTTCGTTCGTCCGTCAGTTCGTCCGTTCCACTTCAGGTTAAAGTTTTTGGTCAAGGTAGTTTTTGATGAAGTTGAAGTCCAATCAACTTGAAACTTAGTACACATGTTCCCTATGATATGATCTTTCAAATTTTAATGCCAAATTAGAGTTTTGACCCCAATTTCATGGTCCACTGAAAATAGAAAATGATAGTGCGAGTGGGGCATCCATGTACTATGGACACATTCTTGTTTATTATATTCTAATATTAACAATCACCGACTGAGCAAGACCTTCATGGGTAGTCAAGGTCGTTAAAAACCACCCTCATCATTCAAGGAAACAAGTAGCTTGAGAATTGATATAAACTATGAATGAAACAAGAAGAGGGGTTATGGTTTGGCTTGAAATGACAAAGTATAAAACATTAATATTTCAATGGCTTATTATGCAATGAAAAAATTAAATTAAAGTTTTAAATTATTTTCAGTTAGTACTTCACCATTTGAACATATTTTGGAAATGGGTCGATTTAAAATATAAAGAAATGTCCCCTAAATACTTAAATTCAGCTGAAAAAGGTCATGACCTGCATTTTCATTTTCATAGGTTGACAGGTATGTATCAACTGTTGTTTGGGAATAGACATTTTATTTATTAGAAAGTTGGAATTTTATTGTCTGAAAAAGTCAAAAGACATGTTAATTTTAAAATTGCATTTAGAATGATTCAATATTTATTGACAGGAGGAAATAGAGAAGTATAACAAAATCTGTGAAGAAGCATTTATTCATAAAAAGGATCATAAGAAAGGGGAATGGTTAGATTCACCATGGGAAAATTTCTTCAAAAAAGAAGAACCTGGTCAGGAACGTTGGATGATGATCAAACCAAACACAGCTGTCCCTGAAGAGAAACTCAATCACATCGGATTGAAAGTTAGTTCTGAGCCAGAGGATGTTACCATTCATTCAGGTAAATAAACAGCTATATACGATACACATGCATTCACCTGCCGAGGAATTACATAAAAGTTCATCCTTTCTTTCAGGTTAAACATTTAAATCTCTATGGTTTTTTCAGATATAGGCTTCAAATTTATCAGGAATAAATTTTATTTTTACCTTCAACTGAGTTGACTGTTTTACTTTGGAGGTAATACCTTTTATAGTCACCTGGCCTAAAGAGCTAAATGAGCTTTTGCCATTACTTCTCTTGCGTTCGTCTCTGTCGTTTTAAATTATAAACAAAAAATCTTCTCTGAAACTAATAAGGCAAATGTTCTACAAATTATCAACATTAATGAATTTTCAAATGACCCTTATAGGAGCAATTGCCCTTGAAAGACTTTAATTTACTCATTTTTTGCAGAGACTATAATAGATAGAGAGAAATTGGAAAAAAAATCAAAAGTGATCAGCAAAATAAGATTAACATCTAAGTCAACTTGGCTGAAATTGTCAGGTGACAGCTTATAGGAGTGAAGCCCCTAAAAGATGATTTTTTCAATTTTTGCAATTTTTGCACAAACCATAAAAGATAGAGAGAAACAGTTAAAAAGCAAAAATATTCAGCACAACAAGATCTTAAAACCAAACGTTAAGGCAAAAATTATCAACCGAATCCTTATAGAAGTTATTTCCCTTGAAGGATGATTTTTAGTCCCCTACCGAAGAAGTCGAAGGGGACTTTAGGTTTGTACTCTGTCCGTCTGTCTGTCTGTCCATCCGTCAGTCCGGCAAATAAGTTTTCCACACTTTTTTTCTTCGTCCTTGAAGATATTGATATGATATTTAGTGTATTGTTTTATCATGACAAGTTACAGATCAAGTTCGAATTTTGTTCCGGTCTGATGATTTTGTGCAGAGTAATGGTCCTTGGACTTAGAAAATTCACTCAAATAATCAGTTGTCCTCACTTTTTTAGTCATGCTTGAAAATATTGATTTGATAATTGGTATATAGTTTTATCATGACAAGTTACAGATCAGGTTTAAATTTTGTTCTGGTCTGATGATTTTGTGCAGAGTTATGGTCCTTGGACATAGAAAATTCACTTAAATAATCAAGTTTTCCACACTTTTTTTCATCATGCTTGAAGATATTGACTTGATATTTGTTATATAGTTAACACCATGACAAGTTATAGATCAAGTTAGCGTTTTGTTCCAGTACAATGAATTTTTAACAGTAGGGGACTATGTATTGCTATGCAATACTCTCAGAATGCTTGTTATCCATTTTTTGGCATACATTTTTTGCCAAAAACTAGAGAAATTAGAGAGAAACTTTACAAAGGTAAAAGATCAGCAAAATAAGTACTTTAAGTTATTCAACATGGTTAAATTGTCACACTAGTTATAGGAGTTTTTGCCATTAAATAATGTTTTTTATGGCACTGCCACTTAGTAGTCGGGGCCATATAGTTTTGTCAGTCATTCCATCATTCCGCAACAAACAGTTATACAACTTTTTTTTTTAAACACCTTCACATATTGAGCTGATTTTTAGTTTGTGAGTCCAGTATGATGAGTTACAGATCGAGTTTACATTTGGTTCCGCTCCGCTGATTTTTGTGTAAATTACAGGCTTTGGGCTTTGAAAATAGCAGTTATACAGACTTTTTTTCTAAACGCCTTCACATATCGAGTTGATTTTTTAATATGTGAACTACTGTGAGTTGCAGATCGAGGTTATGTTTTTTTCTGCTCTGCTGATTTTTGCAGAAATTATGGGTTGATTTTTGTGAAAATTATCAACCTTTCATTATCAAATTTCCATTCTGAAAAATGGCTTCAACCTTTTTTTGCGAGTGGGGCCATTCGTGTTGTTCCTACACATCCAGTTTTTTTTTTTATCTCAAAAACTTCAATAGATAGGGATAGAATGTAAACAGTAAAAATGATCATTAATACAAGACCTACAAAATGCCACAAAATAAGATCTACAAATAAGCAAACATAACTGATTGCAATAAAAGAAAAAATAAATATCAAAATGAAATATATTTACCAGGTGAGCGATTCAGGCTCTTGGGAGACTGTTGTTGAAATCTTTCAACTTTTTATGAAGGTTATTAAATAAGACAATTATTTTTTACCAGTGCACATGTATCCATTGATTTAAAAGTTGCCAATGCACATAGTTTTTGGCACTCATCACTTATTCAACTAACCAAGCAATTTGATGACCTCCCTTTGCATTCAAAATGATTACATCCAAGTATGACTTAATGTTTGGTTTCACACCAATGCCTGCCTATGTAAAGTGTCATTCATAGAATATGAATACTTCTCGTGATTGTGTAGGAGTAGAATGCGCTGTGTTTATATTTTAATGTAGAAAGTTTCTATTTATCCTTGACATACTTCCTACAATAATGAGTAAAGATATCTCTGAATAATGTATTTTGATAATGCAAAGAAATTTTCTGGTTTATTTTTTTTTTTTTTTTATTTTTCATATTTTATTGAAATCTGTACATTTGTTAGTTAAAAAACATCAAGTACTGGTACCTTAATCCTGGCCACGTTAACCATAGTTAATAACATAAAATACTATGTGTTAATCTGTAAGATTGGACAATACCTTGTGTCCTGTTGATTATTCTTTATTTTCTGACATATAGGTTTGAAAAGAATAATGAAAACAAGAAAACAGATGGTTCAAAAGAGACAGGCTGACTGGGCTTTGGGTGAAGCCTTGGCCTGGGGATCATTACTGAGTGAGGGATATCATGTTAGATTAAGTGGACAGGATGTAGAGAGAGGAACATTCAGGTATGTTGGTGCAGGGAATCATCTCTTTTGGGGGTAACTGCTGATTGATATGCTTTATTTAATGAGTAATTCCATGTTCTTTTCAGTGGTATTAGTACTGTATGAGAGAAAGAGAGAATTAAATCAAATAAAATTTATATGTTACTTAAAATTTTCATATTGTGAAAATTAATTAGTCAGCAATTCATATTGTATACTGCACTATTTTCTATATTTAACCAGGTACTAGTGTATAGGAGTGTGTACTATTGAAAAAGAAATAAATGAAATTTAAAAAGATGTTCATTTCAGGAAACAAATTGCTTAATTGGAGTGTATTTTACTTGTATACTAAAGAATACTTTTGGTTAATGTCTGCATTTGGAATTGCTATGATATACTTAATTTACATAAATGAGTCAGAAGACTGTCTGCTTTAAATTCTTAGTATACAATGATTTTTAATAAATGTTAAAATTTAACCGAAAAAAATACCAGACTACTAATTTAGATTTTATAACCAAAGATATAATTGTAGCCTTATAATTATAAATAACATTGTAGAAATAACTTTTCTTTATTGTAGCCATCGACATGCTGTATTGTTTGATCAGAATGTTGACAAGAAAAAAATTGTACCACTGAATCACTTATATCCAAACCAGGCTAAGTTCCAAGTTCACAACAGCTCACTGTCAGAATATGGTGTACTGGGTTGGTATAAGCAATCATTCTGTTAACAAATGTCAAATACCTTTTTGTCTCCTGTGTGATGCATTGTACTTTGTAGGAGACATAGAAATACCAGGCGTCCGTCTGGTCTTGTTAGCTCTCTCACATGAACGATTCTTGCCAGATTTTTATAAAACTTAGACCATAAGTTTATATCATCAATGTGTCGGACAAGATTGAAAATCAGTGTGGGTCAACAATTTTTAAAACAGTTATGCCCTTATTTATTATATTGCAAATTGAATTGCATTTGATCTCAAGCCTTCATTTCTCTAAGATGAATAATAAAAACTTGAAGAACAAAAACAAATTTTTTTTTAGTTATTGCCCTTGGACAGATAAAATATGTGCTACGCGGGGAAAATTCGAACTCTGTTCTTTTATTTTAAAATCTTCTCCCGTAAATCAATTAGGCCAGTTGAAATTTTACCTGGCCAAAATCATCTGTAGAGTTGCTCCAAATTGTAGCCATTGTTGATGCCAGTCGACCAACATGGCTTCTATGACTAGGATTTAGAACAGTTGAAAAATTGATAAAAATGGAATTAATAAATTCTAACCTGATCCTGCACACAACAGATAGCTATTCAACTTAGGGGAAAGGATACATGGATGAACATGTAGATGTCATAAAACATGGCTGCCACTGTAGCTAAACAAATATATTGTTAAAACAAATCAATTGAAAAAAAAATGATAATTCTTTAATTTGCACATTCCTTTTAGAGTTTGAATCACTTTATACGTGTATGTTTCCTTTTAGAGTTTGAATCAACATTATACATGTACATGTATGTTCCCTTTGAGAGTTTGAATCACATTATACATGTACATGTATGTTCCCTTTGAGAGTTTGAATCACATTATACATGTATGTTCCCTTTTAGAGTTTGAATCACTTTATACATGTATGTTCCCTTTTAGAGTTTGAATCACATTATACATGTATGTTCCCTTTTAGAGTTTGAATCACATTATACATGTATGTTCCCTTTTAGAGTTTGAATCACTTTATACATGTATGTTCCCTTTTAGAGTTTGAATCACATTATACATGTATGTTCCCTTTTAGAGTTTGAATCACTTTATACATGTATGTTCCCTTTTAGAGTTTGAATCACTTTATACATGTATGTTCCCTTTTAGAGTTTGAATCACTTTATACATGTATGTTCCCTTTTAGAGTTTGAATCACTTTATACATGTATGTTCCCTTTTAGAGTTTGAATCACTTTATACATGTATGTTCCCTTTTAGAGTTTGAATCACTTTATACATGTATGTTCCCTTTCAGAGTTTGAATCACATTATACATGTACAAAGTTTGATAAATAAAAATTCACAGGGCTCACACTACTTCAAAATCATAGGGAGAAGTGACTTCTATTTTTCAAACTGATAGTGGGAAGTGGAAACTTAGTAATGTTGTCAAACCACATTTTACCAAATATATACCTCAAGAAACAAATATAACCAAGATGATATTATTTTCAGGATTTGAATTAGGATATTCCTTAGAAAATCCTTATACATTGGTGATATGGGAGGCTCAGTTTGGTGATTTTGCCAACACAGCACAATGTATAATTGATCAGTTTATTAGCAGTGGTAAAGACAAATGGACAAGAGAAAGTGGCATCACTTTACTGTTACCACATGGTTATGATGGCATGGTAAGTGGCATAACATTAATTAGACCGTATTGCATGACAGGAGTATATACTATACGTTCGTTTTTGTCTCCCACGCAACATATTGCCGGACACATGAAATACTGGGTGTCCATCTGTCTGTCCGTTCGGTTTTGTTAGCACTCTCACATGTACAATTCTTGCCAGATTTTTATACGACCGCAAAAAAATTTTGTGGTCGTATATTGGTATGAAGTTGGCGTCGTCGTCGTCGTCTGAATACATATTGGTTTTCGCACTCTAACTTTAGTTTAAGTGAATGGATCTTTTTGAAATTTGACCAGAAGGTTAAATACCACAAAAGGAAGGTTGGGATTGATTTTGGGGGTTATGGTACCAACAGTTAAGGAATTAGGGGCCAAAAAGGGGCCAAAAATGAGCATTTTCTAGTTTCCAGACAATAACTGTGGAACGGTGTATGGATCTCTCTGAAATTATACTACAAGTTTCCATACCACAAAGGGATGGTTAGGATTTGCTTTGGGGGGTTATGGCTCAAACCGTTTAGGAATTAGGGGCAAAAAAGGGGGAAAACAAGGTTGTCCTGGTTAATGGACAAATACTTTAGTACAAAACATAATTTAAAGCAGTGTAAGGGAGATAAATCAAATACATCATTGAAATTATCTCCCTTACACTGCTTTTAAATTATGTATAAAGTAATGGTTAATGAACAATAAAGATAATCTAAAACAGTGTAAGGGAGGTAATCCAAATACAACGTTTTGGTTACTTCCCTTACACTGCTTTTAAATTATGTTTGAAGAAATGCATATTTATAAAGGAAGACCAGTAAAAATATCTGCAAATGTTTTCATCTTTTTTTTTTACAAAAAAATCCATATGAAAGATTTGACACTATATTTTTATTAATTCTATTATAAAATAGATTAAGTTAGCACTATGGTAAATTTAAATGGGTAATTATGGTTGCCAACTCCATTGGAAATTTGAATTGAGATTATGACCATATCTTGAGGGAAAGAATTTTTTGGGGGGCAAAGGGGGGGGGGGGGGATAAAAAGAAATTGTGGGGGGCCAATTTTTTCTCATTTCAGATTTCAGAAATTAGAAAGAATTATTCTTCAAAATTATTTTTTTTTTTTCAAATTTCAAATATTAAAAATTTCAAGAAGTAATCTTTAATTGCACAGTATGGCGCATTAGATTTGTAAAATCTTTGATCACATTTATTTATTTGTTATGCCGAATCTAACAGTGTATTTAGATTTTTAATTTTGGGTCCAGTTTTCAAATTGGTCTACATTAATGTCCAAAGGGTCCAAAATTAAACTTTGTTTGATTTTAGCAAAAATTGAATATATGAGGTTCTTTGATATGCTGAATCTAAACATGTATGTAGATTTTTGATTTTTGGCCCAGTTTTCAAGTTGGTCCAAATTGGGGTCCAAAATTAAACTTTGTTTGATTTCAACAAAAATTGAATATATGGGGTTCTTTGATATGCTGAATCTAACCATGTATTTAGATTTTTTATTTGTGGACCCCGTTATCAAATTGGTTCATATTGAGGTCAAAAGGGTCCAAAATTAAACTTTGTTTGATTTCATCGAAAATTGAATTATTGGGGTTCTTTGATATGCCAAATCTAACCGTGTTTTTAGATTTTTAATTTGGGTCCCGTTTTTTAAATTGGTCTTCATTGAGGTCCAAAGGGTCCAAAATTAAACTTAGTTTGATTTTAACAAAAATTGAATTCTTGGGGTTCTTTGATATGCTAAATCTAAACATGTGTTTAGATTTTTGATTATGGGCCCAGTTTTCAAGTTGGTCCAAGTTGGGGTCCAAAATTAAACTTTTTTTGATTTCAACAAAAATTGAATATATGGGGTTCTTTGATATGCTGAATCTAACCATGAATTTAGATTTTTTATTTGTGGGCCCCGCTATCAAATTGGTTCATATTGAGGTCAAAAGGGTCCAAAATTAAACTTTGTTTGATTTCATCAAAAATTGAATTATTGGGGTTCTTTGATATTCCAAATCTAACCGTGTATTTAGATTTTTAATTTTAAGTCCCGTTTTTTAAATTGGTCTACATTAAGGTCCAAAGGGTCCAAAATTAAACTTAGTTTGATTTTAGCAAAAATTGAATTCTTGGGGTTCTTTGATATGCTGAATCTAAACATGTGTTTAGATTTTTGATTATGGGCCCAGTTTTCAAGTTTGTTCAAGTTGGGGTCCAAAATTAAACTTTGTTTGATTTTAACAAAAATTGAATATATGGGGTTCTTTGATATGCTGAATCTAACCATGTATTTTGATTTTGGACATTGGACCATAATAGGTAAATTAAAAAAATTCAAGTTCTTAGACCACATTCTTTCTGTGTCAGAAACCTATGCTGTGTCAAATATTTAATAACAATCCAAATTCAGAGCTGTATCAAGCTTGAATGTTGTGTCCATACTTGCCCCAACTGTTCAGGGTTCGACCTCTGCGGTCGTATCAAGCTGCGCCCCAGCGAAGCATTTTATTATAAAACTTGCATCATAGGTTTATATTTGAATTGTCTCAGACAAGTTTGAAAATTGGTTTTTTGGCTATCAACAACTTTTAAAAGAAATATTCCCCTTGAACATATTGATTATATGAAAAATTGTATTGTTAGTGCTCTCATGTGTACAATATTTGCCAGATTTTTATCAAATTTATATCAAAAGTACCCACGGTGGCGTAGCAATCTTGTTGATTTCATTTTCAGAATTTTTATGAACTCGCCGCAGTGGAGGGGGCATTTAATGTTACCCTTATAAAAATAAGGACTTTGATGATTGCCAATGAGACAACTATCCACCAAAGTTCAAATGAAGTGGATGTATGCATTTATAGGCAACAGTACGGCCTTCAACAATGAGAAAAACCCATTCTGTATGATCTGCTATAAAAGGCCCGACATGAAAAATATGAAACAATTCAATTGAGAAAACTAACAGCCTAATTTATAACACAACTGTTTAGCGAAAAACAAATATTGACAGACATGAAGCAACGACAACCACTGAACTACAGACTGATGTGGGACAGGCACATAAAGAATGCGGCAGGGTTAAACATGTTTGTGAGTGTCAACCCTCCCTATAACCTGGGACAGTGGTGTTACAGTACAACATAAGAACAAACTATAAAAATCAGTTGAAAAAGGCTTAACTCATCAGATGGATACAAATAGAAATACATCTAACAAAAACACAGAGTGGACGTGGACAGGTACTTATACATCCCAAAAACAAAAGACACTAAGTACAGATCTGAGAGTCCACACAGTTACTGACAGCAAGTTCAAAGCCAATAACTAATGAAAAATATCATGTATCTAAGACTAAAATATCAATCTGTACACATCTAACATCCAATGGATTTAGTGTAAAGACGTCATTAAAAGTCAAAGAAAAACATGACCGTGTGCAATGACAAACTTGTCCTTTTTATACGCCCGTTTACGGGACGTATTATGGTATACCGTTGTCCGTCTGTCCGTCCGTCCGTCTGTCTGTCCGTCTGTCCGTCCGTCTGTCCGTCTGTCCGTCCGTCTGTCCGTCGTCAACATGTCGGACATTAATTCAAAAATGCTTAAACCAATTTGCATAAAACTTTGGTGAATTGTTTATATCTATTGACGTGAGCTCCCTTTCGTTTTTAATAAAATTTAGATTTTACGTTTCCGAGTTATGGGGTTTTATTCATTAAAAAAAGGGGGATTTTCCAGTTTTTGGACAATAATTCAAGAATACTTTCACCAACTTGCAAGAAATTGTGGTGAATTGTTTATATCTATTGACATGAGCTCCCTTTCAATTTTTATAAATTTTAGATTTTACGTTTCCGAGTTGCAGGGTTTTATTCATGAAAAAAGGGGGGATTTTCCAGTTTTTGGACAAAAACTCAAAAATGCTTTCAGCAATTCTAATGAAACTTTGGGGAATTGTTTATATCTATTGACGTGAGCTCCCTTTCGTTTTTAATAAATTTTACATTTTACATTTCTGAGTTATGGGGTTTTATTCATTAAAAAAAGGGGTGATTTTCCAGTTTTCGGACAATAACTCGAAAATTCTGTCACCAATTCTCATGAAACTTTGGTGAATTGTTTATATCTATTGATGTAAGCTCCCTTTTTATTTTCATAAATTTCTAATATGACATTGAGAATTAATTGAACTTTATTTGTTTATAGTCTGACAACAGATTTACTAAGTATTGCACAACAGCAAGAAATCTTTAATTGAATATAAATTCAATTCATATAACCAATTTCAAGATCTTTGACTACATTTATTCAGAAACCTATAATATGTCAAGTATTTAATTACAATCCAAATTTGGACCTGAATCAAGCTTGAATATTGTGTCCATTTTTGTCCCAACTGTTCAGGGTTGGACCTCTGCGGGCGTATCTAGCTGCGCTCAGCGAAGCAGTTTATTTACGTCAGTCCGTACCGAAATTGATTTCCGTTCTCTAATTTAAGTTTGCCTCAACCAAATGTTATAAAACTTATAAGGAATGCTTATTATCACAAAACTCAGATCATGATTGAATTTGGATGGTGTCACTTATACCGTTCTGGAGATATGTCCCTTTATAACGTTATACGCAAGTGGGGGCATTTTTTTTAATGATATCTTTCCCTTAAAATATGTCTAAAAATTCAGATAAATTATATAACATTTGACAATTTTGCTACAAGTGGTCAATTTTATTTTTTTATAAATCAAATGATTATGGTAATTTCTCAGCTCAAATTTTATGCTATTTTGAGACAAAATTTACTGTGTGAGCAAATTCATTCAAAAGTACATTATATACAGTAAAGATTGAAGTTGTGACTTTTATTGTAGGGACCAGAGCATTCCAGTGGCAGATTAGAAAGGTTTCTGCAAATGTCTAATGATGATGGAGATCATTTTCCTGTAAGTATTGATTCATCAGGAAAAAAACTTTCAAAAGTCTTATTTGGTATGCTTGAATCTGGTTTGCCAGATAGACAAAGAAATCATTTTTATTGTCTCCCCTGCGACAAATGTCACAAATCGGGTGGCTACATTGTAAACTACCGTCGAACCTCATTGTGTTGAACTTGGTTGTGTCGAAAACTCAGATGAGTCGAAGTAATTTCTCGGTCCCGGTAAAATTCCCGTTCGATCAATGCATATTTACCTCTGATGAGTCGAACTTGGTTGATTCCAATACTCGGTTAAGTCGAGTAAATATTATAGTCCCGTCTATGTAAAGTTAATGTAAATTGACCCCGATGTCTCAAAGTTGAAAGTAAGAATTTTCGAAATTTGGAGATCTAATGATAAAAATTCAAATCAGATGTATTTCTTATCTCACCTAATCATTTTCAATAGAGATCAAAATGACATGTTTAAGGTGACCGGTAATTAATACCTTTGTTGATCGTTCAAGCGTAACATTTGTGTTTGAACATATTTCAGACATAAAAACGAAACGAATTTAAATGACCCAAGCCGAGATTAAATGAATCGTTAGAATTAAAACTCATTAAATACAATAGATTACGACAATTACGATAAATTCTTAATAATTTAATGTAAAGCAGACGACCTCATCAGAAATATACAATCATAAAGTGTCATATTGAAAAAAGGCACACTGTTCAAAGTATCTAGTTTACACAAATCTTATACCGTATTTCATGCATTCCAAATTTATGACGACACACACGACCTTGGATGAGTCGAACCTCGGATAAGTCGAATAATTTGGTCTGGTCCCTTCGACTTCAACACAACGAGGCTCGACTGTATATGTATAAAACTAATAATTGACTTTCAATAATAAATACATCTCTAACAACTCTTTTATTATAATGATAGGACATTAACAGTTTTACCCATGTACAACAAAACATGGGTGAAACAAATCCTTCTGTTTTCTGGTAAGTTACAATATTTCTCCAATGTCGATAGTTAATTTTACAGTGGAGAAATAAGATTACCAATGACAACAGATCTAGAATCTATATTTCTGTTAGCAGATAGTGTATAAACATTAGTGGTTACATTATTCAAAGTTATTACATTGGTTGCAATGAAATACCATGTTTTCCCAGTGAAATAAAAACTGATAATTTCACATGTGAAATAAATTCAATAATTTCACTTCTCGTGTCATACAACAATTTGTGTTCAGGGGCGGATCCAGGATTTTAGGTTAGTGGGGGGGGGGGGGGGGCGCAAACTGAAATTTTTTTGGAGGTAAAATTATCGAAATATTCTGCATTAAGCTGAGGACAACCCATGCTTTGCAGATTTTAGGGGGGCGCACGCCTGCCACACCCCCGTCTGAATCCGCCCCTGGTGTTGTAAAGACATTGTCGATGACGTTGCATCAAATGATTTGGGAATGCGTAGAAAAGATATAGTTCCTTATGCAGTGAAACCTGTCCAAAGGGAACACCCTCTGGACTTTGTGTTTTGTTCAGTTTTCACAGGTATTCAGATTGTAGAGGTAAACAGAAGTAGACAGTTTTAAATCATTTTGACACTGACTGACGAGGGACACCAGTGACACAACAGACGACAATATAGTTTCATGTAAAAATAAGAAGTGGTATGATTGCCATTGAGACAACTCTCCACAAGAGACCAAATGACACAGAAATTAACAACTATAGGTCATTGTATGCCCTTCAACAATGAACAAAGCCCATACCGCATAGTATGTATACTTCATGATGATTTAGATGTAAATGTTAATAAAGTTAAAATATCAAATAGATGAAGAAAGGTACAATTTTTTTAATCAAATGCCATTTTGTCAATCTCGCTCCTCGTTGTAAAAATATAATAATCGTTCAATGATGTCTGACATGGAGTGAGTTGGCTTTTTATAATGATGTTGTCATTTGTAAATTCACTGCCAATTCAGATTCTTAATCACTGTCAAATGATGATTCCGTAGTTGTAATCGAGATCAACATCGTCTGTGTCAATTATCTGTACACACAAGTTCTCAGACTTTATCTTAGCTAAATAGCTAACGGAACATCATCATCCCGGTCTTTAGAATCGTCTGCATTTCATAGGGCCTCTAAAGGGAATCTGGCATCCCGTAAACATGATTCAAAAGTCGTTGATTTTGTTTTGTTCCACGACTTCTCAATCCAGTGAATGGCTTTAAAAACGATAATTGATTTACACAGTTCAGTTACAGAATGGCAGTTATGAATTTGTGGCAGTAAATATTTGAATCACATGAATTTAATTAATTCCAATTTGTATTCAAGGGAAAGTTCCTTTCTTGCCCTTTTCGGCGATGGGGGCAACTGATCAATTTTATGTTTCTTTACAGAAGTTTCCATTTTATCACTGTATACATGTACACAAACAAGCTAATTAGTTTATAATAAAAACTCACCAGTTAATTTAACTTCAAATACCCTCGGGTATACTCTGTCATGCTGTGTTTGTTTAATAACTCATGCAAATCATTAAAAATATTTTTTGTTTTGATTGCTATCGATTGATTTTGACAAGCAATTACTTAATACACATTCACTAAGGAGCCTTCAAAATGCGTTTGGAATTAAGTATTGACAGAGTTTGGTTTGTTCAGGCTAGATTAACTTTAATTGATAGGCAAATTTTATGGGACTTTGAAAATAGTTCTGTTTAAACTGAAATTTGGTTTTATCAGGGTTCAGTTTACCCAGGTTTCACTGTATCTTATACTTTATTTTCATTAAAATCCCATTCATGGTCAATGTGATAAAAATAATAACTAATAGAAGAATTCAAATATAGAAAAATATTCAACCTGTGACAGAACAACAGTGATAATGAACTCATGCACTACATGAATTTGTTGTTCGGTCACTCGTTGAACATTTTTCTATATTTGAATTCTTCTTTTAGTTATTGTTTTTATCACATTGACAATGCATGGGCTTTTAATGGAAATAAAGTATAAGATACAGTGATTCTATAAATATTTCTACACAATATTGATGCCATTTACTGATTTAAAAAAAAAATCTATGTTTCAGCCTGAAAACGAGGATTTTGTGACGCAACAATCGCATGAAATTAACTGGTTTGTATGTAACTTTACAACTCCAGCCAATTTCTTCCATGCTATGAGGAGGCAGATACTTTTACCATTCAGACGACCAGTAAGTCTGTTGTCAATTATTTTTTACCATAAATCATTCATTAAACTGTCATCAATTTCTATGTTAAATCATGGTGTGCAAAAATTTAATTTGAACAATATACAATGTCTACAAATGTAAAGAACATTTATATAATTTAAATTAAGTCTGAAACTAGTGTTCAGTCAAAACAGTGTTATTTAGTTTGAAAATGTATTGTTACTGAATTGAAAATTCAAGAAATACAAATTCAGTTTGTTTTAACATGGACAGTGGCCATAACTCTATTGCCAATATAATAACTTCTTTCAAATATTGATAACAATATTGCATATTTTATTATTTTTAGCTGATTGTCATGTCACCTAAAAGTTTGCTACGACACAAGGATGCCATGTCTAGCTTCGATGATATGAATGAAGGAAGTAGTTTCCGTAGAGTTATACCAGAGGAAGGAGCTGCTTTACAGAACCCCACCGGTGTGAAGAAGTTGATCTTCTGTAGTGGCAAAGTCTATTATGATCTGATTTATGAACGAGAAAAGAAGGAATTAAATGATCAGATAGCTATTGCAAGAATTGAACAGGTAAAAAGACAAATAGCTTTATCACTAATCCAACATTGGTGTAAAGAAAGAAATATTAGTACTTCTTATGACAAGTTATATTCTACATCGGTGATGACAAAAAAGATTCCTACTTCTTTATTAGAAAATGAATTAGGAATTTTGTCATACTTTAGGTATTAGGTAGAATATGAAAATATGAAGACATAGTATGATTGCCAACGAGACAACTATCCTTCAGGGTTTAAGTGAAGTTGATATAAGCAATTATAGGTCACTGTATAGCTTTCAACAATGAGAAAAACCCATACCATATTGTCAGCTACATGGCTTTGTCATGAAAAATGTCCAATCCAAATGAGAAAACTAAAAGCCTAATTTAAAACAATACAATTTAAGATAAAACAAATATGACAGACATGAACCAACTGAATAACAGGCTACTGACTTTGGACAGACACTTAAAAAAGAATTTGGCAGGGTAAAACCTGTTTGTGAGCATTCACCTAACCTTGGACAGTGGTGTAACAGCACACCATAAGAACAAAGGGTAAAAATTAGTTGCAAATGATAAAACTTAATAGATCAGTACGAATCACACTCAAAAAAACAATACACACAAAGCAACAATATAAGAGTACTCACTGTTACTCGAAGCTAGTTCAAAGCCAATTGCAACTAATAAATAAATCATGTTCTCTTAGATTTAAGTATCAATCACTACACATCAACTGATTTAGCCTTAAGACATCATAAACAGTCTGAGAACGCATGACCTTGTGCAATATGTCTGCATTTCAATCAAAAGAGATCATTTCATTTTACTCTGCTGAAAATTACTTTACCTATAGTAAGCCAAGCTCCTAAATTTAATTTTTTAATTTCACTTGGTTAAGATGACATTTTATGGTGAAGAGAGGTCCAAGATTGTCATCACATTTTCACACTTCAGTTCATTGAGTTTTAAAAAGATAGTCTCCTTAGAAATCATTGGACCCTAATTTGCCACAGTCATCCTATGGATGTGTAGATAAAAAAATTACTTCAGATAATCCAGTCTACCAAACAACACATCCACTGTTACTATAAATAGAATGATCAATTTTATGTACTGGTAATACAATGAACCAACAATTTAGAATGAATAATAGCTGTGTATGTATCTGATTGTATCAGTTACTGTTGGATAGTGTTAATCCATGATCAAATGCAAAAATAAAGCAATTTCTAGTATTCCTGGCACCTGGCATATTTGTCGTAAGAAGGAAGCTATGCTTTGGTAAAAAAAAATTCAGATTAAGAGAACTTTGCATGTTTATCAATATAATAAATCCACCATGAAAATGATAACCCTGCAAAATTACCCCTTTTATTAGACTGCTCCTCTGTTCCCTCAGATTCTAGATAGAACACTACATTACTTGTATTTCAGATTTCACCAATTGTTGTATTTGAAATGGTGTATGATGTGTTTCCGTATTGCAGAACAAATTTTACTTGAAATTCACATTATTTTTTAGATTTCCCCATTCCCATTTGATCTTGTGAAGGAAGAGATACAGAAGTATCCCAAGGCCAGTATTAACTGGGTACAGGAGGAACACAAAAATATGGGAGCATGGTTTTATGTAGAACCCAGAATTAGGACTGTCCTGCATAAACTTGATATGTCTAATGCTACTATTGGGTAAGTCACTTTCATTTCATTTAAACACGACTTGGATATAATAATGAAATATTATCATGTGTCTAACTCAGAATGCCTGTTATAAATGCATGATATTATTAACCTATTGAAGTTAGTCATTTATACAGTATACTATATAGTAACATAAAAGTTATTTATACAGTATACTATATAGTAACATAAAAGTCATTTATACAGTATACTATATAGTACCATAAAAGTCATTTAAATAGTATACTATATAGTAACATAAAAGTCATTTATACAGTATACTATATAGTAACATAAAAGTAAGATGTCTGGAAAGTATTATCAAGATGTCAATTTCTTATTAATTACTACCACAGATATTTTAAGATATTAACACAGAAATGTAGTTTGTCTTATTTTCTGATGGAACAAAATGTAAAATATTTTCTATATTTTGTAGATATAGTGGGCGGGAACCAGCAGCATCCACAGCAGCAGGATCTAAACGCAGTCATTTATTACAGTTGGCGTCTTTCCTGAACGAAGCTGTCAGTCTGTCATAATGATGACCTTAAAAACACACTTACCAGGATATATCAAATCATAAACAAAAGAAATTTGTGATAAATGGAAAGATTTGATGTACACAATATAGAACCGTCTCCATAAAAATCATCAGTTTGGGTATTTTAATAATCAACTATTCTGGGTGAATGCAGTTGTAATCTATTGTTTTAGCTTAACTTGTAAATTGTATTCATTCTGTACATACCTTTATATAAAATGTCTATTTTAATGTCAGATATAAACTGCAGGGCAGATGTACACTTGTTATTAAAACTAAAAATCTCACAGTTTTGTAAGATTTCCTTTGATGTGAATCAAACATGTTTTTTAAACCTATTTTTATACCTTATATTTTCTACCTTACTGAATTGTTTATGATAACTACTGTACAGCCAGAAGTCAATGTGAATAATATCCCATAAACAAATACATCATAAGTTTACCATTTTATTAGGTATTTATAGAAGAAGAGTCAGTGAAAATGTTTTACACAAGTTTTGAAGTTTAAAAAGGGGAAATATTGAAGGGGTAAACGATGAATTATTTGTGTTTGATGGACATGGTAGTCTGTCTTGTGTCTGTTTTCTGTCTCTGTTGTCAGATATATTTATTTATGTACAGATGTAAGTATTCGGTACAAGCTAATTTAATTGTTGGTACATGAAGTTCTTACTCTATGATGAAATCATCATTTGTAATTTGAGGAACCTTCATAAAGAACATGGAGTGTTATTTCTTTCAGTAACAACTTTAGAGGCTGTAGTAAATTATAAATGTTTCCAAGACTTATGTAATCTCTAAAAAAATATTGGAATTTCAGACATGTTGATATATTTTTATCCAGATTACTATACTAAAAAACAACCAAAAAAAAGACTGTGATAAAGATAAAAAGATAACAAAGGTTTGTGAAGGGGAAGTTAGTTCTAGGCGGTGGTTTTATTAGATGGTTAGGGTTTATAAAGGGACACATATACAAACCAAGTAATTCCTCTCACAACTTTCATTTCATAGTCAGAGGAATTATTCAAATGGCATTAAAAGTGACATTTATTAAATGTCATATATATATATATATATATATTATATGATATAATGGTTGGAAATCATAAAAAAATATAGTTTGTTTATTTCAAAAAGATTCAAATTCTACAATTTATGATATGTTCGAATTATATTTCATGTTTGACAATTTTTTTAGTTAAAAGGCAAAGTTTTCTTTTCTTTCTGTGAATGGTGTGCCTTTATGTAGATTTTTGTTTTTATTCTGGTGCTGTACTTACCGTTATCTTGATATAGATCTGCAAATACACTCATTATCATTATATTACAACACCATTCAAAAATATTGGACATTTCTTTGTGCCATTTGACACTATAAAATGAAAACAGTCAAGTGTGATAATTTTGTTTATTTGATAAGTATGTGTGTTTTGTTAAGTTGAACCAGTTAAATGCACTTATTTATGGGACAGATGAAATTATCAATGAAAGTTGAGGTCAGTTCAGCATTACTGTGTGCCAAGTTTGATATTTTCATGAGAATGTATTAGAATTGTATAGAAAAATTAAATGTACAGATACTCTTGATATTGACCTTGAAATTTTCTTGATGTCTGCACCGATTATAGTACCAAATATGACTTGAGAATTAGGACTCTTAAAGAATATATATTCATACTTAAATTGGTATTAAAGGATTTTTCTATTCGGCACATGTATCAAAATTATCCTTAGTGATTCATTTTGCATTTAGGTGAAATGTTCACACAGATATTTAATTTTCCTGTATGATGCAAACCAAAACTGACCCTCTTTCAAGAAAGTAGAGAAGTCAACTTGCAACCAGCTTAAGGTCAGGTCAGCTACACCTTTTTATAGTGTCAAGCTTGATTTTTTTTATAGTAAAAGAAGGGTAGCATATGTTCAGAATAAAGGTGAATAAAACATCATATTAAGATTTAAAAATGACTTCAAATCAAATTTAAGCAAAATCAAGCAGAAAAACTTTTATCATTGTGAATGATATAGACATTACTCTTCCAATAACCACATTTTCATGCTAAGATAATTGTTTTTGTTTTTATAATAGTTAATTTATTACTTTGTTTATCTTGCTTTGTTTGTCAACTATGAATTAGGCCTGGAAAGAAGATATATTGTTCGACAATTTTTAACAATAAAAATATGTTCCATTATTTGTGTTAATGTTTTCTGTTACATTCGTCTTCAAATTAACAATTACTGTGCATTCATTGTTTGCTCATATTTTCTTTAGTATTCAGTTTTCATTTTCATGTTGTGTTACAACTGTCTTGGTGGTCAAATGGTGGCATGCTTGCTATGGGCATAGGAATCTTGAGTTTTATTTCTAGCAAGGTCAAATAAAGGCAGAGACTATAACATTTGTATTTTCTACTTTACTTCCATGCTTTAGCTAAATGATGATAATGGATGTATGGTATTTAACAGCCAACATCAGATATTACATTCATATCAGGACAAGAAGGAAGTTAATCAAATATGAATATGAACACTGCTTTGTACTTAACTGACAAATTGTGAAAAAAATTTCTATACACTAATTTACAAGGTAACAGACTGCAGGGAGACAGGTTATCCTACCTATGCTAGTTTACAAGGTAACAGACTGCAGGAAGACAGGTTATCCTACCTATGTTAGTTTACAAGGTAGCAGACTGCAGGGAGACAGGTTATCCTACCTATGCTAGTTTACAAGGTAACAGACTGCAGGAAGACAGGTTATCCTACCTATGCTAGTTTACAAGGTAACAGACTGCAGGAAGACAGGTTATCATACCTATGTAAGTTTACAAGGTAACAGACTGCAGGAAGACAGGTTATCCTACCTATGCTAGTTTACAAGGTAACAGACTGCAGGAAGACAGGTTATCCTACCTATGCTAGTTTACAAGGTAACAGACTGCAGGAAGACAGGTTATCATACCTATGTAAGTTTACAAGGTAACAGACTGCAGGAAGACAGGTTATCCTACCTATGTTAGTTTACAAGGTAACAGACTGCAGGGAGACAGGTTATCCTACCTATGCTAGTTTACAAGGTAACAGACTACAGGAAGACAGGTTATCCTACCTATGCTAGTTTACAAGGTATCAGACTGCAGGAAGACAGGTTATCCTACCTATGCTAGTTTACAAGGTAACAGACTGCAGGAAGACAGGTTATCCTACCTATGCTAGTTTACAAGGTAACAGACTGCAGGAAGACAGGTTATCCTACCTATGTTAGTTTACAAGGTAACAGACTGCAGGAAGACAGGTTATCCTACCTATGTAAGTTTACAAGGTAACACTGCAGGGAGACAGGTTATCCTACCTATGTAAGTTTACAAGGTAACAGACTGCAGGGAGACAGGTTATCCTACCTATGCTAGTTTACAAGGTAACAGACTGCAGGAAGACAGGTTATTCTACCTATGCTAGTTTACAAGGTAACAGACTGCAGGGAGACAGGTTATCCTACCTAAGCTAGTTTACAAGGTAACAGACTGCAGGAAGACAGGTTATCCTACCTATGCTAGTTTATAAGGTAACACTGCAGGAAGACGGGTTATCCTACCTATGTTAGTTTACAAGGTAACAGACTGCAGGGAGACAGGTTATCCTACCTATGTTAGTTTACAAGGTAACAGACTGCAGGAAGACAGGTTATCCTACCTATGTTAGTTTACAAGGTAACAGACTGCAGGAAGACAGGTTATCCTACCTATGCTAGTTTACAAGGTAACAGACTGCAGGAAGACAGGTTATCCTATCTGGACACATTGTTCTGATTAGGAGCCAACCTAGATGCTGCATACTTGACAGAAAAGCCGCAAATAGGATTTTGATTGCCTCCTAGATGCTACATGCTTGGCAGAGAAGCCGCAAATAGGATTTCGATTGCCTCCTAGATGCTGCATGCTTGGCAGAGAAGCCTCAAATAGGATTTTGATTGCCTCCTAGATGCTGCATGCTTGGCAGAGAAGCCGCAAATAGGATTTTGATTGCCTCCTAGATGCTGCATGCTTGGCAGAGAAGCCTCAAATAGGATTTTGATTGCCTCCTAGATGCTGCATGCTTGGCAGAGAAGCCTCAAATAGGATTTTGATTGCCTCCTAGATGCTACATGCTTGGCAGAGAAGCCGCAAATAGGATTTCGATTGCCTCCTAGATGCTGCATGCTTGGCAGAGAAGCCTCAAATAGGATTTTGATTGCCTCCTCGCCATTGCATATTTTTTTCATATGAGACAAACTATGCATTTTGATTATCACCTCATAAGACTGACTGATAATTCTCATATAATTATGATTAAGTAATGTTGGGAGGATAACGGATAATATTCTCTACATCATGGACAACAAGGCCTAGTGCATTGAAGAATATCCTCTACATCATGGACCACCACGCCCAGTGCATTGGAGAATATCTTTATATCATGGAACACCACATCCAGTGCATTGGAGAATATCCTCTACATCATGGACCACCAGGCCCTGTGCATTTGAGAATTTCCTCTACATCATGGACCACCACGCTCAATGCATTGGAGAATATCCTCCACATCATGGACCACCACGCCCAGTGCATTTGAGAATATCCTCTACATCATGGACTACCATGCCCAGTGCATTGGAGGATATCTTCTACATCATGGACCACCACCTTAGTGCATTGTATTTTATACTTTAAAGGGAACTACATGATGCTCATATAGGGTCATATTCTGAGTACTTCATCTATAGGTTTATACATCTATGACCAGAAACAATTTCTACCAACATATAATACCAAATTCAGTATAAGTGAGTGTGTCACATACTTCTTGAAGAACCTTGTAAATGCATATAAGATCTTAATGTTGCAGATTAAATTACAAGGTCAATCGCACCACATAGTCTTATCTCCTGGACTTCTCGTAATTGGTTACATCCTCTTGTCTCATGTAGTATTTGCCCCTGAAACCATTAATCAATCAACCTTCTGTGCAGCAGTAATTAAGACTTAAAAGTTGAGTGGACATCAATTTGGTATAAATATGTTGGTATATTCAAATTTCCTGCCCTCTATTGTGGTCCACCAACTTTGAAGAACCTACTGTTTAATTGGTTGTAGTCGTGAACATGCATCAAATACTTGCCACTGGAAGTCAAGCAAACAAATAATCATATATTTAGTTGTGTACCTGTGGTTTGTAATACAAATAAAACTGAAGTCAGTATTTTTTGTAGTTAAATTTGTGTTTTTGTATACATCTTGTTTTTTCCTTTGGTCAAGCTATAGGGGGGGGGGGGGGGGGGGTGAATACTAAAAAATACTAGCTGACCCTGCCAGAAACATAAAGTACTATATATCTTTCTGATCCTGCTTACTCCTCGTTGGTCTCGTGCTCACCTCTATTGCGGGCGGTTTATGGTTCGACCCCTTCCTGGTCAAACCAAAGATTTGAAAATTTGGTATCTGTTGCTTCTCCACTAAGCACGCGCGGCATTGGTTAAGAACAGAGCAAAGACTGGTCGGCTCGGGAGTAAGAATAACGTGCCAGGGTGACATGTCTTCCTGTGGTCTGTTACCTTGTGAACTGGCACATTAAAAATCTAGACCGGTGATATGGCATATGGTGTGGGTTCTAATCCATTTGGTGATCTCAAAATGTATTTGTTTGGTTAGAATGTGTTGTTAGGTAGTTCGCAGTTTCATGGACTTTGATCCCATATTTTTTATTCAGATGTTAAAGGTAAATGTATCTGCCAGTGTAGTCCACGAAAAAGTGCCAAAATAATCAGGAAAAATAAACAGTGATTTACTAAATGTGAAACAGTCTAAGCCAAGGACCTGTATATATACTGTATAGATAAATGTTGCGAAAGAGTTATAGGAATAGAGTTACAAAAAGTAAAGAACTAGTCAAATGCAAAAGCATCAAGTCTATATGGCAAACTATCACACATAGAAAAGGCACATAAAACAATAAGCTAAAAGATTAAGTTTAATTTATTCCTAACTGAACTCGAGACGATTTCGATCTTGAAATATTGTATAGACATCTATTTATCATTGACCGTATGTTGACCTCTAGGTGCTCTTTGGCTGTTTTTTTCTTTAGGTTGCTGTCTATTTGACGCATACCTCATATTTCCTTTTATTTATATTATTTTGTCTATAGTGCAGTGTTGACATAGAAGAATATAACCTCGTGCTTCTTTTTGTGTGCTCCTTTTTTCAGTTTGGGAATTTGCGATCGTGAGATAACCTCCGCCTGGCATTTTTAAATCTTTCTTTTGTTTTTATTAACACTAACATCTAGCTTAAAACTTCACGTCTCCGTCTATATGATTGTTTGCCCAGTTTTCTTATTTTTACATGTATCTTTCCTATAGTTGTTATCCATCGGGCTTAACTCGTGTGTTTTCAAAGACTATATTTTAGAAATTTATAACTATGATCTGAAGGTCAGACATTACCATATTACGTCTACCCTAAACTCTTTGCACATGCGGTGGAGGAAATTTAAACGAAAATATTAGGGAGTTGTAGCACCAAAATATATTCCATTATAGCGCCAAGTTTTTAACCCATATTAGCGAAAACCAAAATTACTGATGTCGATTAAAGTGACAGAAAATTAACCCATCTCTTACTCCATTATGATATTAAATACTAGAATAATATTTTTTAATGTGAATGTTCCAAGTATTGAAATGTCAATTTCATTCAAATGCAGCAATAAAAGTCTGAATACTTTTCTCAATAAAACCAATGCAGAGGCGGATCCAGCCATTTACAAAAAAAAGGGGGGGTCCTAACCCAGGATAAAGGGGGGGTTCCAACTATATATCCCCATTCAAATGCATTGATCGTAAAAAAAAGGGGGGTTCCAACCCCCGTAACCCCATCTCGCCCCCCCCCCCTTCCCCACCACGGATCCGCCACTGCAATGATGTCATTTTATCAGAGACATATATACATATGCATATATGTCTCTGATTTTACTAAATCATTTATTTCTGAACTCAGATATTACCAATCCGTTCTATGTTGGAATTTATATTCCTGTGACCGTACATTATGGACTATTGATATACCCCCTCTATCATAGAATTGCAACAATTGAAGTAAAAACTGTTCCCTTTGTTTATGTTTTCTGGATTTCTTGATCTTTTTTAAATACTTATTAGTCGATCCGATAACGGAATTCCTCAAACATTGAATCTTTCTTCGTTGGATTGTTCTAACAACATTTATTTCGATTTTAACTTCAATCAACATAACAGAATAGAGAATGGAAACGGGGAATGTGTCAAAGAGACCGTTGAACAATCCGAACAAAGAACAAAAGACAGCTCAATGCCACCATTGGGTCTTCAACGCAGCGAGAAAATCCCGTACCCGGAGGGGGGCTTCAGCTGGCCTCATAACAAAAATGTATACTAGTTCAGTGAAATGGACGGTGCATTAAACTCCGAAACATACAAATGAACCAAAATTTAAAAAAACATAAGACAAATAAAGGCTAGAGGTTTCTGCCTTGGGGCAGGCGCAGAAATGCGCCGGGGTTAAACATGTTTTTTATATCTCAACCCTCCCCCTATACCTCAAGCCAATGTGGAATAAACAAACACATAGCAATACGCACAGTAAAACTCAGATTAAAAGAAGTCCGAGTCCAATGTTAGAATAGGTAACAGAAGAAACTAAGCAAAATGACAAATATCAACATGAATTACTAGCTGTTACGTATACTGGCATGACAGCTCCGAATCTAAATTAAACTGATCGAAAGATTATCTCTTCATCATATGAAAGGTTAGTATCATGCCATCATAAATAATACGAGAAAAACCTAACCCGTACCATACCAACAACTGGTTTTAGAACAAATGTTTTTATTTCCGATGCAAAGCCCATATGAGTGAATTAATAAAAATTCCCCCAAAATAAGTATTTTGCAACTTGGAGAGTTTGATCTAACATCGAAATTACATATGAACGGATAAATCTAGCGCTATCGGAGCTATAATGTTAACCAGTATATATTTGCATTTTTCTCTAAAAATGTCCTGCACCTGGGAACAGTATATCACATGTATATTCTGAATAACCTCATATAACGCAATTTTTATTCTGAAAGAGGTAATTCTCCCAGTGATTAACTCCGAATAAAAGAATTGATGATACGAAATAAAGGCAACGTGTGTGAAATTATGAAATATTGCAATACGACATTTTTAATAAACGTGTTCACCTCTTGTTTATCAGCTGGTTTTTCACATTTCAATGTATCTGACACTCACAAAGATAATCCGATTACGTCAGCTTTACAAATTTTATCATTTTTTACCTATAATACATATTATTGATTTTACCTATTACCTCTGAACTTTGACGTCTAACGGTAATACACCTGGCTGTTTATATACGTCCGTGTTGCGGAAACAAGGATACACGTTTTTAATGTGAAGTTCTATTTTATTTGTGGATTTTAAGTGCAAATAGAAAGATGAAGGATACCGACGAGACCCACAAATTAACGGAGACAATTTATAAGGTAGGTACACCTGACCACACCTGTCATTTAAGATGCATAATCGTAATATTGTGACAGGGATGTTTATCGATTAATTTTGTATTTAACAATTTCTTCAATCAATTCGCCAAAAGATTTGTAAATATTGTAGTGTTTAAGATACCAATTACATATTCTTCTTTAATTTAATACTACAAAAAGTTACTAATGTTAATTGTGTTGTCACTTACAATTAATAAAGTTATATTTTACAACAGCTATAACTCTTTCAGTTATCATGTTTGTTAAAAACATAACAAGATAAACAATTATTAGAGTTATCATTATTATTTTCTTAGTATGATCAGAGACATATAATACAATCATATATGTCTCTGGTATGATCTATATATTAACTTTGGGGGTGGGGGAGGGGGGTAGTTTTATTTTGAGATGGCATGTTATATTTACAAAATAAACTATCTTTCAGTTCATATATTTTTTTCTCGACTAGAATTTTCGTATATATTTACAGGGTTTAACAGATAATTTTACACCGGGTGTACGACAGATTATATTAGCAGGGAAAGTTTATCACAAGGCGTTGGTTGGTATGTTTGTTTTAAATGTAGTTTACACTCTCTAGATAAATCATTATCATTATATATTAGTACCCTAGTCAATCTTGTAGTAAAGTGACAGGTTGTTTGACATAAAGGATAAGAAGGGTTACAGGCCTACTCAGGGCGTGGGTTGAACACGTACTCTGGGGTCAGATAAACACGTACTCGTCTCAGGGCGTCATATAAACACATACTCAGGGCTAACGTTTTTTTTCATCGTTAGGTCCCCAAAACAATCAGAACGTGAGATGAACACCATACTAATTAATTTTAGACTTTGTTTGGTGTTTTTTTTCAATACAGGAATACTCTGTTCCCTTGATAATTATATATTTGAATATCAATGGCCGAAGCAAGACATACCCGAGAGAAATTACAATACAGACATACTCTATCTCCTTGATAACAATAGATTTGAAAATCAATTGCCCAGGCAAGCCACGTGGGCAAGTAATACCCGAGAGAAGTTAGTTTGAAAGACTTTTTACCCTCGTCGTTTATTATTGTATAATGTAACCCACAACTTCCAAAGCACGATGGTACCATTGCTGGTGTGCTGTCATTCCTTGATTTTATCATTAATTCAGCATACTTCGACACTTTGAGGTTATAATCCACTGAGAACTCAGTATTTCTGCGCTGATAACCCTTACGGTTTTATCATTCACCAGATTTCAGTACTTCACCAATGTGTCCTTGGGTTTTATCATTCACCAGATTTCAGTACTTCACCAATGTGTCCTTGGGTTTTATCATTCACCAGATTTCAGTACTTCACCAATGAGTCCTTGGGTTTTATCATTCACAAGATTTCAGTACATCACCAATGTGTCCTTGGGTTTTATCATTCACCAGATTTCAGTACTTCACCAATGTGTTCTTGGGTTTTATCATTCACCAGATTTCAGTACTTCACCAATGAGTCCTTGGGTTTTATCATTCACAAGATTTCAGTACTTCACCAATGTGTCCTTGGGTTTTATCATTCACCAGATTTTAGTACTTCACCAATGAGTCCTTGGGTTTTATCATTCACCAGATTTCAGTACTTCACCAATGTGTCCTTGGGTTTTATCATTCACCAGATTTCAGTACTTCACCAATGAGTCCTTGGGTTTTATCATTCACAAGATTTCAGTACTTCACCAATGTGTCCTTGGGTTTTATCATTCACCAGATTTCAGTACTTCACCAATGTGTCCTTGGGTTTTATCATTCACCAGATTTCAGTACTTCACCAATGTGTCCTTGGGTTTTATCATTCACAAGATTTCAGTACTTCACCAATGAGTCCTTGGGTTTTATCATTCACCAGATTTCAGTACTTCACCAATGTGTCCTTTGGTTTTATCATTCACTTCGACAGTGAGTCCTTGATTATTTATCATTCACGAAGAATTCGGACTGTTGAAGTCGGCAGCAACAGCTCCACCCTGTGGTCAGTACTTCGGTCAGCTAACCTTTTGAGACTCCAAGGGTTGATCAGGGTATAGAAATATGTTCATCATTGGAGTTTTCTCGTTCCGACAATAAAACCCTTGCTGAAATGGACGTCCGTTTGCTTCTGTGAGATGTATAAATTTGCAGCCATGTCCTGTCGGAATGGGGACGTTAAATGCGATGCTTCGTGGAAAGGGTGAATGCTATGTTCTCTGTTGCATGGCAAAATTTTGCCATTATCCAACAAACAGTACCCTTATATTCCAATGGCTGTCCTTTCAGAAGCCTCCTATGGTATTTGATTATACGTTCTCTCCCTGAATATGCATGGAATAATTGTCACTGCACGTTAAGCAAGAAACAATCAATCAATCATCTTGGAAGCCTTAGACTTTGAAGCTAAAATTAAACTATCTTTATTTTTTTCACCGACTATTAGAAATAAAAGGCTTTTAGGATCATCTGACGATTCAGGTCACATTGTTTTAATTGTAGATATTGTCTAGCTTATCGATTTGACTGTTAAAGTTCCTTTATTATAGTTTTCAAGATACTAACAAAAACGCAAAATGAGTGCATCGACATGGTAAGTGTCTTCCGCTGTGTATGCATCACCCACCATGCACATTCAATCAAAGTGTCAGAATCGGGGATAGAAGACAATTGGTTTAATTACAGATCAGAATACTTTTCTGGTAACTTAAGATCTCAGACCACAAAAACATGTTGCTAGTGAGTTGAGACATTGACACATGGTATTGAGAAGAGTTTTGTGGATTTTTAGAGAAGGCAAAATATTGACCCCGCCTTTCCGCCGGCTATGTACCGATAAACCACAGAACTAAAACCCCGTGTATGATTTAGATATAAAGTAGTATCCACCTGTTTATTGCCTACAATTCTCTGAAAAGAAGGCACCATAGTCCCACTCTGCTTTTGATAGCATTTTCCAATATGTTGACCGTGCTCTTAAGATAATAGAAAATAATATAAACCCCCAGTGTTTACTTGTATCTTACTTGACGGCATTTTCTACAAATTAATCCCATTAGTAAACAAAGTAATCCGTTCAACTTAATATCTTCTTTTATTACACGTTATTATATTAAAATGAAGAAGACATTTACCTACGCAAAATATCATTTGTAATGTTCATGCAAATACGTCATATAGTTTGAAAAATGAGGAAGATGTTCCATGGTTAAATCTACAGGGACAGTAATATGAAGATTGGAAGATTTAAATTGATAAAGAATAAAGAGATTGGTATAAACACAAGTAGATAAGGCTGTTTTATATGGAAAAGTCAAGGACTTTTTACAGCGATTTTTTTAAAGGCATGGAAATCGTTCTATTTAGCTATCACTGATTCTATATGGCTCTTACAGATATACCTTTTTGAGTGTTATGGGTAATTTGATTGGGGAAAAAATGCTGCTCCTACTCTAAATTTGTCGCCATTGACAAAAGAAAAACAAATGGTGAAGAATTAAAAACAAAATGAAACAAAAAAATAACACTAAAGAAATATTTCGAAAGGCCTATGTCATTGCATTGAGCGTGATAGTTGAATGTAATTTCGGACCAGGTATCATAAAAGGTAATATATACAGTTTGCAGGATTACTGTGTAGAAACTATTCAGTACCTTCAAGGTAAAATCAAGTAACAATTCTATCCGTTCAACTTAAGTTTATTAATGCCCATTTCCCTAAACCCTTTATCAAAAGCCTGTATAGTATATATGTACAACATGGAGTGCTACAGTTCATGATTGCGTATGTTCCAGTACTATGTTGCATCAGGAACATATATATTGATATACTGTTCCCAGGTTGCATGTACTGGTCAAGGAGAAAAAGTATGATACGAATTTTCGTGCACACGAGTGTTTTTGAATTGATCTTCATCCGGATTATCGAGACAAAAAGTTTGGGAAGTCAATGATAGCATAAATAACCAACGTAAAAAGTTGACTCACAGCTTTTGATTATTTAGTTTTGGATTATAATCTTGTATTCAGCCTTAAACCTGAACTACGTAGCCCACAGAAGACTTATTATTTGTTTTGATATATGAAAAAATTCTAGTTAGCAACAGTGCTAAGAATGTATCATACCAGCCCTCAGTTTTGATTTTTTTAATCATACAAAGTTTACTCTTAACAGGTGTAGCTGCGGCTGCAAGAACATATAATGAAGTGCTGTTACGGGTAGGACAGACCGCACGGACTACATGTAAAGGAGGGACAGAAGACATAGGTAGGACTTATTGTCTTGGGATTAAAAAGTCATCAAATCAAATTCTCGATATAACTGGCTATGTTACTATGTATAAAAATAAGTTAACACAGTTTATAAACCCCCGCCCCACCCCTTTGAAGCTGACTGGGGATTAAGCTGTCAGCATTCCGTCGATTTTATTCCAACAACATTGAGATATAAACTGAATAGTTCGTATGAAGGTATATGATTAAAAACTAGACAATCTATATTTCAAAAGGATAACCTCATTAACCAAAGTTAATCTTCCTGAGGGTCCTCAAAATAAGTCTAATATAAGGTTATATTCATAAGGTATAAATCCTGGAACATGATATATTATACTCTTCACGGTTACAACATAATATACAAGTATTTTATATACACAAATAAATACATTTTCATATTATTATTTACAGCAAATGCTTCAACAAGCAGACTACTCGTTATTATACTATTTATCTTTAAACTATTTTGAACAACGATTTGCAATTTTTTTCTTCTGAAGGCAAATAATTCCATATTTGTGCACCAGAGTAAATTAATGTTTTTTTCATGAAATTGGTATTTGGCTTAGGCAGGTATACATCTTATTGTTAATGGAACAAAACTGATAATTTGGAACATTTTGATTTTTTTTTCAAAATAAGGAGGTACCAAACTGCCAATCCATTTAGATATTCAAATTCGAAAAAATTATCAGTTAATCAAGCACACATGAAAAAATACTTAATCCAAATGTACAACATACAAAACATGACACATAATGTAAATTAAGTGATAATTATCCATATCCTATTACCGATAAGTCTTACTTATAAGACTTATGGTAGACCGTGGAAGTATTATATTCTCGATATTACGTCCATGGGTAGACCAACTAACTATGAACTTCAAAAGATTGACTGAAATAATTACACATCTGTCAGCCATAAACCACATTATCCGGATTAAATTAATGTATTACTGATTTGATATCATCATCTTTAATAAAGTTCTTGAAAATACTATACTTCTCTCGAAGGTTTTTATAAAGGGGACAATATAAAAGGAAGTGGAATTCATCTTCTGTAAAGTTTGCAGACTCTTTCAGTTGCTAAAACTGGATATTTGAATACAAGAAAAGCTTCAAACTATCGAATTATAACTGTTATGGAGTTATGGTCCTTAATTGGTCATAGAAAATTCAAAGGATTTGAAAGTTTAAGTTTTCTGCACTTTTCCAAAATTGGTATAGAAATTGTTAACATGCATTTAGTATAAAGACATGCATATTATTATAAGTTAAAGACCATGTTGAATAAGGCAACCTTCTGGTCTAAACTATGTCCACTGGACTTTACAATAATGTTGATATCAATTTAGTGGTTTTTAGTAAGTAACTTAACTTTTCAAAAATTTCAGAAATTTTATATCTATACATTAACTAAAATATTACTAGTATTCTGTACTACATATTGCTCTAGTATTCTGTACTACATAAAACTTTGCATCAAAGAACATCTTAAAAAAAGAAAGAAAGTAAAATAAACTGCAAGACAATTCAAAGTTTAATTTTCATAACAATTTTGATTTAGTTAAAAATGTCAACCTCATACCTTTTTTTGATGAATACTAATAATACCAAAATCTATCAAAATTGTATAGTTTTGAGCCATCTTAATGCATTTTTGATTGATTCTTTCAAGATACGCCAAACATTGTTGAAAAACAGTACTGTGATTGTAAAATTGTCCGTGTTTGATATGATATGCTACTCAAACTGTCCAATGCATATGTTATATTAACATTTTGTCTCTGAGAATTCAAATTTTTGCGTAACAAACTAAAGTAAAAAATTTGATAAGTGCTTACGAAATACTTTAGATATAAAACATGCAATTTCATTTTCATTGTAAACCACTACGACTTTCGCCGCAGGTTGCTATCGATTGATAAGAGCGAATTTTAATTATTTCCCCATAAACAGCACGGTCTTTTATTGCAATCACTTCCCGAACCAAATACAATATGTACCGAAAATCATGTACAGGCTTATAATTATCGGAAACTCGTATTTCATTTACAGCGATTTATCTTCATGACAATCGATCTCAATTTCAAATTACAAATAACGTACATTTGAAAAGGGATTTTACTGATTGGCTAGGTGCGGATCATTGCCGGGATTTTGAAATTAGGGGGAGGGGGCTCCCGGAAAGACAGCGGTAGGAGTGGGACTTAAATCAGCCTCTTTTGGCATAATTCTAAGTTTTTCTATGTCAAGCAATAGGAAAGGAAAAAAATATAATTTAAGTATGTAAAGTTGTTTTAGTTTCAGTGCATATCTCTAGGTGGATATTGTAGAGCTAGTTTTCTTGTTAGGAACTCGAGATCCTTGTTTACAAGGATTTTACTGAACTTAAGGCTTTTAAAAATTGGTAATGGGAAAAACTATTTCAAAAGTTCTACGATCACCATCATGACTGAATCGGCAAGAGTACCATATTGCACGCCGCCAAACTAAAATAACAAAACATATTACAGTTTATTCCGTTGAGTGCCATATGGAACTCCTTCCCGGGATTGGCCATTAAGCAATATTCATGTCTTAAGTTATGTTTGTCGTATTTATTTATACATCAGTTACTGCATACTTATTATCATCGGTTTAGTTTTACGAACCATGAAAACATGACTGTTGCCAATAGAGGAGCAAGAACTGCCTATATGAATAATGCATAAAAAGCACAATAGGAATTACCCAAAAATTGACTGGACAACAGACCTCATCAACCACCAACACCCACTCTACCGAATTGAAAACTTTATTCAGATTCAACATAGTATAAAACATATAAGCATGAACCCCGGTGAGCTTTTTACCGAATATGAAACTTTAAAAAAAAAAAAAAAAAAAAACACCACGCACAAACAAATCTTGCCATGTATTATCTTAATCAAACAGACGAACATGCAACATCAAACAACACATGGTCCAGGTTTCCTGACTTTTATTTTGATTAAACATGATTTAACCATTATTTGTAATTGACTCCGTATAATTTCGAGGACTTTGGATTAGTACTTTGGGGCTTTTGTCTTAGTGATGTTTGTGCTTCGCGCCGATCTGATAGGTCAAGTCCTTTCCAGCTGATTTTAACAGTTTGTACTGATGTTTTGCAGTGTTACACAACGTACTGTTCCATATCGTAAGGGGGTTGAGCTTTTGCAAACAATTCTTAACCCGCGGTCTCGGATGAATAGTTTTCATATTTGTCGATCCTATAGTAACACCGATGTCCACATCTTCAAATAGGCGTTTCAGGGTTGAATTCAGAGGGGTTGGGGCGCGATCGCCCGGGCTACCCATTATGGCCGAAAATGCATGTCTGTTTAAGTACTTTTTTCCGATATTTGCTGCTCCCCCTTTTTTAATTGTTCATCTACCACTGGGGTCCTTTTTTATCCGGTACACGACCCCAACGACAAAGATCAGTTGAACAAGGATATTTTACTGACACAGGTGTGAAAAAGACTAGATATTTGTTGTATGTACATGATGCATTACAATTTATACTGACATTAGCTTACAGGCAAAATACCAAGATAAATTTTTATGACATGTTGCCCTTTGCATCACCAATCATTTCATTAATTTACATATAATACATATATATACAATCTGACAACAATCCGTTGAGCAGTGAAAAAATCCATACCTTCTAGCAGTTATGTATTGTTATAAAAGATTATTCAAACATATATCCCGAGATCAAATGAAAGTAATGTATTTATTGATGTTTCAACCAGGGAGTTTGGATTTTCTTTTGAAATAGTATTACGGGATGCTGATATGATATAACAGTTCGTATGATAACTAGAGATAAACGATAGCATTAACCGAAAGAACAAATATCCAAACTTCAGCTCCCTCCAATGAAAGGACACCTCTCCTTAACTCTTGTATTAACTTTGTAATGCATTTGACATCCCCTAGCTGAGAGTCAACCGTTTCAAAAATTGAATAAGCATGATTAAAAGGAGCTTTGTGGTATACATTATTGATACAGCAACTCAACGACAAAAACCCCAAGATATCTTTTCCTGCCATAGGAGACCAAATTGCTTTGTATGAACACATGTATATATGTTAGAGCAATGGAATTGTTTACCGCGACTGTGAATTACCAGGATTTTTTCATAACTGTTTAACACCAACTTAACTTAGTTTCTAGCGAATCAATTAGAAAAGAAATCAGTTTCTTAAATTAAAGTAAACACAAATTTCTGAAAATCATTTTGGTTAATATTTTACAATCAGCATATGTTTTGGAAAATGAAATTGCACGTGACCTAATGTTTGCGACTTTGACTGAAAAAGGTGCAGATAAGCAATGTAAAGTTTTGCAATTAGTTCTATTTTAGAATGTTTTCATACTGAATAAATTTTGTGAAAATAGTTTGAGCTAGATATTCCATGTTGTTTAATTTGTTCTCTTCCTAAATGTACCTGGAAAATTTGTCACTTAACGTTAAGCATACAACTTACATGGGTTGTCTATATCTAGGTCATTTTGTTAAACACACAACTTACGTGGGTTGTCTATATCTAGGTCATTTTGTTAAACACACAACTTACGTGGGTTGTCTATATCTAGGTCATTTTGTTAAACACACAACTTACGTGGGTTGTCTATATCTAGGTCATTTTGTTAAACACACAACTTACGTGGGTTGTCTATATCTAAGTCATTTTGTTAAACACAATTTCATCGATGGAAAATGTGTCCCATGTTTTTAATGCATATTAGTATAATCATTGATTTTACCTTTAAGGTAACTTTTTATCTATTATGAAATTGAGAATTGAAATGGGGAATGTGTCAAAGAGACAACAACCCGACCAAAGAGCAGAAAACAGCCAAAGGTCACCAATGGGTCTTCAACACAGCGAGAAAATCCTGCACCCGGAGGCGGGCTTCTATCTATCTATCTTTCTATAAAAAAAAACCAGAATCCTTCTTGAAAAGCCATTGGAATAATGCCATTTCAAAAAATTATATTTCTATACAGATATCCTAGAAAGAGAAAAGACGAGCTTACAAAAAGTGAGCGGGTGAAGGTTACTGCAGGCTCTGATTGAAGAGCTACATTCATCCATTACATCTTCTCATACAATGTCATGTGCAAAGCAGCCTTTAACAAAAGTTGGGATACAAAAAAACAACATGACATAAAAGATTTAGTCAATTTTCTAACACTAATGGGTTTTGTGCATAAAGCTCTCCTGCAAACTATGAAAACATGGAATTCTGTAATTGTTAGCGTTATCATTTTGGAAGAAAGGTGTCTTAGGCAGCCAGTTTGTTCTGAAAAAGCAGTAGTTTCAATATAGCAACTTAGAAACGAAATAACTAGTTGCAAAGATTTCTTCCAATACATTGTCGATTGTGACCGACTTGAAATTCGAAATACATGCAAATACTACGTGTTGTAGATCAATCCAATTTCGTGTAAATGTAAATCATGTACATTAAGTACGAAAAAATGAATCGATATGAAACTTAGAAACATATTTAAATTTCATGTGCCTCTTGGAAAAGTAAAACGCATGAGTTTGATGCCTCAACGTTCGCCTATATATATATGTAATAATATTGTGTAAGCTTTTTCGATTATTGTAAGTTTTATGTGTAGGAGGATTTGTTGAAGATAGAAGAAATCTATATGAACATATATAACATAAATATTTTGTATACAAAGTATAAATGTACATCTGTTACACAAGCTATACATCATCTAAAACTGTGACACTATCTTAAGTGCATTATAACAAAAGGCTGTCAGAACAAATATATCATAACTACGCAATTGGTATACTGTAACAAAAAAAATTGTTTTTCTTCTTTTCTTTCTCTCCAATTTAGCCTGGTTTAAACCATGACTATGGAATATAATTATTATTAAGTAACATATTGTGTATTGTGCATGTCCATATGAAATCTAATGACTTCAATTGGCGTTAAGAAATATGTTCTTGTTTTTCGTGAACAATTGAAATCCATTTAATATAAATCCATGTCCAGATATTTCATTGTTTTGTGATAGCGGATGATATAGGCAAAACAAGTTTGTTTCTTTAGGGTGTGACCAGAGTTATTATCCGAGTGCTGAACAAGAAAGTTAGTTGCTTAAGGATGTGACCAGAGTTCTCCTCTGAGTTCTAGCCAAAACATTGTGTTGCTTAAGAATGTGACCAGAGCTCTCCTCTGAGTACAAGGCAAAACATTGTGTTGCTTAAGAATGTGACCAGAGCTCTCCTCTGAGTACAAGGCAAAACATTGTGTTGCTTGAGGATGTGACCAGATTTCTTCTCTGCGTACTAGACAAGAAGTTAGTTGCTTTATAATGTGACCAGAGGTATATATCCCTTGAGTACTAGACAAAAAAGTTTGTTGCTTAAGGATGTGACCAGAATTCTCTTCTGAGTACTGGACAAACTATAGTTTGTTGCTTCATGATGTGACCAGAGTTCTCCTATGGATACTAGACAAAATAGTTTGTTGCTGTATGGTGCCATAGTGATCAAAGTTCCCCTCTGGAGACTTGACAAACTATAGTGTGTTGCTTTTATGATGTGAATAGACTTTTCATTTTTTCAACAGTTAAACTGATTAACACCGTAACAATGTAATGGACAAGTTTGTCATTTTACATGTTAACTTTAAAGACACTGAACTTTAAAACAGTTACAAACTTCCTACAGACAGGACACAAGTGTCATCATTAAACAATTAACTTTTATTTACACTTATATCATCTTCATGTTATTTCCGATCACCGAAGACGATGTTGCTACCAACATGTAAGATTTAGCACATGTAAACTATTTTCCGTCCCAACGCCTGTCTGTGCGTCAGAGGAAAATCAAATAAGACCTCCCTATCAATATATTTGTTATGATTTGTTTCGAAAACAAAAGTTACCTGGAAGTCACTTGTATACATATCACCAGAAGTCCATTACTAGACTTCTGATATCACATAATTGTTTGAATACGAGTTATTTATAAAATTCCCTTTAAATCATTTATACGCATTCACACAGAAAAACATGGCAAATTAAGGCATTTGTATATGGAGAACAGACGCACACTTCGGCTGTAATAAAGCACTGTAGCATTGTTCTGTACACAATTGTGAACATTATTTATTTTCTTCAGTTTATGCGGCCTGCATATGAATGATGAATTCATTGGGTTTTTCATGTAACTGTTCGTTGTGGACACCAACATAGTCCTGCAGTCCCAAACAAGTCCCCCCCCCTCGGTTCTAGCTATACAGAGGTCATTTTGACACCCTGAATAAATTAATTGTTAATTACTATGTTTACCATAAAAGAAAACATCTCATTTAAAATGTGAACTTTGTTAAAAAGTCTTTCTGTTTGGAACTAATATTATAAAGTAACTTCTATGCCGTGACAATTTGAGATACGTAAATGTTGTCTTTCTGTTTGGAACTAATATTATAAAGTAACTTCTATGCCGTGACAATTTGAGATACGTAAATGTTGTCTTTCTGTTTTCATGTTATTTTCGGACACATTTATAAAGCTGATTCAACAAAATGTGTAAGTCGTTTGTGGGATGGGTGTACATTGTGCATGTACACGAGACGAAATTGCAAAGACATACTGGGAAATAACAAAACATTTTACTATCTGAGAAGCAAATGCACGGATTTTGTTTATGGTTAACACAAAACTTCATAAAAATTAAGGTTTTAGAATGTAATTAGATAATAACAACGTGTTTACAAAATAATACTTTGATATTGCTTAAAAAGAAAGAGAATAAAAGGAGATAACTGTTGAAGCAACATAAAAGACATTTAAAGGTCAGCATACAGTCTTCCAAAAAAGTTTTGGAAACAATATTTTAGAAACAATATATTAACGTTTTACCCTACGCCAAAATTCAGAAAATTTCTTTAAACGAGAAAAATTGGGTATTTGGATGATTTAGTAACACTTTTATTTCTAGGTGTATTTATGCAGTATTTTGCCATATGAACATTTCTTTATTTTATCACACTTCTCTTTTTTTATTTAAAAGAAGAATCATCTCCCTCGTGCATATTGCAAAATACTCAGTCATAAATACACCTAGAATATTTGGCTTTATCAGAAAAAATAAAACCTTATTAGTAAACTTTCACGACGAAAAACACTGTAAAAGATAATGCTTGTCTTAAAAAAATCGTTCCATATATTCTATCCTTTGTAAGGCTAAATGAATTATTTCATGTAACATAAGCATTGTGACATAGGTAATTTACGGGAAAGTTCACGAATTCTAAAGTCGTCTACAGTTAACCTTGCGAGATCATTTGTTGACGCATAATTGCATAATTCATTTAACATGGTGCCCCTATTTTAAAGTACATTTTTTAAATAGAAATTATATATCTCTAGTCTTCTGCTTCAATCTTCAGATGAGCAGTTGATTGTGACATAACCACTTTAATACAGCAGTGGCGGATCCAAGGAGAGGGCGGGGGGATCCGCCTCTGTAGAGGTTGATTTTGGTTATTTTTTTACAATGAATTGTAATTTAATTTTCTTTGAACTTTGATATTTACCTCACGGATTTTCTTTATTTCGATTTCCAAACTGATTCGGCAGCAGGAACTGTTGTTCATGGCACTACCGGAGCACTTTAAAATACCCCACCCCCTGTTGCTGTTCATGTTGCTCAATCGTTAGTGTTCTGTAGGTGTTTTGTTTGTCTTTTTGGCTACTTCTATTGGTCATTGTGTTAGCCGTCTTTGTTCGTGTCGTGGAGATTATTACGTTAGGAGACAAAAACTTTCAAAAAGATTGCCGCTTATACTGAATACGAATAAAAGTATATAGTATGGGGTATGTCCCAATGACACAAGTATATAACCTAAATATTACATCTAGAAGTACACTTTTCATTTTTTTAGGTGAAGCTATATATCAGATTGCCGAAGCTCAAAAAGAAATCCAGTCAAGAATCGAGGAGAATGTGAGTATTATCAAAATACTGTCAATCAAACAGTTAGAAGGGCGATGTTCTATCTTAAAAAAAAATGTTTCCTTATCTTTTGCAGATAAGTTTAACAGTTATCTGTGTTAGGCTGTTGTCCTATTCACATATCCCCCAAATCTCCTAGTATTCACATGATGGCCAGCAAATATGAAATTTTCTGGGCTTTATTGATTTTTTAAGCACATTTTGCATTGAAAGCTCTGAAGGACTTTTTTGCACTTCACATGTACCAGTTAGTTGCAAATTTTCAAAAGTGCAGATTTATTGAAATAGTGAAAAGACCATGAATATTGAAAAGAATGATTGTTAAATCAAACATTTATAATATGATGCATTTAAATATAGTGTATTATGTTAGCCCACCCCTATATTGACATAGATATTTCAGGTAAATTTTAATTATAGGTGTAATCTTTACAATTTTTTGTCAATGCCTTAAGTCTGTGATTGAAATTTTATATTTGTGAAGTACTAAGAAATAAGTAGGAAGATATTAAATACTTTATGATTATAATGTCACCATGGAGACAATTCTTATAAAATGAATAAAACAATCTATGTACTAAAATATTCTTTTTAAATTCTCAACTGTTTTTCAATTGAATATAAGAATAACACATTATTGAACTTAAAAACTCAAATTTAGTATAATGAATTGCCAGTGTTTATAAAATATGTAAATATGTGATCTTGGTCAAATTGATTAGTCCTGGATCTGATCAGCTATGAGAAATGTCTGGATCCACCATGGTACTTCCTAGGCTGTCCTAAATTTCAAAAAAAACCTTTCTCTTTTTTACAAAATTTGTTTCTTTATTTAACTGTTTTAAGAGGAACAGAAACATTTTTCATCACTAAACTTTAGATCCTTTAAAGAATTAAAACATGTAGAAAACATATATATCTTTATTACATATTATGTTTATTTAGAGATTTCACCTTTAACAAGAGAAAATCTCGGGATTTTATAATGATCCTATTAAATTAATTTTATTTGCTGTTTCCTTACAGAGCAAAGCATTGTTCTCAGAACTTATCCTTCCCTTGGAGCAGAGATTAGAAAATGACTTTAAAAGATCTTCGGTAAGATTTTATTGTAATTTGGGTTGTAATCACTTTTGATTACCTGTATGAACCACTCCCATATTTTGATCTTTCTGCATATGACAAACCTTTCTAACTCTTTTTGTAGTAAGATATTTCATTTCTTGTAGATGGATTGGTATAGAATACAATAAAAAGACATAACAATCAAAATATTGGAAAAAGTATAGTTAGATGTCTATCCAAAGGAGGAAATAAAGTGTTCAATGAACTGTAGTGCACTTTGGTACTTTGGTACATAAACAACCTCCGTTGATTGATTGCATCAAGGAAGTTCTATTCAATATAAAACTTCCTTGGTTCAATGTATTAAAGGTGTATTACAAGAGAAAACTGATAGATATGTCTAATTACTGATGAGACAACTGTTCAGATGAAGGACAGCAATAAAAGCATTGTTTCTTAGATAAGAGGTTATAGAATAGTATTTATTGCAATTGTTATCCTCTAATACTATACTTATTTATATTATTATATGTAAAAACTAAGAGAATGAAGTTATTAATGGCAATAGTAATAGGTATCTCAATCTATGGGTTAAAGCAAGTTGATATCAATTGGAAAAGAAATGGTAGACGTATATATATTATCAAATTGATGTATTGTTGTGATTGTACGAGATGATATTGTAGTGAACCCTCTTTATGAATACTTATATAGACCATTAGGGTAAGCCAGATTTAGCCCACTATATAAATGTAATAAACATTACCGGTACAAATATAAGTATTAAAATATTTATAATTACTTAAAGTACTACCTGTACCTAAGTTCATAGTTCATGGTTTAAAAGAAGGAATATAGGATTCTTTTTACAGATGGAAAATTTAACTATTTATCTTCAAGAAAGTATAAAAGGAGTAAATTTTCATGAGAAACTGTAAAGTTAAATAAAGTTACAACCTATTGACCAGGATGGATTTGAAATGAATGGTTAGGGAAGGGGGGACATAACATTGAAATAAATTTCATGTGTTTGTTGTCCAGTGCAAGGAACAACATTGTAGTAATATATGCGGTTATAGAAAAAGTCTGATTTTTACAAATTTTATCAACCCCCTAACAATAAGCACTGCCTCTGATAAACATAAACTAATTTATCCTGAATGACCTGGTGCAGACTGCTGCTAGATCCTGAATGACCTGGTGCAGACAGATGCTAGATCCTGAATGACCTGGTGCAGACGGCTGCTAGATCCTGAATGACCTGGTGCAGACAGCTGCTAGATCCTGAATGACCTGGTGCAGACGTCTGCTAGATCCTGAAAGACCTGGTGCAGACGGCTGCTAGATCCCGAATGACCTGGTGCAGACGTCTGCTAGATCCTGAATGACCTGGTGCAGACGTCTGCTAGATCCTGAATGACCTGGTGTAAACGGCTGCTAGATCCTGAATGACCTGAGGCAGACGGCTGCTAGATCCTGAATGACCTGGCACAGACGGCTGCTAGCTGCTAAGAATGTCAACCATAGTTTCTGTCATGAATGAATTGTAAAAAAAATTATATGATCCTAATTAAAAAAAATCTTACTTAAAAAATACTTTAAAAAAAGAAAAAGAAATAGAAAATTACATGGGATCAAACTGTTGTTATTGATCTCTGACAGTTTTAATGTCTGTTACACTAAATGATACATCAAAATTTACACCTTTAAATACAGGGTTCTCTTCAATAATTGAAGACCAGTATAACATCTGATTATCTATCAAACTGTACACAACAAATGTGTCTTTATCTTGATGATGATAAATCTATAGATAGTCAATAGGTTTGAAGAGGGAAGTTAAGTGTTGTTGACTTTCCACATTCCAAGATAAAACCTCAAACATCATAGTCTTGTCTCATTGTGGTGATGAAGACCTAATTTCTACCTTGAATGTTTGGTCAACTCACTTTTCTCATTTTGACAATTTACATTACAAAAACCATGCAGACTGAGAATGTCAATTGTTTGTTAATGAGAAAGTTTTAACATCCTGTCTGGTAACTTGGGTAAAATCGTATTAAATCTTTGTTTACTCAGGGAAATTATCATTAAATCATTGTTTATTTTATCCTAATTATCTTTTTTTCTTTTAAACATTTAACTTGATTATTTGTATCATCAAAGATTTGAAAAATGTTACTCAATACTGGTGCTGTAAGATGGATAAAATTTGAGTTTAAATCATTGGTTGACCTGATTTACTAACTAATAAATTAATAAGTTCCTCGAGGTATAGCTTAGATTTTTTTATACCCACGCTTTAAAAAAGTGGGGGTATACTGTTTTACCTCTGTCCATCCGTCAGTCCATTCATCCATCAGTCCGTCAGTCCATCCTTCAGTCCGTCCATCCGTCCCATGAATATTTTTCGTCACATTATTCTCAGGAACTACAATACAAGGATTTCTGAAATTTTGTTTTCAGGGTTTATATAAGTCTGCTATACTGTGTGATGCTTTTTCAGATTTATCACTCAACAACTTCCTGTTTACCCTATACTTTTAGCGGGCGGGGTATCATTAGTGAGCAGTAGCTCACAGATTCACTTGTTATTCAAAATTTGAAAAACATGATCTTAATTTTGCATGGTTCCATATTAAAACAAACACAACTTTTGGTTGGCCTTAAACTGATATATTTTCTGATATTTTATTTTTTTGAGAAATAATGTTTGAAAAGAGTTGAATTACTTTTACAGGGAAAACTTTGGTTGAACAGACTACAAAAAATAGTTTGTGATGAAAAGATGCATATGATTAGTATCTATAACAACAAAGATTTCTGAACAATTTCCTATGTAAAAACTCTAGTGATTAACATTTAAAAATTTGTATGTACTCAGAGTTAGACTATAATTCTAGAATTACATTCATAAACTAATTTGACACAGATAAAATCTGCACTTCTTGATAGGTAATGGAAATTTAAAGCAATAGAATTGTATTTTAAAAGGCAATTTCATTTTAACAGCTTCATTTAGAAATAATACAAAACCGTTTTAGCTTGATCAGATTGTTGATTTACATTGAGTTCCATGTCATTTTGAAAGTATGAAGTGATTTAAAATTTCCAAAATATCTTTTGTAGTAATATTATAATTCAATATGTTTACTTCAATATGTTTACTTCAATATGTTTACTTCAATATGTTTACATCAGAACTATTGGAACCAGATAAAACTAAAAAGTTAACATATTTATTTTTTAATTTGTCATTTTACAGATTTTTCAGTGAATAAGAAATATTGTTTTGTTGTGACTTTGGGTTGCTGTCTCATAGACCTATACTCTACAACTCCTTTCATTCATATTTCAAACCAACATTACAATTAAATAGTTCATTGAAGTACATAGATTTAAAATTTACTTCTGTACACTTGAGAAACTTTGAAATGCACTTAATATAAGACCAATTTGACCCAAAATTTACTCTCTCCATTGATGGCTATAAAATACAAATATAAAATTGAGAATGGAAATGGGGAATGTGTCAAAGAGACAACAACCCGACCATAGAACAGACAACAGCAGAAGGTCACCAACAGGTCTTCAATGCAGCGAGAAATTCCCGCACCCGGAGGCGTCCTTCAGCTGGCCCCTAAACAAATATATATACCTCTTTTCATTAAATTCCTGAAGGAAGAATCATACTACCTCCATAAATCCTCATATCTGTGGTAAAGTTCTGAAAATAAAATAATATGATATCTGTATTCCTATTGTAGAGAAGTATTTTAATGCAGAGTTCTCGAAATCTTTTTTTGCCTGGTGGTCCTTGAAGAAAATATGCAGGTCCCCACTATCATTTCTATTGCAAATTACCAAAATTGTGTTGGTCCTTCCCAAAAATGTGGTGGTCAAATCCGTAGGACCACCACTTATCGAGAACTCTGTTAATGTTGAAAAAATTACATTTTTCAAACCAATTAAGGGGACATAACCACAGGGATTTACATACCATATATGATTGTTTAAGTTTAACTAAACATTGATTCATTACTGTCCAGCTTCTGTCTTTGCCAGAACAACTTGTGGGTTAAATCAAGGATTTGTATAGTGAGATTATTACTATACAAATCCTTGGTTAAATATTACATGGACAATTTTTATTTGATTTTTATCTTTTGTATTTCAGCTATATTTGATTTTTCATTAGGTACTTATTTTATAAGACCTCCCAACATTACTGTTCAGATGATGAATAAGAATATTTTATATGATCAATGTCAGTTACCTATGTGTTATTTTTTGCCTTCTCTTTTTTGATATGTAAAGAAGCAGGACACTAAGTACATAATAAATTGGAGGACCCACATAAGCTTTATGCATCATCAGTTATATATTTAACAGCCATTTTATATTGTTTATGATATGTGATTTTCATACTGAAGGTCTGTGGTACTCCAGCTTCATCTATCAACAAAAACTGGCCGCCACAGAATAGCCTATATTGCTGAAAGTGGCGTTGAACACCAAAAATCATCAATCAATCAATATACAATAGATAAATGTACCAAAATTGGTGTCTCTGTAATAATAAGGAAGTCATATAGACAGTTTTATGTATATATTTATATATATTTAAAGCTTTTGGTTAAATCAAGATTTTATAGGTCCACAGAGTCAGAAGTATGTTGTCATTGTCAAGGTCAGACTAAGTGTCATCCTAAATTACATAGTAAATTTACAGAATAATCAATCCAATATTAGGTTGTTAGGTTCAGTCATGATGGATTATACCAGTATCTTATTGTCTTTCATGGTAAAATACAATGTATAGAAGTCACCAATTAATCTCTAATTTGATATGAAGCTCCATGGTTTTTCGATACATGAAAGTCAAACAATGTTTTTTGGGGTGAAGGAAAAAAAGGGGGGGGGGGGGGGGATTGTGGTGGCACCTGAAATTTTTTCTTCTAAAATCATTGGGTTAAATATGAAAAAGAAACAATCAAATATTAGATAAATTTTAAATAGCTGGACTTCTCTAACTTGTATTCTGTTTTGAAAAATACTATTGTTTACCTGGTTTAGATATATTTGTAGATAATTCAGTGGTAAAACTGTAATTCTAATCAGTTTTTTGTATAAGATTAATTTACAGAATTTAAAAAAAATATGTATTCATCAATAATGTTGATCAATAGTTCCCAAATAAATTTCTATTTACCTTGTCACGTTTTGTGCATAAACAATGCATAAATTTACAAAGCTTACTGACTATGCCTTTAATACTTAAAAGGAGGAAGCTATGTACTTTACAATAATTATAAAAGCAAACATTATATAATACATTTGTACTAGTATTTGACTTGAGTTTGAATTGATAGACAGGATTCAGTCAGAATATCTTAAACAATTATACTGAAGTTCAATTTTTAATTAAAAATTTAAATTTTAGAGGGAATGTGGTTTATACCCCATAAACATAAGGGATTGTATTTTTGAAGTGATATATATATATATATGTTTTATTATCTCCCTTATTTGATGATATATCAACAGGCACAACACAGAAGATATACTCAAGGCCACAAAGCTGTCATTAGTCCATATGTCAAAGCCAGTGATAATCTGAAAAAGTTCAGGAAGAAAACAAAGAATAAAGTGGTATATGATGATCAGAAAGAAGCTCATGTAAGCCTGATATTAAGTTCAAGATTAGAAACTTGATGAAAAAAAAAAATCAATAACAGAAATATAAAAATAAGATGTGGTATGATTGCCAATGAGACAACTCTCCAACAGAGACCAAATATGAATGAAAACAGATAAGGGATAACATCAATGAGATAGCAACCAATCAATATATGACAGACACAAATAATATCAAACTATCTAGGGAATGAAATGGTAAAGAAAATACCAATATCTCAAATTAGGCGGGACTCCAGTAAGGACAGTACCTCTCTTAAGTCACAAGGTCAACTTTTAAAAATTACCTGAGGTCATCTGGGATCAGCTTTAAGCAAATTGATGGCAACAGCAATCCACATAACAAATTTTAAAACATTTTCAAAGTTCACAGGTCTTTCAGATGTCTGGTGACAAGGTCGCCGGCTAAACCCCCAAGATCCCAGGTCAAATTTGACTATTTTGAAACCAAAATATGAAGTTCAGGATTAAAAAAGGAGATAAGAACTGAAACTCATATCTGATTTGATAGAAAAGATGAGGTGAACCAAAGTTCATAGTACCTTGATCAGTGACATTTCTTTTATCAGATGATTAAGATTTTCATTTACTGTCAAATCTCATATAAACAAAGGATTTCAAAAATGAAAGATAAAACAAAAAATCTTGAAAAATTATAAATCTGATTTTGATATTTATTTGGTAGAACATCAGATGGTTCAGATATAAACAGGAATGGTGAAACAACAATTCACCAAAGACCAAATGACATAGAAGTTAGAAACTATAGGTCACCATACAACCTTCAACAATGAGCAAAACCTCTGCCGCATAGAAATTAATCTATAAAAGGCCCATAAATTACAAAAATTAATGTTAAAAATTCATATGAAAAAACTTATTGATTTATGTACAAAGCAAACATCAATTACAAACCACAACCAAAACTAAAAACATGTGATATAAATGTTTTTATGTTCTTTTTTCGTATTTTTTTCAGTACATAAATGCATTAGAAAGATGTCATGAAAAATTGTATGAATACAGAGTACAAGGTTTAAAACTGGTAATTTTACAATATTTTGAAAGCTATATTCCTTTATTCCTGTCATTATTCATGTCGAACAAATAATAGTACAATTTCATTGTCATTAAAAATTAATAAAAAATCTCAAAATTAAAAATTAACAAAATAAATTTGTTAGAATAAAATTTGCCAAAATTTATATTTATAATTAGTTATAAGTTTAAAGTTCAGAAATGAACTAAGGTGATATTTTTAATGTTGACTCCCACTATCTTAATATCTTTTATCTGTTTATTGTACTGTTTTGACTTTTACATATGTTACCAAAACATTTCTACATACATACTAGTTGTCAGATATGACCATATTTGGTGTGAAAGCTGTTTGTTTTGTTTTTATCGGTAACAAATCAATTAAAGATAACTTATATAAATATAAATATTGACCAAATAGGATGTTTGACTACTGATACATAGATAATCATCCTGAATGTCATCAAGGTTCAGAAAAATTATATATTTGCAGGAAGATCATTTTAAAACTACTGTAGTTTATATTAATAAAGTTATGAAAAAATTATGAAAAGCCAAGTAGCCGTGGAATGTAAATTTTTGTCAGATAAAATTAATATTATACCATAAATCATACAAGTTGTAACCAATTTCTTTGCAACAGGTCAATTAAATTTGAATTTTATCCAGAGCTACCTAATGATTTAAAGGTATTTTGAAATCAACTAAAGGGCACCATGTCTGTGTGTATGTGCAATGGATTATTGTGTTATTTTAAAAATTGTCATTTCAGCTGATAACTCATAAGTACATGTATATATGTAGTAATTTCTAATGTTGAGAAAACTAACTGAATCATTTTCAACAAGTTTGGGTTCATTATTCAGTACACACAATTAATACCACAAATCTTAATCTACAGAAGATCAGGGCCATCCCCCTTTTTATATCACTCAAATTGTCTAATGTTTCCCCTGTTTATCTCTTTTAAAGTAATTTAGATATTTAATGAAGAACTGTGATATTTTTTTCTACTTTCTGTACAGTCCAACACTAATTGCTGAATGAAATTAGAAACTGAATATAAGGAGACCAAATTTTTATTTAGAATTATTATTTGCGTTAATTTTATTTGAGTAATAATACATTAGACTTGAGTGGTGTTTGAAGTAATACATTCAATAAAATGCATCAATAATCAAATAAAAAATCATGATTCATATTAGGAATTTGAATTTTTCTCATGATTCTTAAACATTCCAATCAAATTTTCATGGAAGAACAAATAAAGTTTAAATACTTTCATTTAAAACATAACATAACAGCACTTTTTTTAGCCAAATGAAATTGATAAATAAAAACCAATTTAATAGCCTAGCATCAATTGGTACATTGTGCATTCACAGATTAAAAGAAGTTTATTTAAATTTTATTTAAATGAATTATTCAGTATCGTAATAGTCAGTTTTTGTTTTGTTTTGTAGGCTTTATTAGAGGACAGGAAATGTCACTGTTTCTTATTAGACCGACTTAGTGCAGTAGCTTATTTATATGGCAGCCATCATAAACAGGTATTGTTGTGCATGTTGATCCATCTGACATTATATATATATTTTAAGGCCTTGACCTTATTTTCATGGTCTAGTTGTCAGGTTAGGTATTCAAAATAGATCTATTTCTCTGGAACTTACAATATATCCATGAAAGGTCAACAATGTGTCATATGTGCATTTAATTCAAGAAATTTCTATATTAAAAGGGAGATAACTTCTACTTTTTAATTTTTTTAATTTAATAAAATTTCTGTAATTTCTCATTTTGTAACTTTTTATCATTAATTATTACATGAACTATAATCTTGAACTTACGGTCTTCTGACATCTTACTTTGGGTTTGCCTCCATAAACACAATTATCATTATAATCTTGACCTTTCAGTCAGCAGACACCTTACTGTCAGGTTTGCCTCAATGGAAACAATTGTCATCTCGACCACAGATATTACCTCCTGAGGCAGAAAGATTTCTTTATCAAACAAAGGTATGTTTTGTTACAAACCATTATCTTCAGTGCTTACAGGATTTGTGATAGAACTTAAAAGTGTTTTAAAATCCACATAAAATCTCAAGGGTCCTTAAAATAATGTTTCGCACTATCTTATCTTGTGTAACTCTTTTTTATCTAGATATGTTTTATTGGTACAAGAAATATAATTTGAAGAACTATAAAGTACATGAACATGAATTTGAGATAAGGGCAATTAGTATGTTTTTTTCATATAGCCTTTCCTCTAGAAATGAATACATTAAGGTGGTACATTACACTACAGGGAGATAACTCTGTAAAAATCAGCTGAATGTTTTAATCACATTCTATTGTTAAGGAAATATTAAGATTCTCAATGATCAAAATTAGTGTTTGTCAAACTGCTATATACCCAATCGATAAAGCGTGTGGTTCAAGTTTTTTGAAATTTTTATACTTTTGTCAAAGGGTCAAAGTAAATATTGTGTCAACATTTTATGAAATTAAATGAGCCAAATTAATTTCAGTCAAGGTGTTTGGTACCACCTTAATTAAAAAAAATATGATCACATTTTGCATTTTATTTTCTTTATTTTGCAATCTCTGTTGATTACATATAAAAACATAACAATGCTTTTTTGAATTTCTTTTTACATGTAAAAATAGTAAAAAGATACTAAATAGGGTAATAAAAAAACATAGATCTGAGAACAACAAACAATATCGAGGCAAAAAGAAAAGTTTAAAAAAAAACTAATGTCCACAAAACAATACACAGATAACTAAAAGAAACAATACACAGATAACTAAAGAAAAACAATACACAGATAACTAAAGAAAACAATACACAGATAACTAAAGATTGAGCTCTATAAACTCCACTAAAAACAGATTATATATATTTCTATAGCTTACTATGCGTTATGGGTTTTGATCATTGTTGAAGGTGGTACGGTGACCTATAGTTGTTAACTTCTACATCATTTGGTCTCTGGTGGAGAGTTTTCTCATTGGCAATCATACCACATCTTCTTATTTTTATATTTAGTGAAAAAGTCCTTCACAGAGTCAGCAGTGTTTTGCTTATTGTTGAAGGGCTATGGGTAACCTGTAGTTTTATCTCAGTCACTTTGGTCTCAGATGGATACTTGTCTTATTGGCAATCATACTACAGCTTCTTAATTTTAATGTAGGAAGAAATAGGGAATGGAGGAGTATACTGGGGAAATGGACATCTATCTGATGAGACCAGATCTCTTGGTAGTCCATACAGACGGTCCAATAGTGCTCATGATATGCAGCGGAGACCTGTGTCAGAATATGCTAGTCCAGACGCCTTTTATGCTGGAAACTTTGGTGGTAATATTTTATTAATACATAATAATTTAAAGCCTGTAAAGTAGAGTTGGACATGTTCCTCTAGAAATAAAAACAGCATCAATTAACTGCTCTGTGTAATGGAGAGAATTGCCTCTTCTGAAAACTTCTTCTCTGCCACTAGATGAAGCATGACTCAGAATACATAATATGTCTGTCAGTGGAAACAAAAAAAAAAAAATTGGAAGCCATATCTATAAATTTTATGAATAATATAGACATTTGTGTTATGTTCCTCAAACCACAAACACTAAATAGAAATTACAAAATTGAGGATTAACTCATTTGCTACATGCCTTTGTAAATTAATATGCTGTTTGGTCAATAGTTGAATATATTTTTACATTTGAATTTCTTGGAAAATTTCTTGTTTAATCATCTTATTCCAGCTAAAACAATGCCACATTCTCGTGGGATAAGTGTACCACCAGCAGCTCCACCTGGTACCATGCAGGTTAGGGCAATTTACAGTCATGTTGGAGAGGGAGATAAAAAATTAAGTTTTACAGAAGGTGATCTGATAAATGTAATTGGTGAACAGGCAGACGGTTGGCAATATGGTGTTAATACTCGTAGTGGACAGTAAGTATAAGGAAGATAATTATAATGGTTTGCAACTTGATTTAAATTAATGGCAATATATGTTGTACCCTAACATGGACAGGATAATTAAGATGCTTGGCTCTATAATGTAAATATTTATTCTGTATAGTAACTGCAATGGGATATAATTCAGATTATTTTCACATGGTGTAGAAAAGATAGGGAAACAACTTAAATTGTTTGGAATATGATTGCAACCACTCATCATATGCATACCTGTTGCAGCAATTTTGAAATAACCAGTAACTAGAATTAATAAATATATCCTGGTTATTGTAAATGTTCTTTGTCTGGTGTATCTGTTTTCCACATATGAATAAGAATGTTTATACATTGTTGTTTATTTGTTTACAGATATGGTTGGTTTCCAATGTCCTTTACAGAACCTACTGTGTCACCTCCAAGAGAACCACCTCCTCAGTAAGTACAACTTCTCCTAGCGATTTACCATCTCCTCATTTTATTTTTAATTTCCAACACCCAAGTAAGTATATGTCTCCTCCTAGACAACCAACCCCTTGGTAAATATTTTTACATCACCTCAAAAGGTAACTTTTATGTCTTCTTCCAAAGAGTTGCCTGGATTTGAAGAGAGTGTTTAATAGAAAAGAAAGGATTTTTTATGATTATTTTGAGTTTCCCTGTTGATTGTTTTGTGATAATGAACAGCATCTTCCTTCTCTTTTTGTGAAAAAGTGTGATTTTACTACTATTAAAAATATGGACATGATGGATTCATGAAATTTTGAAAGAATCATCTCTGATTGTTTGTTTTCTTGAGGTACAGTATACAACATACTGCAATACAGTAATTAAATGTCTCTTTTGGTCATATAGCACTTCACATGTTTCGGTACTTTTAAAAACAAACTTGGCTTTCAATTTTTTTAGGTCTGATGAAGGTAAATCCAGAAACTCACGTCAGATACATAAAAAATATAAAGTGTTATTTTCGTCATCATTTACTTTCTGTTCATGCTGTGTTTGGAATATGCTGTTTTGTCTGTCTAATTGTTCAAATAAGTGGTCATCGGCTGAGCAACTCTGAAGAAGAAATTTTTTGTACATTATTATACCCCCGCTTTAAAAAAGTGGGGGTATACTGTTTTATCTCTGTCTGTATGTCCATTCGTCCATCTGTCCGTCTGTCCGTCCCATGAATATTTTTCAACGCATTTTTCTCAGGAACTACATAATAAGGATTTCTGAAATTTGGTTTCAGGGTTTATATAAGTCAGCTATACCGTGTGATGCGTTTTCATATTCATCACTCAACAACTTCCTGTTTACCAAATTTGGACAGGGTATCATCAGTGAGCCGTAGCTTGTAGTTTCAATTGTTACATATTCATATTACTGATGGATTTAATAAAGGCACTGAATGCATAAGTTAATGATTTCTCATTCATCATATTTATATTGAATTATTAACTTTATTAGGCTAAATGGGAGAGTGAAGAGTATGGGTGATCTGTTAGATAGCAGGTCTTTATCAGACCATGGCGATTTCTTAATGGATGACGTTCCAGGGAGAACCTCACGACCAAAATCTATGTACGAGGGCTCAAATCTCAGACTTGTAAATGCTACTAATCAGGTATGTATCGTCTGTGTGTTTTACTTGCATGGGAATTTGGGTCCAGTTTTGAAATTTTTTAGGAATATATCAGGTTTTATTTATTATTTTGAATATTTTGTTGCATAATTGAAATTATTTAATTACCCTGGTTCTTTACTTAAATGAGAAATAACATTGTACATAACTTAAAACTTTAATCAAGCTGTAAAAATCTAAAGACAAAGTTTTAATTTATTTATTAAATTTATGGTTAAAATAAAGTTTGTTTATTCAGATTGATTATTAAAATACTTTCAAATATCTTTTGAAATAGAAAATAACTATCTAAGTTCTTATTTATCATTGTCTCAAAATGCTATATATACATTATACTACATACACAATGCATTTCATTAGAATCTGTCGACTTTATTTGCTTTTTCCATTCTTTTAGCTAGAGAAGACTTTCTCAAAACAGAAATTGTACTGAATAATTTTAAATTCACTGATAATTTTTCTTTGACTCTCAATAAATAGACATCATCATTAATTTATAATTCTCATTGCTAGTTAGTATTTAATTATGATGTCTGATGCATGGATATCAGTCTGACAAAGAGTCAACTGTATTTAAATTTCTTGGTTGATTTGTTCATGGTACACTATAAAAAAAAGCCTTTCATGTATGAACCTTACATCAGATAATTTTGTGATAAGAAAGTCTTCAGTATTACCTTTATTTGTAATTTTCAGCCCTATAGTGACTGGGTTGATTATCCACCTGTACAGGCAGGCTATTACTCCCTACCGCGGCATCCGGCCGATGCAAGACAGTATCATACCCATTATTCTCAGCAACCACCTCTTTCTCAGGTAGTCCTGAGCATGCTCAGTATATGTTTGTTATATGGCTATTGTATCAAGCATGTCCAAATATCTGGTGTAATCGTTTGTGTCTAATGTAATATCTTTGCTTGAGATATATTTAGAAATGTTCAAAAAGCATGATTCGGTTTTGATTGGGAACCTAATATGTATATTATGATCAGTTGTGTTTTGTTGTAAAAATTAAAGTTTGTTTTAATCATGATATTTCAGTCAGAATTAAAGGTATGATCTTGTTGTTAGTAGACCCAGTCAAAAAATTGAGTTCTTTTTTGGTATTGTAATACTAATTTGTTGTATATTAATGTATTGAATAAAAGAATTTGAATTCAATATGCTTTTTATGCAAAATATAAATTTGTTACATTTATAAACTTATTCCAGAAATTAAAAAAAATTCAAAATGAAAACAAAATAAACTTAATTAAACCAAAAAATTCAATTCTTTTACAAATATTTCAGTCTGTAATTCAATTTATTTTATGTTAATTTTTTTAACATTAAACTAGGAAAATAATTACATGTCAAAATTAACAGCAGGTATTGATCTAGCATGTTTAGGATAGTCTGTTCTTTCTTTGTAGTTACAGCAAGGAGGCCATAACATGGGACACTCTGCACCCTCACCACCACTTCCTCCTCCTCCTCCTCCAATCACTACTTCTAACCCAGCTACATCTCTTGCCTCTCTGTTTTCTGCCAATCGCCTTCCTTCTCCTGCCCTAAGCAGGAAACCAAGCTTCCATGCACCATCTTCTGGCACTGCTATTCCCCCAGCACCACCTATACCCCCTGCTCCTCCGGCCCCACCTTTACCTGGGGCTCAGTCTAAATCTTCTGTCATTTCTCAGAATGGAGCAGCTTACAGCAATCGGCAACAGATGAGCCAGCCTCCCCCGGCTCCACCACCACCTCCGCCTGGACCTGGACCAAAGATGGCACCAACAAGTACTCCAGTAGCAGACTACAACAACACAGAAGAAGATAGTGCAAAGTATTACAATTTGCACAGATGAAAAAATTTGTGAAAAATGACCAGTGTTAGATTATTTCTTTATATTCTGTTATACTTTAAAGTGAAGACAAACTTCATCACACTTATTCTTAAATTTGATCAAAAAATCATTCCATTTTATAAACCTAGCATATTGAAAAGATTTTTTCGGGGAGATTACTTTTTGTGAGGGTTACATTTTTTTACTAAACCAAATTGTCACACATATGTAGTCTATGGAATTTAGGGAGCATCCTCTGGTTATGATAATGTTTTATATCTTATTAAAGTAGATTAAACAGGCAAAGTCAAATTTTTTTTTGCATGTTTCTTTTAAACTCCCATCCAAAAACTCACATGGTAGATCAGAAAGAGTCAATCTCTTAGCTATGTCAATGTGAACTTTTTCACCACTAAGTCATCAGGCAACAATTTTAAGTTCTACATTGTCATGTTTTCAATAACATTGTTTCAAGTGATAAAAGAATGCTATCATCAATAAAGTTTGCTAAGAGAAAAGAAAAGAAAAAAGGCATCAAAATGTGAATGTTATTTAGCCGACTGTTAATTAAGAACCACAAAAAAATATAACTAGTCTTCTACAATACATTTATACATAAATAACATAACATATTCATTTAAATGTATACATATTTAGAAATGGGATGCATGATTAGCAGCATGATGTCATAATAAGTTCACTTGTAGACTAATAAGGGCCAAAAACTATTTGTTGGTTTAAAGATTTTTTTTCTTCTAAAATTAGGGAATAGTTAACCAGATTTTTTTGTTTTTCTGAATTTTCAAATAATTGATGAATAGCCCAGAGTATGCAGAGTGCAAATATGTTTAAATTTTCTTATTCATTTTATTGATTTATTTAAAAGAACCAATTTTTATGGTTATAGTAATATGTTGAGTTTAAATTTTCTCTATCCATCTGTTGAATTTCGAAACATTTCATTCATGAACTCCCTAGTCCAAACTCTGAAGCAAGTTTTTGAGACTAATCAAAGCCCAAATAGACTTTTTTTAAACTTCTGAAAACCTCCCATAAAATTTTGTTCTGGCTGTTGCCTCAAGACCAGTCAGTGCTACTATTAGAGACATTTACGTGCATGTCTTTATACATTGGTATATCATACAGTTTGGTGATGGTTTCATTTTAGTGATATATACTTTTTGAGCTAAGCTATCAAACATTATAAAAATAAGTTAAAATGCTTCAATAGGGGTTCAGATAATTTCAAGGAAAAAAATAAAAAATATTTGCATTGTTTGACCCACAGTGTAGTTTTTATGTCCTTAAATGATAATAACAGAATAGTGAGTAGATCTTTATATATAAGTTATGTTGTTATTATTAGAGTTTAATGTAAGTACATTAACCTTAGTACAGCCAATGGACTACAAAAATATCATGCAAATGTTCATTTTACCCATTTTTCAGTAATCCATGGGATATTGCGTTGATATTTGGTTTTTAATTGTGTAATGAGGAATTTCATATAGCACTTAGAGTAATTTTGTACGAGTTGGTTTTCTATGTTTCAATAACAACCCTTGATCACAGAACATTCCAAGAAAATAACTGTTTTCTGCTATATTTCAGCCCTCATTGCTAGTATTGATGTAATTCTTATAGAGTAATTGTGTATTTGTGTGCGAGTAGTCAGATATTGCTTGGTGCAGGGAACCTCATTTTTTTAAGATAAAATGTATGAAAGTAACATATTAAAATTTTTTATTACCAGGTTTTAATTTTTAAGGCAATATTTTTGGTAGCTAAAGAACCATAGCTCTTAGGTCCTTATGATATTTTTTGACAATTTGCATACCATACGGTTCCGCTGCTATATTATTGGGAGAATGACAACAACCAACTTTAAATGGTGAAGTCTTACTCAATTTTAGTTTCTGAATGAGGTTCCGTTAGTAAATATTCTAAAAGATCCCATAGGAGGGATATGGGCTATGTTTTTGAAGACTCCATTATTGCACTATTTAAAAAATATTTAAAGGTTCTCTGACAATTTCTTGTTGACTTTATGATAAATACTTAAATAGTACACTGTAAAAAAAATTAAATTGCAGCCATAGCAGTATCAAAACTTCCAAGCTTTTAACAGCTGAGGTTTAAAAAAATTATCTATATGTTTAAACTTAACAGATATAGAATACTAAGTATTAATTATCATCACATATTTTACTTTTCATTCTTTTTTTAAACAGATACAAGAAAAACCCTAAGTTTGCTGGAATACAACTTCGGAAGACTGAAACAAAAGACAGATCTGCACCAAAGATATGATTGACTGTTATTGGTTGTACAAATATGTACTTTGTGAAAACCAGTTTTCTTGCTCAGAGAAATGTTTTGTGAGAGTTAAATGCCTTTAGATCAACCTGGTACAGTAATATCTAATTTACAGAAGACTTTATTTAATGTACTTTGTTGTGACAAGAACAAGCTAAACCATCAACATTCCAATATATATATTTTATATGACATTTAAATATATGTGTTGGTATTCATGAAAACCATCAGTCAACATGTGACTTACTTCTAACTTTGATTGTGACTGTCTGTTCTCAAACGTGCAGAATTTTTTATAGTTCACAGTTATTTAAAGAAACAAAAATTACCAATTTTGGTCAATAATGACAAATATAATAGTAGTAAACAAAAGAAGAATGTGTCTGAGGACACAAATGCCCCCGCTCAAGCTTCAAACAAATGAAAATGGGAAGGAGGGATGGAGGGTCAAGGGTAACACTTAATGCCCCTGTTGCTTACAGCGAGGGTATAAAAATAGCACAATAATGTATGACCTTCAAGATAGGAACTGAGGAAAAATTTGGTTGGGCGTTGTAGATATCCATAAAATGCTTCCAACAGTTATGTCATACATGTATCAAAATTTGCTGTATAAAATTGGAGATCCATAATTTAGCTTTTTCGTTTGGGGGTTTTAAAAATTTCACACTCCGCCTTAAACTGATTGTTAAGATTTTTCAATGAGGAAACATTTAAAAAATTGTGATTGTCAGTCTGAAGGCTCTCATGAATGTTTTTTCATATCATATATTTGTTAATAAGATTTAGGCATATTATTTTTTTTAGTTATATTGTTATATTTAATATTTGTAAATTGGTGCTTGGTTGATGTAATGTTGTACATTTTTACCACTGTTTGCTCAACTTATTTAAAAGGGTCATATATACAACCAAAGTGAGAACTTACTTCTACATGTAGTTAATATTTCTTATAATAAGAATTATAAATGATGCTTCTCTCAAAAGTTTATAAGAATATGTTTTACTATACAGCATGCAGTTTACTAATAGAAAGTTTACAAGATCTTTGTTTTACTGTACAGCATGCAGTTACTTATAAAAAGTTAACTTGATCTTTGTTTTACTGTACAGCATGCAGTTTACTAATAGAAAATTTACCTGATCTTTGTTTTACTGTACAGCATGCAGTTTACTAATAGAAAGTTTACAAGATCTTTGTTTAACTGTACTACATGCAGTTTACTAATAGAAAGTTTACTAGATCTTTGTTTCACTGTACTACATGCAGTTTACTAATAGAAAGTTTACAAGATCTTTGTTTTACTGTACAGCATGCAGTTACTTATAAAAAGTTAACTTGATCTTTGTTTTACTGTACAGCATGCAGTTTACTAATAGAAAATTTACCTGATCTTTGTTTTACTGTACAGCATGCAGTTTACTAATAGAAAGTTTACAAGATCTTTGTTTAACTGTACTACATGCAGTTTACTAATAGAAAGTTTACAAGATCTTTGTTTCACTGTACAGCATGCAGTTTACTAATAGAAAGTTTACAAGATCTTTGTTTCACTGTACAGCATGCAGTTTACTAATAGAAAGTTTACAAGATCTTTGTTTAACTGTACAGCATGCTGTTTGCTAATAGAAAGTTTACTAGATCTTTGTTTAACTGTACTACATGCAGTTTACTAATAGAAAGTTTACTAGATCTTTGTTTCACTGTACAGAATGCAGTTTACTAATAGAAAGTTTACAAGATCTTTGTTTTACTGTATAGCATGCAGTTTACTAATAGAAAGGTTACAAGATCTTTGTTTCACTGTACAGTATACTGTTTACTTTAAAAAAAAAATACAAGATTTGGTGACATTAAATGGACAATATCTCCCTTTAGCCTGTTTGACAAGGGAGATAATTTGCTGTCCCTTCTCACACACATTAGATATTAATTGAGGATATTTATTAAGGTGCTATAATATATAAGCTCAGCATAATGAATTCTAATGAAATCTAATTCTCAAAGATCAGATAACTATCAATACCATTACTTCATATTTATCTTACAGTGATCTTTTTTTTTACTGAAAAAAGGATGTGTAAGAATTTGCCTTTTGCAAAATGTTAATATAGATATGCATAAGTAATTTTCACTATTTGTATAAGTCATTTGTAAAAACCTATGTATATTAGTAAAATTGTTTATTAAATTTCTCCCATATTTACCAAAGAAGAGTTGTGTTAAAATTGTTTCATTGTTTTATAGTTTGTGAATATTAGACTGATGTATTTCATACTAACATGACTTATTTTACATGCTTCACCCTGGAGATTATAAATGTAGCTACTTCTTTCAAATTTTATTTGTCCCCCATGTTTTACTTTCTCATTTCTATTTTCCACTGGCTATATACCTTTTCACTTGTATGTTAGAATTGTCCCTCAGATTTAGCCGGAACTGGGTCATGATTTCCTCAGATTTAGCCAGAACTGGGTCATGATTCCCTCAGATTTAGCCAGAACTGGGTCATGATTTCCTCAGATTTAGCCAGAACTGGGTCATGATTTCCTCAGATTTAGCCAGAACTGGGTCATGATTTCCTCAGATTTAGCTAGAACTGGGTCATGATTTCCTCAGATTTAGCCAAAACTGGGTCATGATTTCCTCAGATTTAGCAAGAACTATGTCAAGATTTCTCTACGTAATGGCATTTAAAAAAACCTAACTTTAAATGACATTTCCTTAAAAGATAAAAGTTGATAATAAAACAATTCTGAATACAAATTAGAATTCTGTACTTATAAATATAAGCTACTTATCAGAGACTGTTAAGAATATAGCAGACCATACGCAGTTATTATCCAAGGATTAAATTTGGGGAAAAAACAAACTTTATTGAATAAATGAGTATGGAATACCTCAGTCTTCTGTTTCAGAGAATTTTGTTTATGTTGTTTATATAGATCGAAGTATATTTATTTATTTACTACAAATACATATATATTGTTGACTTGTTTTATAAGCTATATAGTATACCGGTATTATATATGTTACTTCTGCTTGCTTTTTGCCTATGTATGACATCTTTACAACACATCTGCTAATCATTATGTACATACCATCAGATAATTTTTATTTTTTTTGTTCAAAGTTGCTTTCAATAGATGTAGGGACAATTACATTGTCTGTTGCCACTTTTTATAATCCTTTTCTGTTGAAGTTTATCTACTGTAAATTCAGAAATTATTGTGAATAATGTGAGAATGGATGAGAATCGTAATAATAAGAACTCACAATAATTTCAGAATTTACAGTATTTGTTTTAGGCCCATGCAACAAACAGTTAAGGCACATTGTTTTACCCTTGCCTGTCAATCTGATTAAGGGATACATAATAATTTTTTCAGCTCATCTCCTGCAGTTCTCTTAACTGGGATGTTTTATTTTGCATTATGTTAATGCCCATACTAAAGGTCCTCTTTATGTGTATGTTATCAGGATTTTGATTTTAAGTTGGTCAGATGAACCTAGTCATTTCTTTATATACAAGGCACAGTTAATCTTCTCCTACAGGTTTATAGCTAGAATATTTCTTATTCTGCTGATTGTTTAAGCAAATAATGAAGAAGCGGCACATTGTCTGAGTTTTTGTGGTTTCGAATAGGGTGCATTCTTTATCTGCTCAATATTCAAGCTAAAATATTTTTTATTTGGAGAATTTTTACGTATTATCAGGGTAAAATTGCTGAACGCTTTTAATAGTATTCCTGAACTTGGTTTACAATAAACCATTCCTTCTATGTATATTGTGACTCTTGATCCTTACTAGGCAAACAACAAAATATTGTTTCTCATTAAAATCCTGCCCAAAGAGCTTACCATAATTTTGTCTAATGTTGGAAATTTACGCCTTCAGTTATGACTAAACGTACTTCATTTAAAAAAGAAAATTAAAGTTTTTGTGTTGTGCCTTAATATTTTGAAATGCATGTAATCTTTTAATTATTTCATGAACATTGATTTTAGTAAATATAAGTTTTGTTTAAATTGCTTTATTTCTAAGGTTATTCATATAACTTTGTGCTGTAAGGGAAGAAATAGAATATTTAAGAGGCTAAAACTACATACACTTTTAATTGATTGCCAGAAAGTGTAAATTTAGAAATGTTTTTAATTTATTACAATGCCAGAAAGTGTAAATTTAGAAATGTTTTTAATTGATTACAATGCCAGAAAGTGTAAATTTAGAAATGTTTTTAATTTATTACAATGCCAGAAAGTGTAAATTTAGAAATGTTTTTAATTTATTACAATGCCAGAAAGTGTAAATTAAGAAATGTTTTTAATTTATTACAATGCCAGAAAGTGTAAATTTAGAAATGTTTTTAATTGATTACAATGCCAGTAAGTGTAAATTTAGAAATGTTTTTAATTTATTACAATGCCAGAAAGTGTAAATTTAGAAATGTTTTTAATTGATTACAATGCCAGAAAGTGTAAATTTAGAAATGTTTTTAATTTATTACAATGCCAGAAAGTGTAAATTTAGAAATGTTTTTAATTGATTACAATGCCAGAAAGTGTAAATTTAGAAATGTTTTTAATTTATTACAATGCCAGAAAGTGTAAATTTAGAAATGTTTTTAATTTATTACAATGCCAGAAAGTGTAAATTAAGAAATGTTTTTAATTTATTACAATGCCAGAAAGTGTAAATTTAGAAATGTTTTTAATTGATTACAATGCCAGTAAGTGTAAATTTAGAAATGTTTTTAATTGATTACAATGCCAGAAAGTGTAAATTTAGAAATGTTTTTAATTGATTACAATGCCAGTAAGTGTAAATTTAGAAATGTTTTTAATTGATCAATGTGTTAATATGAAGACATAAAGACAGGGATGACAAACATTATAATTTCTGGTATTACATTGCAGCATACTCTGTATTTGTTTCAGCATTAATATGTAGTGTTGTGATATCTCTACTTGCCAAAACCTTGTTTATATTCATACGATTCATTAAATTTATGTAAAAGTTATTTCTTCTTTTTTGTTGAACAGCCAATTGAAAGTAAATTTGTTGATTGTATAAAATGCAGATTCAGCCAGTTTCATGGAATGCAAGCTCTTTATAGTTAGATGGTAAAACAAATACAGACCACTAACATTTCATGTTGTTTTTCATGATGATTGACTTACTGATTTCTTCTTTGCTTAATCTCCAGTGCACATCCATTGATTATAAAAGTCATGCGAAATAATCATACCATGAACCACACCAACTCAACTCCTTGACACATCTACTGATTATAATAGTCATGGGCAATAATCATACCATGAACCAAACCAACTCAACTCCATGACACATCTACTGATTATAAAAGTCATGGGCAATAATCATACCATGAACCACACCAACTCAACTCCATGACACATCTACTGATTATAAAAGTCATGGGCAATAATCATATTATGAACCACACCAACTCAACTCCATGACACATCCACTGATTATAAAAGTCATGGGCAATAATCATACCATGAACCACACCAACTCAACTCCATGACACATATATAAAAATAAGGAGATGTGGTATGATTGCCAATGAGACCACTATCCATCCAAGTTCAAATGAATTGGATGTAAGCAATTATAGGCAATCATACAGCCTTCAACAATGAGAAAAACCCAAACTGTATAGTCAGCTATAAAAGGCCCCAACATGAAAAATATGAAACAATTCAATTGAGAAAACTAACGGTCTAATTTATAACGAAACTATTTACCAAAAACAATTATGACAAACATGAACTAACGACAACCACTGAACTATAGGCTCCACATAAAGAATGGGGAGGGGTTAAACATGTTTGTGAGCGCTCAACCCTCTCCCTATCCTGGGTCAGTTGTGTTATAGCACAACATAAGAAGAAGCTATAAAAATCCGTTGAAAATGGCTTTACTCATCAGATCGATACAAAGCAGAAAAAATCTTACAAAAAAGTGGCAGGGTATTTATACATACCTAACAACAAAAAAGACACTAAGTACAGATCTGAGAGTACTCACAGATACTGACAGCTATGAACATTTATCATACCATGTATCAAAAATTAAACATCATGAAACATATACTGGTCATACAGTAGTCCTGGACAATAATTGCACCATGAATCATCAATTTAACTCCATGAAACATCCACTGGTAATACAAAACCAATCTTATATTTATAACATTTTGAAGAAATATTCAAGCTTTATTCAAATATGATTTCCTATGTTGTAATCATGTGGTAAATGAGATCAGAGTAATTATATCATACAAATGTATCACAATAAATACAATACCATCACAAACATAAGCTACAAGTAAACAATAAATTCACATTTGTTTTGAACAGTTAATGGTTTTTGATTTTATTTCATTATTTACAAATTCACCAAAAAAATATGTCAGTGAATTGTTTGGTGAGCAATGACATTTTAGAAATGAAACTATTGATTTCATTAAATTGGAGTTATAATTCAGAAATTGTTGATTTTAATAAATTGGAGTTATAATTCAGAAACTGTTGATTTCATTTTAATGGAGTTATAATTCAGAAATTGTTGATTTTAATAAATTGGAGTTATAATAAAGAAACTGTTGATTTTATTTAAATGAAGTTATAATTCAGAAAGTCTTCATGGATTGATGGTAAATGTTTTTAGGTTCCCAAATTTTTGGAGCAAGCAAATCCCAAGAACTATGATCATTTTTGAAAGGGCTAAACCATGAATTTATTACAATTGGTTAATTCGTTTACAAATAAGTATTCCCTAAAGGGTTCAAATCAAAACTTATAATATGCCCCCTGGTGGCACCAAAGGAAAATAATTAGTTCAGTTCATCTTATGGAACAACTTAGTAACAATTAACGCACTTTTCAAAAGAATATTTATGAAGCTTCAATCAATCAAAGCTCTTGTTTTCAAACTAATCTTCTATAAAATGCATGCCTTGCATATCATAAATTGAAATGAATTTTTCTTGTTACACAAATATAATACATTAATATGTGTATAAAATCTACACAAGAGTAGTGATTAATATTATACACTCTATTACAGTTTGTGTGCTTGTTAAAATAAAATATACAAATCACTTCTTATTCTGATGAACTTTCACAATATTTACATGATTTTCATTTAATTAAGCATACTGAAGATTTATTTATTTTTCGTGGGTACCAATTCTTTTTGGACTCGAAGAAAAATCATATTTTCGTGGATTTGCCAAAGTTTCCATACAAGCCTTTAGGAAATTCATACTTCGTAGAACATTTAAATTCATGGTTTAAAGTTGACCTAAGATGGATTTGGCTATATTTCAGGTCCTTTTTGGTCGTATAGCTCTTCAACTATTTAAGTTCTTATACATCCTTGGCTTTCAAATATTTGGCATTGAGCGTTCCTGATGAAGGTAAATCCAGAAAAGCGCTTCGGACGCATGCGTTATAATTTATAACGTGTTGCTTTCATTTTTTATTTAATTATTTTGCCTCTACCAATCATATCTCTTGCAAAAATTGGTATCCAATGAATAATAATAAATCCACAGTATGTATGGATTACTAATAACACTTACAGAAAATGAAAACCAATGGTATAAGGTTAAAACATATCAAAAATCATGCACCTGTATGAGAGACTCATTTACATAACAACAAGTGTTTTAAATTGGATTTTGTCTACATGTGAAAACTACTGATTGTAAAGTGTAAAACAACCAAACTTCAAATAAAACTAACATCAGACTTTATGTAATACATACATGAGTAAAAAAAGAAAATAATCTAAAATGAAACTGAAAAGTCAGTTTGAATTAAAGGAGACAAATCCAAATAAAATGCTTCGCTGGGGCGCAGCTTGATACGACCGCAGAGGTCGAACCCTGAACAGTTGGGGCAAGTATGGACACAACATTCAAGCTTGATACAGCTCAGAATTTGGATTGTTATTAAATATTTGACACAGCATAGGTTTCTGACACAGAAAGAATGTGGTCTAAGAACTTGAATTTTTTTAATTTACCTATTATGGTCCAATGTCCAAAATCAAAATACATGGTTAGATTCAGCATATCAAAGAACCCCATATATTCAATTTTTGTTAAAATCAAACAAAGTTTAATTTTGGACCCCAACTTGGACAAACTTGAAAACTGGGCCCATAATCAAAAATCTAAACACATGTTTAGATTCAGCATATCAAAGAACCCCAAGAATTCAATTTTTGCTAAAATCAAACTAAGTTTAATTTTGGACCCTTTGGACCTTAATGTAGACCAATTTAAAAAACGGGACTTAAAATTAAAAATCTAAATATACGGTTAGATTTGGAATATCAAAGAACCCCAATAATTCAATTTTTGATGAAATCAAACAAAGTTTAATTTTGGACCCTTTTGACCTCAATATGAACCAATTTGATAGCGGGGCCCACAAATAAAAAATCTAAATTCATGGTTAGATTCAGCATAACAAAGAACCCCATATATTCAATTTTTGTTGAAATCAAAAAAAGTATAATTTTGGACCCCAACTTGGACCAACTTGAAAACTGGGCCCATAATCAAAAATCTAAACACATGTTTAGATTCAGCATATCAAAGAACCCCAAGAATTCAATTTTTGTTAAAATCAAACTAAGTTTAATTTTGGACCCTTTGGACCTCAATGAAGACCAATTTAAAAAACGGGACCCAAATTAAAAATCTAAAAACACGGTTAGATTTGGCATATCAAAGAACCCCAATAATTCAATTTTCGATGAAATCAAACAAAGTTTAATTTTGGACCCTTTTGACCTCAATATGAACCAATTTGATAGCGGGGCCTACAAATAAAAAATCTAAATACATGGTTAGATTCAGCATATCAAAGAACCTCATATATTCAATTTTTGTTGAAATCAAACAAAGTTTAATTTTGGACCCCAATTTGGACCAACTTGAAAACTGGGCCCATAATCAAAAATCTAAATACATGTTTAGATTCAGCATATCAAAGAACCCCATATATTCAATTTTTGTTGAAATCAAACAAAGTTTAAATACTGGACCCTATCTTGAACCAACTTGAAAACTGGGCCCATAATCAAAAATCTAAACACATGTTTAGATTCAGCAAATCAAAGAACCCCAAGAATTCAATTTTTGTTAAAATCAAACTAAGTTTAATTTGGACCCTTTGGACCTCAATGTAGACCAATTTAAAAAACAGGACCCAAAATTAAAAACCTAAATACACGGTTAGATTTGGAATATCAAAGAACCCCAATAATTCAATTTTAGATGAAATCAAACAAAGTTTAATTTTGGACCCTTTTGACCTCAATATGAACCAATTAGATAACGGGGTCCACAAATAAAAAATCTAAATACATGGTTAGATTCAGCATATCAAAGAACCCCATATATTCAATTTTTGTTGAAATCAAACAAAGTTTAATTTTGGACCCCAATTTGGACCAACTTGAAAACTGGGCCAAAAATCAAAAATCTAAATACATGTTTAGATTCAGCATATCAAAGAACCTCATATATTCAATTTTTGCTAAAATCAAACAAAGTTTAATTTTGGACCCTTTGGACATTAATGTAGACCAATTTGAAAACTGGACCCAAAATTAAAAATCTAAATACACTGTTAGATTCGGCATAACAAATAAATAAATGTGATCAAAGATTTTACAAATCTAATGCGCCATACTGTGCAATTAAAGATTACTTCTTGAAATTTTTCAATATTTGAAATTTGAAAAAAAAATAATATTTGAAGAATAATTCTTTTTAATTTCTGAAATCTGAAATGAGAAAAAATTGGCCCCCCACAATTTCTTTTTTATCCCCCCCCCCCCCCCCCTTTTTCCCCCAAAAAAATTCTTTTCCTCAAGATATGGTCATAATCTCAATTCAAATTTCCAATGGAGTTAGCAACCATAATTACCCATTTAAATTTACCATAGTGCTAACTTAATCTATTTTATAATAGAATTAATAAAAATATAGTGTCAAATCTTTCATATGGATTTTTTTTTTAAAAAAAAAGATGAAAACATTTGCAGATATTTTTACTGGTCTTCCTTTATAAATATGCATTTCTTTAAACATAATTTAAAAGCAGTGTAAGGGAAGTAACCAAAACGTTGTATTTGGATTACCTCCCTTACACTGTTTTAGATTATCTTTATTGTTCATTAACCATTACTTTATACATAATTTAAAAGCAGTGTAAGGGAGATAATTTCAATGATGTATTTGATTTATCTCCCTTACACTGCTTTAAATTATGTTTTGTACTAAAGTATTTGTCCATTAACCAGGACAACCTTGTTTTTCCCCCTTTTTTGCCCCTAATTCCTAAACGGTTTGAGCCATAACCCCCCAAAGCAAATCCTAACCATCCCTTTGTGGTATGGAAACTTGTAGTATAATTTCAGAGAGATCCATACACCGTTCCACAGTTATTGCCTGGAAACTAGAAAATGCTCATTTTTGGCCCCTTTTTGGCCCCTAATTCCTTAACTGTTGGTACCATAACCCCCAAAATCAATCCCAACCTTCCTTTTGTGGTATTTAACCTTATGGTCAAATTTCAAAAAGATCCATTCACTTAAACTAAAGTTAGAGTGCGAAAACCAATATGTATTCGGACGACGACGCCGGACGACGACGACGACGACGACGACGACGACGCCAACGTCATACCAATATACGACCACAAAATTTTTTTGCGGTCGTATAAAAAAGGGTAAATAAATTATCTCCCTTGTATTTCCATTTGAAAAATAATCTAAAACACCTCTATCTGATGTCATATAAAAAAATACAATTACAAATGTAAATCTAAAACTTTACTAGTCAACTGACCAAATATACTCAGGTTTGCAATTGGAGATATTTACAAATTATCAACTTTTTAAATCATAATTGTTCAAATTGAATAATAAGTTCTATAATAATATAGATTGAACAATTTTTATTCAGACTGGTCAACCAATTGATAGTAAGAATAGTTTTGGTATGTTGCAAGAAAATATTTACATTTAGGTTTAATAATTAATTTCTACAGTTGATTCAACATTTATTCACCATTTACACAACAGTATCTTTCCCCACTATGAACTGTCCCTTTTTTATATATACAAATTCAGTGCTTTCATTTTTTATAAGATATAACATTTAATTTAAGCATGACTTGTACAATTTCATTTTCATTATTTTTACAATTCAAACATTTCTTTTAGATAGCCACGAAACAATATTATCATTTTTCTGATTTTTGTGTGTGGCATTGTTCAATGTGGCAAAATAAATAGATTAAATTATACCAACAGTTTTGCATTGTGGTAAAATGCCTGTTTCAAAAGTTCAGATTTTTTCAGACAGCATTTATTAGGATACTGAGACTCTGTACAATAATTTACAAGGAAGGATATTGGTCCATTACATATCTTTAATATCATATCATAGGTAAAGATGTGTCCACTAAACATGGATATTCTAGTGTCCACTAAACATGGATATTCTAGTGTCCACTAAACATGGATATTCTAACCTTAAATACTGACAACACTACATTTCAGTTACTTTTTTCACTGACTAGAAATTCTGTAATTTTTCTTTTTGTCATTGAATTACAGCAACTAAATACTTAAACCAAACTTATACAATAAGAGATATGTCTTCTCTATTAAATTGAAGAAAAACCAAACCACTTAAGGGTCAGATGCCAATTCATGTGTCTTCAAATGATCTTACCATATAAAATAGTTTCTAAAAACAGTGCAAAAAAAGAAGCTTTTAAATAGACAGCTACTTTTCGTTTTGTTTAAAGATAATAAAAGGCTGTCAACAATATCATCATCATTTTTCCTCTGTATTTTCATCCAAAAATAGAATAATCATATCTCCTCTGTGTTTTCATCACTGTTATCATCAAACTGTCCTTCCTCTATGGGGTATATATATTTCTGTTTAACAAAAGGCTGCGAGTGCATGTCATAAGGCAGAAATAAATGATTATCTACAGTGTAACCAGCCTCGGCTAAGGTCTTCGGAGCAGGGTGAACATATATATCCTGGAATTCTGAAAAATACATAGAAATTTACTGAAGTTAATAAGATTACTTGAAATGTTAATATCATTAAAATTACAATTGCTATTGCACTCTTGGTTTAAAATCTATAAAGTTATATAAAAATTAAGCTTGTAAATCTTACATGCAATTAATAAATGACTTAAATAAGATTGTTGAAAAATTGCAACTGTTTGCCATAGCCTGTTGTAAAAAGCACCATTTTGGGTTAATAAGAACAAAATGCAAACTGTTTACAATTCTTGGAGTCCAACATATCAAAACCTGGTTCCACCTTTGGAATCCATTCAAAATAATCTAATAAAAAAAAAATTAGGATATAAATGCATGGGTCATTCCATGTTTGTTTATAAAGTCCCCTGGTGAAGAATCTTTCTTCCAAGTAGATAAAATAAGACAATCTTTCTTCCAAGTGGATAAAATAAGACAATCTTTCTTCCAAGTCTATAAAATAAGACAATCTATACATTTTAAAATTCTATTTTGACAAAAATTCTAGGGGTGGGGGATTATGTTTTCTGGTCTGTACCTCCATCTGTCCCATTTCTGGTAAAAGTTTTTGGTTAAGGTAGTGTGAGCTGGACATGGTGTCCTATAGACATATTCTTTTTTACCCCTCCTTTCAGAAATGGCAGCCAAGGTAGATGGTCAATAGAATTACTAACTATATTTCTTAAAGAAAACAGATCTTACTGTATGGGTTGTCTACTGGTATCTCAATATCTTCTATCTCATCATCCCAGTTCTCACCAGATGGCGCTGTTTCTACTGGTGCATCTTCTGTCTCTAAAATTAAGTGTAACAACATGACAAGTTATGGCTATTACATAGAATAAATTGTAGTTGATGAGAATCTTTTTACAATAATGTAATCATACATTCCAGATTTGTCAGGAATTTTCTTTTTAAAATTTAAAAACATCCAATTTTTGTTGTTTTAAAGCTAGTTTTTAGACACCAGGCAAATAAAACACTACTGATGGTCATTTCAAGCTCTAACAATGATTTGGCTTTCTGAAAGTAATGCAGATATGTATAAATATAGAATTTAGGGATTCCGTCCTCTCCTTTTACTGTTATATAATTCAAATGAAAATATATCAATTCTTCATATTTTGTTGAAAGTAGGCTAAAAACTATAAGTTTCAAGGAAATTGTTTGGATCCCCAGTCAAAAATGGGTTTTCAAAATATTGTTTACTAATAAAATGATTTGTAGATTTGAATTGCTTGTTTATCAATTTTGCTATTTACAGTTTCTCTATTACCATTGTTGTTTTCAAGATATCAAAAATCCTAACAGTTTATAAAAGTCACCATGAATGGGAAATATACTAAAATGGAATGTCTGTCTGACAGGTTTCATGGATATTCAAAAGGTCTTATCTTTCAGAGCATTTTTATTTCTATCAGATTTTCCCTACTTCATAATGTCTAGATGGTGCTACAGTAGGATACCCCCAAGTCACAAGGTCACATTTAAAAATTGCCTCAGGCCACCAGAGCACTTTTAAGCAAACTATACAGTTCTAAACTGATCTGATTCTTAGATTTGAACTATATTAAAGGTCACAGCTTATAAATAAGATGTCAGGTTGCAACATAGGAGACAAATGCTAAATGATTGCCATTGTCATAACAAGGCCAGATCAACTAAAAACCCTTCCTCTGGAAAATAACCTCATGGGTTTCTTGATCCTGTTGTGTCTGGTTGCTATTGTTACCTTGTCTACTTTTTGATACAAATATTGGAGGTTCAAAATCTTCATCTTCATCTCCATCCACCTCATAATCACTATCATCTTGATCTTCCTCACTTTCTGTCTGACTATCTTTCCCATTGTACTGTCCAAATAGTGGCATAGTTTTAAACTTCCTTATAAATTTTTCTCTCTTTTGATTTCCATTATGACTTCTCCAAATAGATAAGTTATTTATAGCTGCAGCTTTTAAAACATCTTCACTGTAGTTTAGAGATGGTGGTGGTAATTCAAATTCTTCTACTTCCTGCATTTCAAGCTGATAAAATTAAAACAAAATAAGTTTTAATAAATAACTCAACTAGTAATTTACATTTTTCAATACATGTATTTCATTATATTATTATTGTGTATATTCTAACTAGTTTGATTTGATTAGTAAGAATCACATGTTCACTTTATTTTCAAATGTAGACTGAAAACAATAGATAGAAAAGTGATATTGCACGGTTATTTATAGAATATCTGACATAATCGGAACAACCAATCAAATGAGTTGGTGCTCTACTTCTGGCTTATTGGCAGTAATAATATAACAATTGTAGCCTTTGTATGAGGTCGATACAAGAATATATCTACCTTAAGAAGTATGTTGACCTCGGACTTCGTCCTCAGTCAATATACTTCTTTCAGGTTGATATATCCTTGTATCGACCTCATACAAAGGCTATAATTGTATAGTATTAGTTTGTATAGATCTTTCTTTCGTTAAGTCTGACGCTGATTACCCTATTCCACTTTAGATGAATTAATGCTAAAATACTATTGGCATATACAATACACATTTTCAGAAAGCAAATAATTTTCATTTTTAATAAGTTCATTATGATTAAACAGAAATTAACAAACTTAATGCCTTAACTTTAGTATTATTTACCAATTTAAGAAGGCAATTAATTTCAATTATATCATTGTTTTAATTATTAAAGTTGGTATATCCATGGTCTACATCACAAGATATTGGATAAGCAACATGGCTTCCAAAAGGATCACAAATTTTTTACATGACCTGGAAAAATTATTGTTGTGGAAATAAAATGTGGGTTTGCCACTGAAGCATAATTCTGAAAATAAATCCAGCTTAAGGCAGTTATTTTCTTTATCACAAATACTTTTCCATTTCAATGTAAATTAGGTGTATGACAGCTGAGATTTACCTGTTAATCTGACATGTAAAGTATATAGTACAGCTGAGATTTACCTGTTAATCTGACATGTGAAGTATATAGTACCGCTGAGATTTACCTGTAAATCTGACATGTGAAGTATATAGTACCGCTGAGATTTACCTGTTAATCTGACATGTGAAGTATATAGTACAGCTGAGATTTACCTGTTAATCTGACATGTAAAGTATATAGTACAGCTGAGATTTACCTGTTAATCTGACATGTGAAGTATATAGTACCGCTGAGATTTACCTGTTAATCTGACATGTAAAGTATATAGTACCGCTGAGATTTACCTGTTAATCTGACATGTGAAGTATATAGTACCGCTGAGATTTACCTGTTAATCTGACATGTGAAGTATATAGTACTGCTGAGATTTACCTGTTAATCTGACATGTGAAGTATATAGTACAGCTGAGATTTACCTGTTAATCTGACATGTGAAGTATATAGTACCGCTGAGATTTACCTGTAAATCTGACATGTAAAGTATATAGTACAGCTGAGATTTACCTGTTAATCTGACATGTGAAGTATATAGTACCGCTGAGATTTACCTGTTAATCTGACATGTGAAGTATATAGTACCGCTGAGATTTACCTGTTAATCTGACATGTGAAGTATATAGTACCGCTGAGATTTACCTGTTAATCTGACATGTGAAGTATATAGTACTGCTGAGATTTACCTGTTAATCTGACATGTGAAGTATATAGTACAGCTGAGATTTACCTGTTAATCTGACATGTGAAGTATATAGTACCTCACAATAAATTTTTCATTTATCTTAAAATGCCCATTCTATTTTCCTTTTGTCTGTGCACATAAAACCTCCCACTCCCCTTCTGTGACCCTCTTGGTATTTTAATAATGATTTCTCAGAAATGATATGTCATATAAATACTTCATTATAAACATAAATAACTGCAAATACTTACAGTATAAATTTCATTAAAATCAGACCTGAATAAATTTTTGTCAAATTTTAAAATAAGATTGCACATGATGAACTGTCTTGTCTGCTTTACTTATCATGATTTATGTTATGTTGAAAGTTTTTAAAATAAAGGTTTTATTATAATTTTCACATTAACTCATTATCAATGATCCATGTAAAGGAGGTCAAGGTTAGATTTAACCTGTTAGACGCCGTAGACGGACATGTACACCTTACAATCATTCTGTTCACCAAATGCAGTTGATCAACTACTCATAGCATATAATCATTATACCAGCCACAAAGTATCTGAGAAAAAGATCAAACTACAGAAACTTAAAATTGATCATTCAACCATAAAAATGAGGTCCAGGTCATTTGATACTGCCATACAGACATGCTTATATCACAATCATTCCATATATCAAAGATAGTTGACCTACTGCTTGCATCAGACCTAATCATATAACTTTCACATTGCTCACTGATCCATGAAATGAGGTCTAGGTCAGGTGAATCCTACCAGACAGACATGTAGACCTTGCAAGGATCTCATATACCAAATATTTTTATCCTATTTAATACTCATGATTAGTGAGAAATTCACATGACAAAAGCAGTGGTTGATCTATGAAAATGAGGTCCATGACAATGGACTTACCGGTATGACATAGGGAAACTTGGTTACATAAGGCATCTTTATATAAGGTACAATGAATGAAGTATCCTGGTCTTCTTAGTTCTACCTTGTGAAATATAAAACTTTATACATATAGTGTATGCTGCTGCAGCCTTAGCAAACCTATGTCACACATTTTGTGACTTTCATTGCAGATGAGACAAAAAATTGTGTTTTAGATGAAATATATAGTGTAATATACAAGGTGTGAAACACAATTGACTTCTGACTGCAGTTGGAACATTGAAGCCAGACTAATACTGTGATACCTTAATTATTGGAACATCATTCATGGATAGATCTTGTCTAGGTCTTCCTCTCCAGTTATTCTTCAATGATGGATCTCTTTCAGGATATTTAGAACTGGTTATAATCTGTGGAACTTCATCCCATGGTATGTTAAACTGATTCTATAAACATAAAGACATACAATAAACTGTATCTGACATAGTAATCTTCATACTTTTCATTGACTATGGGAGATAACTCTGTATATTCTTCCAGTGTTAATTTTCATTACCACACACAATTAATTCCCTAAACTATACATGATATAAGCTAAACTATATCTAAAGAAAAATTATTTTGCACATAAAGACTCACAACATAATAAACATAGATATACTTTTCTGTTAGCGTGTAGGCAGAAACTATGATAAATTTCTTAAAGTATCTGATTTAAAGGTTTTAAAAATTTCTAAAGGTTACAAACTGATACAGAAGTCACTGAATTCAATGAAAATTTATTTTGATAGTCTTTCCATTAATGTTTGTCTTCTGGGATATAATATTTATTGCAATATAAATTTGCCAGAAGGCAAACATTTCAGGTAAAGCTATCAAGTAATGCAACATCAAGGATGAACTATCTACAAAATAAGAGGAGAATATTGCTCTCCCAGTTTGGAAGAACTGAGAATATTAAGTATCAAATAAGTCCTTGCAAATACCTCTAAAGTAACAGATAGATGTTTATTGCTGTTCATCAGTTTGTCACTTAACAACTGATTCAATACAATCCAGTTTTACAAAACTTACATCTACTAAGTCCAGCCTGACTAGATTAGTTAAATACTTCAAAGCCGATGGGATCTCCGTCAGTCTGTTGTTAAATACATCTAATGTCTTCAGGTTTGTTAGCTGACAAAAAGATTCTGGAAGTTCTGCCAACTAAAAAATAAATAGAATAATACAAAAATTTACTGGTGATTGATCAGTTCCTAACATATAATACTGCATTAAAGCAAAGTCATGTTTGTTGATGGGGGTAGGAATCATTTGCAAGAATATTGATTGTGTAATATAATTTATATTAAATAGTTGGTCCATTAAAGCATTAATGCATAAACTCAAAATATCCATGATAACTTGCTGGCAATTATGCTGGGAAGAAATTAATATTTATATAGATATCTTTGTTTAAATTACTGATCTTCCATCTGATTTAATTAACATGTTTTTTTGGGTCTTCTAAAAAAAAAAGCTAATCTTATAAGGTATAATTTATCTTGTTTTATACTTTTTATTTTTCTACTATATACATGTTTATTGTTTCTACAATCTGCTTTTAATATTAAAAAATAATTTTTAATAAAAATAGGCAGGTCTTAAAATATACCCCATATGTACCATGATGTACATTAAAGGTTCTACAATCTGTCGATACCTATATTTTGGATTGCACAAGGTCATGCTTTAAATTTGACTGTTAATGACGTCTTTACACTAAATCCATTGGATTGATATTTTGGTCTTAGACACATGATTTGTATTTGTTGTTATTGGCTTTCAACTAGCTTTCAGTAACTGTGAGTACTCTCAGGACTGTACTTTGTGTCTTTTTTTGTTAGGGTTTTTATATGCTTTGTATCGATCTGATGAGTTAATATCCTTTCAATAGATTTTTATAGTTTTTTCTTATGTTGTACTGTTACATCACACTGCCCCAGGTTAGGGGAGGGTTTGGCTCCAGCAAACATTTTTACCCCTCCCCCCCTCCCCTACAGGGACTTATAGTTGTTTACTCCTATGTCATTTGGTCTCTGGTTGAGAGTCTCATTGGCTATCATAATACATCTTCTTATTTTTATATGTATACAAGTTTGGTAACATGTTAAATATAATATTTTTTATTCTAACTGTAAGCACTTGAAAGAAGAACATATTAAAACTTTAATAAACATATGTTTACATAAGGATATTATTTACTTACCAAATTATTATCCATTCTAAGGTCTTCTAATGAGGATAAATTACCAAATGAAGATGGCAACAGTTGTAGATTATTTTTAGATAGTTGACAAATTCTGAGTGATTTTAAATTCCCAAAAGATTCAGGTAGCTCATACAGTAAATTCTGACCTTTGAAAAAAAGAAGAATAAAAGAATATTTTGATTAATTTCATTGTAAAGTTATTGGTTTAATCATAATTTGTGCAATGAATGTCATCTGGAAATTATTTCTTCATAATGTCATGAATGTACCTATCTTGAGATAAATGAGAATTTATATTGTACATGTACATCTATAAAAATCACATGATTTGCATTATTTAAATGAATGCCAGTAACATTATTCAATTTATAATCAAGCATTTGGAAAAGAAAAATATAACAAATTAGACCTTAAGATTCATTAAAAGGTCTTCTCCATGAAATGCTCAATCTGAAAAAAAATAATTAAAGTTGCCAATTTTCTTTTTTTTTCAACATTATTCATTATTTATTGAATAGATAAATTATACATGAGCCTGATGAGATACCTTTGCACCAATTAACTTATGACTGTCTTATGAACCATCAGCTGAACTAAGATATTTTATTATGTTGAACTGATAATAAAAAGGTATGATACATTGTACCAACTTCAGTGCATACAATGTGTTTTTGACCAAAGTGATGATAACCTTACACAGTTCTGACTAAAAGTCATATCATTATTTTGCTGAACATCAAATGTTTAATATAGACATGTTCAAATTTTTAAAAGAAGTTTTGAACAAATATGCTTACAAATTTGAAGTACATTCTGACTTGTTCTCATCTTCTCATCTTTCTTGGACATGAGACTCATGAGTCACATGACAGTCATATGATTTAAACTCTTTTTGGCTGTGTTTATTTAAGAATTGAATGCTTCTTTTCATAATCATATTGGGGTATAAAAGCTTTGACCAAAGCACATTTTGTATGAAGCGCAGAAGTGCTTCATATAAAAAATGTGTGCACGATCAACGCTTTTACAATGCTATAAAATTATAAAAAGAAGCATTTAATTCTTATAATTACATTTTCATGCTGCACTCGTGAAATAAAGAGTAATATCAAGTGGAAATTTAAGCCTTTCATTTGTTTTCCACATGCATTATTTTAACACTGTCAAAGATAGCATGTGCAGTCATAGCGGTTGTATTTTATACGACAAATAAAATATGATTTTGGAGTGTCTTGCGATTATTATCAGCCATTCAAAATTACGGGTTCTAATGAAACATACATGTTATGTAATTATATATGTAATTAACTTGTAATCCCAAACCCCAAAATATTTTTTTTTTAAATAAAAAACCGAAAGTCTGCTTTTCTGACTATTCATACCAAGATCTAATACATTTATCCATGCATCATTAACTACTCACCAAGATCTATAAATTCCAGGTTAATTAAGTTTCCAAAGTCATTGGGTAATTCATGAAGCTGATTTTCATCAAAGTGAAGCTCAGTTAGTTTTATCAATTGACAAAAATTTGTTGGTAAATAACCGATCCAATTACCGTTCTGAAAATTACGTCTTTCTAATTCATCAATAACACTTCCTAAATGTAACTTTTCTAAACTTTCTAAATGCCCAAAGGAGTCAGGCAGTCGACTCATAAAATTACCACCTAGATCCAAATGTTTTATCAATCTACATGTCATCCCAAACTTTTCTGTTAGAGATTGTTCATGTAACTTGTTATCACTTGCAGTAAATTCCTCAATATATCTAAGTTCTGCTATCCAATCTGGTAATTGGACAATCCTGTTCCTATCCAAAAATAATCTTTTCAGGGTAACAGTAGAGGAGAAGTGACTAGGTAACAGTTCTATATTATTGCCTGATAAATCAATAGTTTCTAAAGAAAGCATATCACCAACAGTTTCCGGTATGATATCCAGTTTATTATTGCACATGTTGAATATCTTCAATGATTTCAGACGTCCAATACTCACTGGTAAATTTGATATTGTATTATCACACAGTTCCAGTACCTCTAGGTTCTCCAACAGTCCTAACGTGGAAGGCAATATCTCAAGTTTATTTTCCTCAATATGCAAGGTTTTTAATTTTATCAGATCACCAAAACTCTCTGGTAACTCTTTCAAACAGTTCCCCGTCAGGTTTAAAATTTGTAATTGTGATAACTCTGAAATACTATCAGGTAAACTGCAAAGTTCATTTTCATTTAAAAGCAATTCTTCCAGACATGTGAGACAACCAATACAATCTGGCAGTCCAATCAGACGATTACCTGTCATAGATAATACCTGCAGAGCTTGAAAACTTTCAATGGAATCAGGGATACTTTCAATATCATTATGATCTAGAAATAGTTTTGTGATTTGTGAGAAATTGACCCCTTCCGCAGGAAACAATGTCATGTCTCTTGCTGAGAGATCCACACAGTGTGTTTCACATTTATCTGAGTGTGAACAACACTCATCCTCTGTCATCTCCATCATACTGGACTGTGGCATTCTTCTTATTAATTCATGGTCCAAAACTGTAAATATATATAACAAAATGATTTAAATGTGCAAGGTGCTAGTATTACCATCATACTGAACTGTGGCATTCTTCTTATTAATTCATGGTCCAAAACTGTAAATATATATAACAAAATGATTTAAATGTGCAAGGTGCTAGTATTACCATCATACTGGACTGTGGCATTCTTCTTATTAATTCATTGTCCAAAACTGTAAATATATATAACAAAATGATTTAAATGTGCAAGGTGCTAGTATTACCATCATACTGGACTGTGGCATTCTTCTTATTAATTCATGGTCCAAAACTGTAAATATATACAACAAAATGATTTAAATGTGCAAGGTGCTAGTAATACCATCATACTGGACTGTGGCATTTTTATTAATTCATGGTCCAAGACTGTAAATATATACAACAAAATGATTTAAATGTGTAAGGTGCTAGTATCACCATCATACTGGACTGTGGCATTCTAATTAATTCATGGTCCAAAACTCTAAGGATATATATATGTTCAGGACCATATGAAGTATTTGGACCATATGTGTATTGTCATGACCATATGCGTATATACTCATATGGTCCGGTTAATTAACACGATGGACGTTAAAAAAGTGTACAATAAATTTAGAGTTTCTAAAAATGAAATTTTTACTTATTCAATCATATTGTAATCATTGTTACAATATGCTTCTTTTCTTTTTTAAGATTTATTTTGATGTTTTTATCATATTAAAATTTCTTTGATATTTCAAATTGTTTTTAGTTATTTAATGTGTTCTTGCTCCTATTTATACGATCTTACACAATAACAGAAAAAGTATGAAAAATTGAAAAGGAGAAAGAACACAATAATTAACTTAAACTAATAATAATTTAAACACTTAGAAGAAAGAAAAAAAGGTCCATGCCCAAAAACCCCTGTTGTTTCTCTTGCGGACGAAAAGGTCGACAAGATAAAATGCTCTACATTTGTAAATTAATACTAGCAAAGTCAAGATAACAGATACACCAAGATTCATACAATATGTAAAGATAAAGGAATTCAGTTAGTAACTTGTACCAGTTTGGGTTTGAGCTGTGTTCTCCTGCGATGGCAGTTAGAATTTATTTGAAAAATACATATATGGTCTAAATACTCATATGGTCCGACCCGTTTATAACAAAATAAGTATAATACTCATATGGTCTGACCATATATGGGTATACCCATATGGTCATGACCATGCGTGTATGGTCTAAAAACTCATATGGTCTGGAACATATATACGGTAGGTCAAATTACCTCAGGTAAGTTAGGTATGGATTTTCTAAACAGAAAGTAGTATGGTACAAATGTAAGTATAAATAGCAATTACATGAATTACATGAATATTAATCGAGAGTTGGAATAAGAAATCACCAAAATATGTGTTTTGCTTTTAAAGTCTGTCAGTATAATTATGTTTTTTAGTATGACTCTTTTTATATTATTTGTTGGATGATTTTCTTCAGCACGAAGGTATCTAAGCCAAGATTAAAGAGAGCCTTCCAAGATGATCTATCTTTTACTTTCATCATGTTCAGGATCCCAGTACTTTAAGGTTTGGATTTATTTATGGTAAGGGTTAGGTTTGGGTTTGTTTTAGGTTAGTGTTAGGTTTAAGGGTTTGGACTAGTGTTGGGTTTAGGTATCGGTTATTGTTAGGTTAAGGGTTAGAATTACATGTAGTTTGGAAAAGCTCTATATGCCAATATGGGTTGGGACCCTTTAACCCCTTTAGTTATTTAATGAACGTTGTGTAGTTTGCTGCATTTAGTTATTTAATGAACGTTGTGTAGTTTGCTGCATATATTTATTACAATGTGCAAAAGAGTTTCAGAAAACTTCTTCAAACTGCATTTTCTTATGTCATATATATCTGTCATAATGACGTCGACATTATACTATTTTCGTACTACCAACTGCTGACTCCAGAGTTTTCGACAGGTTACATGTACCTTCATTGAAAAAGGACATTCTGGTACTCGGTCAAGTAAGAGCAACTAAAAGAAGTAAATTCAAGCTTACAATCAGTGCTATTTGGTGAAAAAATTACCGGTAACTGTTTTCAGATGATTTTCTTGTGTATACAAAACATGAAATAGGTAATTTTTTCACCAAAATTGCACCAATTATAAACTTGAAGTTACTTCTTTTAATTGTTCTTACTTGACCATGTACCAGAATGTCCTACTTCAATGTAGGTAAACTGTGAAGGAAATTTTTTACAGTGCAAACATTTTGAAATATTGATAATTTATGAAACAGTTCAGCACTACCCATACCTCTGTTTAGAACTGTCAGAGGAAATTAATTGGGACCACCATACATGTATATCTAAAGCCAATTGAACACTTGGATTTTTAAGAAGGAATTTAAATAAATGTCCACAAGATATAAAAGAGAGCGCATACAAAACGTTAGTTCGACCACACCTCAAGTATGCATCTGCAGTATGGGACAATTACAAAAAGTGCCACATTAACCAAATCGAAATGGTACAATGAAGAGCTGTCCAATTTGTAACAACAACTTATTACCGGGAACCAGAAACTGTTACCAACATCCTACAGACACTTGGCTGGCCAACCATAGCAACACGCAGAAAAGGAGTCATACTCCTGTATAAGATCCTGCATGGAGAAGCATCAGTCATTATTCCAGATTACATCAAGAGACCAATCGTAACAACCAGACAATATCACAGGGACAGGTTTTCTAAGAGTCAGCACATCAACAGATGCCTATAAATACAGCTTCATCCCTAGAACAATTGTTGACTGGAACCAAATACCTGAATGTGCCATCCAAGCCTAAACAACTGACGCCTTCCGGGTTTATGTGTACAAGTTCCTGACGTAACTGTGGATATCTGATTTTAACCCTGTACAGTTGTTGCAAACATCACATAATTTTATTTGTTTTCATTCTTGTTAATACACGATAGTTTTTGTTTATTTTTAACTAGGCGTGTACTGGTTGACACACGCACACAGTATATTGGCGTTATGGAAATTTGACTGCAGATTAACCACAGACATAGAAGTCAAGTAGAGGAATTTATAAAAGACAAATTAAAGTGGTTTGTGACGTCATGAAAAATTTGGGTAATATCACAACTGATCCAGATTGAAATCAATAGCAATAAGGTGTATAACCCCTAGAAATTTAGCACTCATATGTACCCTGTCGAAAAGATTTATACTCCACAGTCAAAAGTCCTTATATGAAAATAGAATATTAGTAGTTAAGCAGTAAAAGGGGCACATATTCATATATTATATGTATGTCCCTAGCACGGTCAGCCGAAAAGGGGCATATATGTCCCTAGGGCGGATAGAGGGTTAAATTAAAAAATGCCCAAAGAGTTCATAATTATTTTGACTAGGTCTCTTCTTTCTTCTTAGGTACAGAGTACGGTACGGAAAACCATCAACTTTTTAAAGATTAATTACTTTCCGGCATCCTGCACAGGCAGTACCATCCGTCCCAGAGGAGGTAAAAATTCGGTTCGAGTAATTGGGCACCAGGAGAGAGTGCTGTAGATTCGGAATATCTTTCAAGCATTCAAGTAAAAGATAGATACAAGACAAAACAAGAAATTTATGCCACCGGCCCTATACTTTCTTCCACAAAACGCTACTTTTGTCTTCTAATTAAACGGTTTACTGAGAAATAATGATTTTTATACCATATTTATTTATGCATTTCGTTTAATGTTTAATTTCAAAGAAGGAGAGCCTGAAAAGTGACATCAAATTAAAATTCGGAGAGAATAAAACAATCGAAAAACTCACCGGAAGTCAAATCCACATTTTACCGAAAATAAAATAATTTTTACGACTGTTTAATTAAATTGGAATTAAAAAAAGCGAATAATTAAATAGTTTCTACGTCAACTTACATTCTTGGTATAAAATATATTTCTTTTATATTGTTTTAAAGAATAAATATTATCATTTAAAAACATATTCACTATTTTACAACAAATAAGAGACTAATTTCCGGTCTTTAACGGGCGCTTGTTTTGACTTGAAAATGATATCAAAACTGCAAGAAAAGTCTACATTTGATTGCATATTGCCAAACCACAGTTACTAAACGTAATTTTCGAACTTTTCATTTTATCAAATTAAATTAAGAGTCATCCTTACTCATATTTTAATTTTTGCTTTTATGTCGATCCGGCCCATATTTAAAGTCGATCCGGCCCCAATAAAAATATATTTATAAGGAATAAAAATAAAGATATATATTAATTGTAATTCATAAATGTTATAGAATTTTATTATAATGTAAAATGTGTACTGCAGTACGGTAAAAAAAAAGGCCTTTGACAAATATTGTCTTTACATGAGTATAAAACAACTAGGTTGATTATGTTTTCATTACAAGTTTTCAAAATTATTGGGTATAATTATATTAAAAACGTATATAACAGAATTTAGGACAATCAAAAGACATCAACATTAATCAGCAGTAATTAGCATTTTCTTTCAACTGACTGTGATCTTTACAAGTCTTTCATCCTGTGTAATAACAAATAGTTACATACACAATGGTACTAGACGATCTCGAAGCTGATACATACAATCTTTGTTCTTAAAATTTCTCAAATTGAGAAACGTTGTTTGATTTGCCGAATCCTTTCTGAAAATGTGCATTCAGTGTAATTGTTTATTTATTATCTTGCAATAAAGAATAATGGATACTCATATAACTTGTTTTTATTTTATCTACACACAACTATTCAAAATATTGTCAACTTTAAAAAAAATGTATTGACTACATTCGATATTACAAAAAAAAAAAAAAAGTGTTATAGAAGCCTCTGATGTTACCTGAAAAAAAAAAATACCGGCAAATAATTATTATAAGACATAACACCAAACAAAAGATCAAACTATAAAGGCCTTGTTGATTACGTAACTTTAATCAATCAGGATTTGATTGAATTAAGTGATTACAAGTTGCATTACCTTAGTTCACAATCATCAGACAATAGTTGAATAAACAAACCAATTATTATAGACTAATGATTTGATTAAACAAGTCATTATAATGAGTTAAACTTTACAGGTTTCATTGGATTGTAAATATTTATTTATCTCTTCTAAGTGTGATTTAAATAATTAAAAAATCGCCATGACATTCAAAGTTATCAAGGAAAATACCTTAATATTATTATGCTGAAGCTGCTATACAAACAGACACAATCACAACCATTTAAAAATTTTAAATCTTTCATCTTACTGGTACTCCAATATATTCATACTTTACTGACCTGTTGTCATCCATCATTGATACTTTTTACAAATCCCATTTATACTGATTAAATGTCTAAATAGTTTATTCCTTATCATTTATTATGGGGCCTGATCGACGTGGGGCCGGATCGACGTGGGCCGGATCGACTTGGGCCGGATCGACTTTGGGCCGGATTGACTTGGGGCAGGATCGGTTTGGGGCCGGAACGACCGGATACCTAATTTTTTTCCTCTTCTAAGTCTACTTGGGTAACTGTCTAAAATTATCAAATGCTTTTCTAGTGTGTGTAACTTTATTTTGATTTGGCATATTGACAAACAATTGGTGTCAAAAATGTTTAGTATGTGCTAGCTGGTAGGTAAATTTTGTGCGGTATTAGTTTTGTGTGCACACATTACATATGCTTTAGCAGCAATGACTTAAGGTAGATCATCGGTATATATATTTCCTCAGATAGAATTTTCTTATACTTTGCCAAAATGAAGATTATAGTATCCTTTTTTCAAAAATATAATAAAACGTATGGGTCACCGTGCTATGTTTTAAGCTACAAGTCGTGCAAAATTTCACAAATTTGCAAAGATTGTTCATGAAAAACACGTTTTTGTGAATAAAAAGAAATCTATGAGATTGAATTTTGAAATAAAATATAAGAAGATAGGTTTTATAATATGCTTTAAGAATATAAAAATAAAAAATGATGTCACCGAACTTGTTTTCTTGCTACAAGTAAAAAATGAAAATTTCACTATCATTCCAGTATATAACTTTTACTATAAGAGTTATCATCCCTTTAATGGCTAATTTGAAAAATTGATTCTAAAAACACAAATATTTGGTATTTGTTTGAACATTTTGGATAATGCAATAAATCGCTTATTTTTCTTTATACAAATGAACATTCTTACACATAAACTGCAAATCTGTCTCAAAATTTGCAGATTTAGGCAAAGAACTAGACAGATTCTGTATTGCTATTGTACAATCCAAGATGGTGGTATACAATGAATCTACATTGTACCTTAAAGGGAGAGTTTTTTCATGCAGTGTTTGTTTGCCTGAGTTAGTTACATTGTAGGAATCAGGTGGTTCCGACCCCAAAACCAATAGACATATATATACTTTTGGTATTTAGCTGAATTTTATCTCCGAATGACTCTAGATCTGTTTATAAATAACATTCTGACGTCAAGCAACAATCACTTTTTACATGTATGACTTCAAAATTTTCAAAATATTAATTATTTTAAGTAATGGCTGAAAATTTGCAAACAAGTGTAAATAACTCTATCTTACCCAATGTCCATTCCGGTTCCAACAGAGATGTGATTCTTCCTGTGGGAGTCAAAATCTCCCGATTTTTAAGCCCTCTTCTGTCCTTCCTGTTAATAATTCAAATCTTCCTTTTTTTTCAAAATTTCAACTCCAAAAAATTTGTCAGTTTCTTTTTGGGTAAAGATTGCATGAAATGTAATCAAAACCATATGGTACTGACTTGATATCTAAATCTTCAAAGGTTTATCACTACTTTTGAGATACACAAATAATGTTTAACAAATTACCCCCCTTTTTTTATTATCAAGAGTTGGTGTGAGCTAATTTACACCAGGAAACAGCCCTACTTCTATATAAAAACATTGTACATGTATAAAAGAAATAAGAGGATACAGGCACACACATTTCCATTCAGTATAAACCAATCAGCTCCAGAATAGAAAGATTCTATTCAAAATTGTATTTAAATAAGGGGGGGGGGGCGGTAATTTGTAAATCATTACAATATGGACAGGGTCTACTGGGTCTACTGGGGCAAAACGACTTTGGTTAATGACATAGAACTGGTCTTTATTATATGAGGCAGTTGCTAACTGATGAGCTCTTGAACACTAGTTTTTGTCATGTGGACTTTGCATGTTAGTTTTGCTAACCATCATACTTTTTGGTAATCAGATATACAAATTTGCAGGAAATCACATGCTCCTCAGATACACATTTGTGGGAAATTAGAAATGCTCCTTTTTATTGCTTCACAAAGATTGCCCCTAAAAGAACAAAAACCAGAATAACTTATGTCGCCGCCATCTTCTTGAAGGTTTTATAGGCCATAGTGTATAGACTCAAATCATTTATGCTTCCTGTAATAACGAAATACTTCTCCATTAATGATGCTGGTGCTACCTGAATCTTTAAGTTGTTTATGGTTTTTGGTTTTTAACAAGTGGATTTTGCATGTTTGTTTTTATTTTCTAACATTAAAGAAGAGGCAAAAGATACATGTACAAAGGGACATACAAACTCAGAAGTCTAAAATTAAATGAACTGACAATGCCATGGCAAAAAATGACTGAAAAGACAGACAATAGTATGCAAAACACAACATAGAAAACTAAAGACTGAGCAACATGAATCCCACCAAAAACCGGGGGTGACCGCAGGTGCTCTCAAAGGGTAAGTAGATCCTGTTCCACATGTACATGATGTGTCATACTTTTTTTCGTACTTAGAAATACAATGTTTGCTTTTTAATTGTCATCATACTTTTCTGCATTTAGATATTCAATGTCTTAAAAGGGTAAACTTTCCCCATTGGCGACTCCTCGTTAACCAGGGAATGGATTTCAATCAAACTTTTAAGGATTCTTCATGACATTATACCATTGTGTACTTTTGATCAGATTGATTTCTGGGGTTTCCGTTGCAAAAACATGAACTTTACCCTTTTATTTTGCATCTGCAATTCCTCCTAAACCAGAGAATGGAATTAAATAAAACTTTCATGACCAAATGCCATTGTGTACCTCCTATTTTACTTTTTGATCGGAATGATTTCTTGGGTTTCCCACACAAAAACATGGACTTTGCCCTTTCATATTATGATTATAACGTCCCCATCTGCAACTCTTCTTAAACCAGCGAATGGATTTCAATTAAACTTTTGCAGATTCCTCATAACATAATGCTTTTGTTCACCTTCTTTTTTACTTTTTGATCAGAAAATGTTCAGAATGATTTCTGGGGTTTCCAAAACCAAAAAATTGAATTTGCCATTTCATATTATCAAAATGATTATTCTTGATAGAGTCAACTTATATTATTTTTTATTTTTCCTTAGTATAATTTTAATGGTTTCACATAACAAAACATATGCTTAATCTTCTTGTTGGTATCAATTTGCTAGCTCTGCTTACAGTTCTTCTAGGTTATAAGTTGTAATTTGCTATGAACAACAAAGTAGCTCCCTGTCACTGACTTACTGTGAGTACTCTTAGGTTGATACTTTGTGTCTTTTGTCTTTAATAGTATTTTTTTGGTGCTTCATGCCAATCTGATGAGTCAAGCACTTTCAACTGATTTTTAGAGTTAATTGTAAGTTGTGTTATTTCACCACTGCAGGATTTCCCAGGTTAGAGGAGTGTTGAACGCTCTTAAACGTGTTTAAACCAACCACATCCAACCACATTTGTATGTAGTATTCCAATCCTGTTATTTGGTTGTTGTCAGTTGTCATATTTGATTTTGTTTTATTGTTTAATCATTACAGGCA